ATCTGTGAAAAGAAGGACTTGTTTGTTGTTTGTTTTGTTTTCTTTTGTTTTTTGTTTTTTTTTGTTTTTCGTGAAGGGAATCATGGGCATGGGCTCTGGGGAGCTTCTCGGCAAGGACGCAATCTGATCAAATCCGTTCCTTGATGAAGCCAGTCAGTACCTCGCCAAAATCCTCTGAGTCTTGGAGAGCCTGGTACCCGCTTGGACAGGTCGAGGTCCTTGGGCAGAATGCCGCCTGCAGCTCAGTGTAGCGAAAGTGATGGAGTTTGAAGCAAGCAGCGACCACAAAGGTCCCAAGCTCTTAAGGGGTACGCATGGCTTGGTCACTTCGGAGTTCAGGGCAAGCGGTTCTTGTACCAAGCCAGGCGAGACATTTGGTGAGCGGTTCCTTTTTTTTTTCTTTCGCACTTTACCCTTGTCCCAGGGTTTCAGAGCAGCGCTGTCAATGTTTTGCTTTCCGGTTTTCCAGTTGTGTGCATGTTTGCCGGGGCTGCCAAAAAAGAAAGGAGAGTGGTTGTTGCTACTGTGCCCTGGTTCGGGCAGTTTAGCGCCTTTGCGCTGCCCGCAGTACGGTGTGCCAAGCGGAAAGCCGGACGATGTTCGTCCGAGTTTCAATTCCAACAAATGTTCACTGGCAAGCCGGTTCACTCCCGGACAGAGCGTCTTCAGCAATGTTTGGATCTGGTTCAGAAGTCAGAAAACCTGTGATTGAAGAATTGTTAATCAGAGATGCACAACTGCTAGACACTTGGGTGCCTGTGTGTGTTTTGAAAGGTACCCTTTCAGCTTCGTTTAAATTTTCGGGAAACCAAATGGACAACCGCTAAACTATTTAAACTTAGTTTCCCCTGTGGGTTTTAAAGGGAATCTATCACTACTGGAAACATGTTTTGTGTTTCTGTTCTTTTTGTTTAACAGGGGGCTTAAGCAAATGGAAGATGAGAAGGACCTTTTGATCAACCACCCCCATTTTACACCTGAAAGTGCTCCATATTCTCGGTGGGAAGCAAAATCGTGGGCTCCGTGTTTTGTGACACATACCCACTTCGGTCCCCGGACAGTCTCTGGCTGGTGAGTTTCTCACATCGAAAACGTGAGCCTCAGGTGAAGCTCACGTTTTTTGACCCCAATCAGCGCTTGACGGTGTCGGCGTTGGAAGACGCCAGCTCCTACAAGGACCAACGTGGAAAGTCGGGTTTCAGCTTGCAATACGGTCGATCGGTATGTTAAGAAAACCGCGTATTTGGACCAGGGTCTGGAATATGTCTTAAACATTTGATGGGGAATATGAGATGGTGGTCTTAATCCAGAGTCTTGACCGGATTTCTTCACACACTGTCGGACCGTACTGGTTGATTTTTGGGGGGATGGCCGAAATTCCTTTCGCATCAGGTGGAATGGATGAAGCCCCACTGGTGCACAAGCTCGTCCATCAGTACCAAGGGGATCGCCTTTCAAATCACAAAGTTGTTGGTCATTTCCCGCAACCATGAAACAGATTTCATTGTTTATTATTATTATTAGTAGTACTATTATTATTTAAGGAAAGCAGTGGATCCCAGTTACTACTTTCAATGCGCAGTTCCCTTGGTTACATGCTATACAGGCAAAATGAATCACTGGGAAAGGCCATCACGCTGGGATAGTGGCGTCAGAATTGCCTCGCAAGTTGTTCAGCGTCACGAGTTGGGTTGAAGTCAATCCGTAATCGGTGTGGTGATTGTGATGTTCTACTACGGATTACAGATTTGGATAAGAGGGAAGCCTGCGTTTTGAGCGAGCCAGTTTGCAGTGTTGTTAGAACCCTCACCGTGGCAGGAGCACTTGGCGCGAGCACAGCAAGCGCTGGAGTCACAATAAGGAGCCATGGGGGGAACTGGGTGTGTCTCTTTTAGGGGACCCCCACAATGGCGGTGCTCGTTTGGTGTTCCTTTCAAACCACCAAAAAATCGAGGCAACTCCAAAAAGACAAGGGTTCAAGGGTTAGAGGCAAAAATTGGTGACTCGTGCCAGAGCCATTGGGCGTCACTTGATTCTGGGGAATCTGGGGAAGACCCCGTCAGGTCTTGAATGCACGGCGTTGGGGCCCCCGACCATCCGGAACCTTTCTAAATATGCCCCCCCCCCCGGCTTCCATTCGCCAGAAAGGGTGTGAATCCTGGGTGAATATGAATGTGTCAACTTGAAACCAGGGAATCGCCCAAGCGCCAACCACAATTTCCTCCGGCTTTCGTATGCCGACTCTTCACGGGCTGCCATTGCCTTAGTCAACTTGCCATGAGAACGACTCACACTCGGCGAACGGTTGGTGACCCCTTTGCTTCTTTGGATTGAGATTTGCACGTTGGCCATCCATTTGCTTAAGAACATGTTTATTTTCCCTTGCTGGTTGTAAAGGGAACTTATCATTATCGTGTTTTTTTTTTCCAGGGTGCGCAAAGCAAATGGAAGTGGCCTTTCAAAGCGAGATGTTGGTTTGGGTGACGACCGAGTAAGGCAGACGGCCCAAGACAGGTCGAAGAAACCACCTTGCATACCTTTGGTGCATTTGGCCAAGGGATGTTAGGACTTTGACTTTTTGCCAACTACTGGGGTTTCCATTTAGCCACTAAAAGTTAAACTTTTAAGCAGGGGAGCTGAAAGCAACCGAGATAAACTGCTCAAGGAAACACAGTCTATTGGTGCGAAAGATCCAATGTTGGAGCTGAAGGATTCTGCTGCTTGCCGATCGAAATTCAATGTGTGGATTTTCCGATCAGGCCGATTCGCTTCGACAGCGGTCTGAGCGAATCTCCGCAAAGTGATCAAGGCATGGGCGAAAGCAGAAAATGGGCACAGTTCCTGCTTTGAGTTGGCAACCTTTCGGGGTTCAACCTTATTGCCTCCATGAGACCAAGAGCCAACGATCTGGTTTTCCTATTACACCCTGGGATTACACCCTTTTGGGCAGCACCCCACTTTGGCCTAGTTCCAGATTAAAACCGCTGGTAAATTCCTCAGGGTGTAATCCGAGGGGGTGATAGAGCAATCCTTAGAAAAGAACTGTGACTCGCTGAAATTTATTCACCGGAAGCCAGCTCCGACTCGCGTGCAGGCGGAAGGGTTTCCATGCTTACCATCTTCCGCCGCAAAAGCTGGCGGCAGATGGATGCCTCATGTCCTCATTCCCCCAAGGGGGTAGAGGCCAATGGCCTGAGGCACCAGTGCTCTCTGCAATTGTCATGGGGCCGGGGAGGGAGGGGAGGGGGGAGGGGGCCCAAATTCGCTCTCAAGCCCTCAAGAAAGCCAAACATTAGCTTATTTGGGCTCCCTCCCCCTCCCCTTGGAACAGCTGGCCGGAAATCTGAAATACCCCAGAAAGACTTGCTTGTTCTCAGTAGGCAATGAGGGACTGACCCCCATGCACCATCCTTTGCGTTCTTCTTTAAGCAAATCCCCAGGTTCAATCCCAAAACCGAGACTCACTCGGTCATTCCCTACTGAGAACCAGCAAGAAGGCGGGTGCTGAGATAATATCTATTTTTTTGCCACGTCTCCGCACCGAAGTAGAGTGGCGATTGGGCCAACGCAGTGCGCGAAGCGCACTGCGATGGCAAAGGGGGGGTGTGACTTTCGGCACCACAAATGCAGCACGTTGCGTTTCATATTTCAGAATTTTGAGGTATCTCAAGACTCATATTTGCCTTGACCTTACAACTCGTTGCTTTTTGCTGCACAGGTTCAACTTGTTCTTGTCGGCTAGTCAGACAAGTGACGGATCGCCCCACCGCCCGCGTGGGCTGCTCTGTGTGTGTGTGTCTGTGTGGCCAGGGCTCGTCAAGCTGTGCAATATTCCAGCTTGATATGCATTAGGGATCAGCATGTTTGTGGTCCACAAGTGTTCGAGTTGTTGGGCCGTTCCATTCAGGAACTGGGAAACACGCGCGACTCATGCTTTCCCCGGCCCGGTTCCCCGCATTGACGTGCCGACTTGCAGGCTTAGAGCTTGTACAGCCGCTCCATGGAGAAAAAAAAGGGGCACGCCATCCTCGCGCGTGTGGGTTAGACCAAGACCATGGGTCAAAACCCCGAAATTTCAGTAATTTTTAGTGAGCATCCCAATCCCCACTAAAATAGACTACAATGGAGGTGCACCTACCCCAAAATGGTACCATTGGTTTTGACCCACAGCCATGTCGAGGGTTGACCAAATTTGGATGAAACAACTATGGTCGGGTGCCTAACAAGAAGAAGGCTGTTTAACCAATCGGTTCTTCTGGTTCAAGCAGGGGGCTAGCCCAACCCTACCCTTCGCCTAGGTCAATAGTTAAGATAGCCAGCGGTAAGCTACGCGACGGCAGACGTGGCTGTGTTTGCAAAGGGGGTGAATGGAACCTTAAACTAAGTGGGTTCCTCCTGTTTTAACAAGTCTGACAAAGATTGAGTGATTGGTATCCTCCAAAAACAACACGCACAGGTCTTTCCCTTGACTCAGCCTTAGCCTTTGCGTGGTCATCAGGAAAGTGCGGTTCATGCTAAACAAAGCAAGTTGACCTGGGCTCCCGTCAAGGGCCACGTTGACCCGGCCAGCGGCTTGCGATTGTTAGGCCCCGGCCCCATCTTCAGGCTGGCTGAACTGCCTCGAAGAAGCGTTTTTAACGGCTCTCAGCTTGCTGTTTGACGGGTTTCATTTGTTCTCATTTGGGTTAACAGCAATAAAGGTGTATTGCATGCATCAGGACTGATCTCTTGTTCCCGCACATATTTGCGCCTGCAAGACGCTGCGCCCTCCTGCCACACTCGAACCTAGCACAAGCTCCATGGAGTTGCAAAGCACCTATCATATGGGACTTCGACCTTCGATCCGTATCACAGTCAAGAGGCATGTGCCGCCTTCGTGAAATGAGCCTTTTCTCTCCACATGTATTACCTGAAGCCATACACTGTCCATTTACGTTGGGGCGAGTGTTTACCGGGAAGCGTCTGTGTCAAACTGGTAAGGCTTGCATGGGTATTGCCAGGCGCGCCTGGAGGAGGTGCTTCGAGAGAATGCGGGGCCCTGAGTGACGGCCAGAGTCGGTCAGCGCGCAGTTATGCTCTTCGGCCCACCTGAGACAATCAAAACCTGGGTAGATGAAGGTTAGTAAGGGATGCTCCCAGCCATAAACAGCTGCCTTTCGCCTTCTTAATTCTTTACGTAGTTCTGGGTAGTTAGACCGTTTTAATACCGGGTTTTGATTGTGTGTTTTGTCGTGCTCGCAAACTACAAGGTAATGTGGAGGTCAACTGATGCAAACAGTTTTCGGGTTGGCAAACAGTCCCTAAATCATTGCCAGACTGTGTGTGCTGCTTGCCAGGTAGTAATTTCAGGATCATACAACGTGGGCAGAATAGGCATGGCCAGCTTGAAGATTTGCACAACACGTTTGAATGCTAGGGTGCATGGCTTGGGGGCCTAAAACCATCTCCACCCCCTTTAAGAATGGAATTGGGGAGGGGCGCCCTGACATTCCGTTTATGGTTCAATGTTCCCTTTTTGGGGAATACGGACAAATGGAACCTCCCCCACCTATTGGTAGGGCGATCTAAGACCAAAGTCTGAGGCTTGGATGTTCCCTGCGATGTTTTCCTTGATTTCCCTCTGGCCTCCCGCGCCATCTTGTAGGGGACCGTCTGGGCCCAAAGTCTCAAAGTCCACGGACCTCTGTCCTCTGAGTTTCGAGTTCCCTCACAAGGGGTTGGATCGAAGCTTTGAAGCGGTTGCGACCAGTGAGTGAGTGAGTGAGTGCGTGCGTGCGTGCGTGCGCGCGTGCGCGCGTGCGTGCGTGCGTGAGTCCGTGCGTGAGTGCGTGAGTGCGTGCTTGCGTGCGTGGGTGGGTGGGTGGGTCAGTGGGTGGGTGGGTAGGTGGGTGCGACAGTGAGTCAGTGAGTGAGTGAGTGAAAGGATTCACCGATGGGTCGATGGCAGAAACACTCTCAATGCAAAGACTCTGCGGCATGTACCAACGAATACACGTTTGCCACCTGCCGAGCCAATTTGGCAGCCGAAGAGCACTGGCATATTTGCCTCATCCCCAGCCGTTTGTCCAAGGAGACCTGGTTCCCCACACCTCTTCAATGGGATCGTCCCAAATTCGGCATTGCAACAGCGTGCGTACCCTTTCATTGTGAAAAGGTCACCTGAATTTTAAGATATTTTAAGCAAAGGTAAGCAAGATACATGCATATATTATACGAATGGGGGGGGGGTCTTTTTTAGGGACCCCCAAAATGATGGCTTTCTTTTTGCTTTTCCTTTGAAACTCGAAAAAAGGGGTAGCAACTCCAAAAAAAAGACAGCCCCATATCCAGAGCCAAAGGAATTTCGACTGAGGCAATGCTACGAGAGCGCGGCTCTCCGGGCACGCGCCTGGAACGCCGGCCGGGCGCCGGGGACCCGGTAGCCCGCAGATGTCTTCGCCACCTAAGGGTTTTCAGATTTGGTGTGTTCCCCCCTGCCAAGAAGCAAAAACAAAGAAAGAAAATGATCAAGTTCCAAAGGTGACACTCAATTGCACATGCTTGGTGGATTCCCCACTACAAATGATGGACCCTGGGCAATTGAATGTCCGTGGAGGTCAGTGTGTGTCCGTCAAGGTTGCTCGAAATTTCAGCGTGCAACATGTTTTCCATGGAAATCTCCAGGTACATGCTGCACGCCAGTAAACTTAATGATTCCCCTAAAAGACATGGGACAATTGGGTGGTTTTGTGGTTGAAAATTATTGAGACTACCTGATGTTGGCCGAACCTAGGCGTCCTTTTGTGTTTGGTTGAGTATAGATGAGCAACATTGATCACGCATCAGTCAATGTAAAGATGGTGATGTTAGGCACACTCACCAAAGTACTACTCAGTACCCCAGCTAGCGGAAAAACTTTAGGGAAGACTATTCGAGTGATAAAGAATATGTTTGGACTTGGTTGGTCCTTCCACTCAGGAAGTACAATAGAAGGCGATCGTCTTCTCAGCCAAGGGCAATATGAGTGCCATGACACGTGTTGAAGATGCAGTGGTTCAATAAAATTCGACCTTTGGTTCATGAGCCTTGCAGATCAACAGATGCTTCATGATGGTTCTTTTGCTTTCCTTCAATATGGGACACTTTCTTCTGATCAAAAAGGCAGGGTACAATCCCACGTTCGCATTCATTAGTATGTGAGCAATGTGAGGATAGGGCAATATGCCGGGTGTCCTGAACTTGGTGACCTGTGCTGAAAAATGGGTTCAAGGGCAGCCAGACAATCAACCATTTGCGGCAGCTATCTTAGGGGGCGTCCTCATTCCTCGTGACTCCTTCATGCCATTCCTGAACATTTGTTTAGTCTACAATCTACAACCCAAAAGATATAGCAACATATTTCTATCACTGGAAGATTGAGAGAGAACATCGGCCTCCGTCCTTCGGACATGTTGTGGAGGCAATTCAAGGCCCCGTGGCATTTGGTTCTTGAAGCCTCGCTCAAAGCTGGTTGAGCCTTACGGCTCAGCCAATCAGCTGATATGACTGGGATGGCTGAGATTGTGCTTGCCCTTTTTGTAGGGGTAACTTCAAGTTCCATTCTTTGCAGGGATCCGGATCTTTCAAGAAAACCACCAAAAACCCTGGGAAAATGGCAGGTTGTTGAAAAGAACGATGGTTGAAAAGAATGGGGAATCAACCCCTAGACTTTTCCGTGTCGCAGTCAGTTTCCTGTTGAGGCTGCCACTCGCCAGCTGACTTGGAGAATGGATGAGACTGGATGAGAAATCAGAGTTGCGAGGTTGTAGGCTTAAAATTGAAGGGGTCCGGGTTTGCAGCGGTTTCTGTCGCACAGCTCCGTTCAACAGCTATTGAAGAACCTCCAGAACGTCGGCCTCCAAGGCCAAGACGATGCTTTTGACTCCGCCGGTTTTCCCACAGGGCGGAAACGTACGCGGCCGCAGGGATGCCTCACTTGGGGGTGTGCGAAAATATGTTCCTGAGCCCCCCTTCTCAGAGAACAAACACGGAGGATGGATTTCACCAAAAAGTATCCGGAGTTGAGGGGTCCAGGTAAAGATAGTTGTTCAACATGACTCAAGAATCTGAAGCGATTTTGGAGCGGCCCCAGATGTGGTCCGGGGCAAACGTCCGGAGAAAAACAAGTTCCGTTCGACCTCGCTTAGGCCTTGGGTCTTGGATCCCCAGCGGCGGAGGACGCGGCCAAAAGCGCAGTCTCTCTCTCTGGATGCTTGGTGGGTCCTAGCCATCCCCTTAGGTTTTCAGCCATTTTTAGCTTTGTCGGGTTTAGTGGGGGTGTTGTGATTCATGGCGGACCTCAAAGTGTAAAGAGCGGCCTCCCTGTTTGGTGTAAAAGGGCCCTTTGCCCTTTGCATAGGCGTCAAGGGAAACCAAATGGACAACCAAAATCAATGTTGGTGTTTCTTCCTTCGGCGCTGCGTTTTCGCTTGCTTGAACTTGACCATTGGCCAAAGCAGATCATGTGTCCATTAGAACCTTGCGAAAACCCGTCTAACTGGCTGAGTGCCCCAAAATGGACCCACAAAGGGTACCCTGGAAACTTTGTGGCCAGGTTATGTCCAATTATCATGACTCATCGATCAGAATTGGTTGGTTGTGGCTCAGCAGTCTTCTCGCTTAGCCGCACAATTCAACCAGACTGAGCGCCTTGAATGGAGGTCGTTTAAACCAGTGTTTCTAATCATCCCAGTGATTCCGTTTCCCTAGCAAGCCAAGAAAACTGCGCTTTGAAACCCAAAAAAAGGAGAATTGTTGATTACCTTCGTCTTCTTCTTCTTCTTCTTCTTCTTCTTCTTCTTCTTCTTCTTCTTCTTCTTCTTCTGTTTCTTCTTCTTCTTCTTCTTCTTCTTCTTCTTCTTCTTCTGTGGCTTCTTCTTCTTCTGCTTCTTCTTTTTCTTCTTCTGTGGCTTCTGGGCAGTGCCGTGCCTGGTTGGTTACCTACTAAAGTAGTACCTAGGATCCACCAAGCATGAAGTTTGTGATTGGCTCGCCCCTTCCCCTGACTCAAAGATCAAATCGCAGGATCTGAGCGAGCTGCGCCGGCTGCACGGCGAGGCGAGACCAAAATCGCTCCGGGAAGGGCGAGACTCCTATTTTTAGGGGTACCCAGGGGGAACGGCCGGTTTCTGAAAAGAAAAATGGTTGAACATAATTGGGAATCAACCCCTAGACCATTGCCAGATGTGGCGTGCCCCAAACCTGAACTTGGTAAAGGAACTCGTCCCCACACCTCTAGCGACCCTTTCGCGTGTACAAAATAGACCCCCGGAGCTGCTTCTCTTCTCCAAAATTTTCCCTGCCACCCTTTTCACATGGAACCGTTCGACGCTGGGGACCCTGTCCCTTTAAATGGAACATGGTCCAATCCAGGACCCCACGAAACGTCGAACGGTTCCATGTACATTGATGGTATGTATGGTCCCTCTCAAGCAAAACGTGAGCATTTCGCATGTGCGTCCCAATCCCTTAAAATCCACTCTGGATCGGGTCCCTCAAATGAATCAAATGATCTCACGCTCGCATCTTCCCCATAAGAGAATGTGTGAATGAGCATGTTCACACACACACACACAGAGACACACCGAGCCACAGAAACACGCTTGGTCGCGGCAGCTTGAGCCCAAACACCTTAAGGAAGCACAGGAAGCGAGAAACGAGACCAGACCTGTAATCAAGGCATTCAGGACACTCAGGCACCCCACTTGCCCTGGTAAAACGTGCGAGCTGAGCGTTGTTTTTTTGTGTCAGCAATGCTTCGGTTCAAGTAAGTTTTCCATTTTCGAGTAGCGGAACAGAAAACACACGCAATAAAAGCAAATCACCTCCACTGTGGGTGTTTGAAACCTTGTAATGTCTTCGGAATCCGGGCCACCGTCCAGTGGGTTTTTGCTCTGCGCCAGGTTGCTTCGCAGCGCCGGGTCTTGGATCGCCTGCGCAGCCCCCGGCGCTCTTCTCTCGCGGGGGAGCAGCGAAAGGGCACTGGCTGTCTCTAAACCGGGCGGGTGCTGGTATGACCATTTTCATTTTGGATTTGAACAATCCACTTAGGAAGTGAGCTGATTTTCATTTGATCTCATTTGTCCTGGTTGCTTCGCGGGGGTTCCGAGCCATTTCCTTTGTTGAACCTCCAAGAAGGTACCAGCTAGGTGCCATGGCAATATAAAGCGGGAATAAAATTTGAATCCCTGGTTCCACATGTCTAGGTTCCCCAGTAGTTCCCTTTTACCCTTTTTGGGGGGGCCTACTAAAATAGACACAACAAAAGGGTGCTCTTATTTCTAACCTCTCTACTGGAGGACCTAGATGTTTTCCAGAATTGTGGCATCCCTAGTAGCAGTTCAGATATTTCAGATATGGGTGTGTTTTGGCATCCGAGTGAGCAGCAGAAAAGCAGGAAACGAGATCCTCCAAGAGGAGTCTCCTCTCAAAATGATTCCTTTTGGCTTGACTGCTATTTAACTTTTTGTAAATCAAGTTGGGTGTTCCACTAAACCCCCAAAAAGTTAAACTTTTTGCAGGGGGGTCAACAACCAAGTTGGGGTCTGCGGCGTTTGCCAGCAAGACGCAGAGCAGTAGGTGCGGATAAGACTTCTCGTGCGCAGTCGAAGCAAGTGTGGGGTTGTGAGGCTTTGTGAGTCTAGGTCCTCCAGTAGAGCGGTTAGAATAAGGGTACCCTTTTTTCTGTGGTCTATTTTAGTAGGGGAAAGGGCACTACTGGGGGACCTAGCAGTGTTTCTGTACAAAGCACATTCAGAGATGCTGGCAGAATGCAAGATGCAAGCAAGACGCGAACAAGTCCCCGGCACTTTATTGGACAGAGGTCGCCTCGCAGATTGGCAAGTGAAAGCAACAACGAGATCACGAGCTGATCTCAGACTTTACGCTGCTCCCCTGACTGATTCAGACCGCCATCCATCGGCTTATCCCAGTGCCATGGCTCCGGCCGCCCTTTCGATTCATTGCGGCTGTCAGACGGGCCCTTTGTGACCCTGGTGACTTCTAGTCTTCCGCCTCTAAAAGGGTCCGATGAGTCCAGAAGTTTGACAACTCGAACATTGGTTTGGGCCGGGTTTCACAAAGACCCAGGAGAGACATCCGGGTTGTCCCAACCCCTCAGACGTTCGCGCGGTTCGAAAGGCACCCTATAAACCCCCTGAGGTTCTATGCGAAGGGGGGGGGGGGTTGGGGGGCCCTTTGGAGTGCGTGCTGAGGGTCACGCAGCTGGCTGGCGATGGAGTTGCCGCATTCGAGCTTTTGGTGGAGGCGCGGTGGAGATTGCATCTTAGACCTCCGGAAGGCATTTCCCTCGTCTCATTTGTGTTTGGAGCGGGTTTGCCTGTAGAAGCAAGCACCAAGAGGGCTTCCCTTTCAAATCAACTATACCGACAAAATGTCATGTTTGAAGAGGGGTTGCATTTAAGATCAAGTTCCAAAACAACATTAAGTGTTTCCCCCATACGGCGATTCGTCACAGTTTCTCAGTTCGGGTTGGTGAGTTCTTGACCAGAGCAACTAATGACTCTGAGCTTTGCCCAAGGTGAGGCTTTTAAGGCGCCATTCACGAAGACAACAACCAAAAAGCGAGCAAAACCACGGCAGGGGGCTTGGAACGCGAAAAGCACCCCCCGCCGTTTCAATGTTCGGTTGCTGCACGGCCTGGCTCGGATGTCCAGGTCAAAGCCTGTATTTTATTGCAGGGTTGGCTTTTTCAGGTGGAAGCTCTGCTAAATGCGCCCGCCTGAGGAGTGCCAGCACCTGAGCCAGCGGGTCACCCACCTGGGAGATGAGAATGTGGTGCTGCGGTCACGCGCCGGGAATCCTGACCGGAAAGGATGCAATTGGCATATATTGGCATCTGGGTGAATTATAACGACCTCACACGACCTCACCCCAATTGTGGTTTATGTGGGGAACAGCCCCCAACCACCTTATTTCAGGCTGGTGAAATATTATGATTCACCCAGACAAACTGAGGCGGCCATCTTCAACGGTTGCTGTGGTTCAGTATCAGTTCGTGTTTCCTATGCCAGATAGTGGGTTCGCTTGCATCGTGGAAGCCCGTTGTTTAGGAATATCTACAAAAGCAGATAAAAGCAGTGTCAAGAAACCCACCAAAATCAGGACTTCGTGCAGAATTTACTGTAGCTGGTTCTTAGAGTGTAGTGGACGGACGGATTAGGATTGGGGAGCTCGCATGTTCTTTAGAGGGACGCCTTTCAGTGACCTGCTTCTCAGAGCTAAGCTTCGTTTTAATCCCTTGCCCAAACTCTGAACCAGAAAGGGGTCAGTCGGCGAGGTTGCTCCAAACCTGAAATCGGATGACTGAAGTGGTGAGAATATTTAATGTGTTGCCTTCACTGGTTTACTGGAGTCTCCTCCAAAACTATGCATTGGGAGGCCTGAATATGAAAGCCGGAAATAGTCCGTTTGGCGTACTCCAGATGTTTGCCAAGGTTTCCCTACAAGCCTACTGCTGATTCCCTAGAAACAAACGTTGAAACTCAGTCTCTTTCGCTTGTTGGAGCACCCGGGATGCGGTTCTGCGCCACAGCCTAGGCCCAGACGCCGGTGGATCTGCCTTTGCCCCCGCCGCTGCCGGGCAGCGCACAAGAAGCTCAGGAGGACGGAGCCGGCTTTGGGCCGAATCGGGTGAGCTGTTTTGTTTTATCTACATCCGTTTGCTTAACAACATGTTTTATTTTCCCTTGCTGGTTTTAAAGGAAATATATCACTACTGGAAATATGTTCATTTGTTTCCAGGGGGTTTAAGCAAATAGAAGTCTAACATGGTATAGTTGTTTTGTTGGCTGTGGCAAAGGTACTGTTGTTTGTGCCAAAGAAAGCTTGTGTTTTTGCCAACAGTACGTTTGCTTGTTTCCCGAGGTACTTGTGTTTATAGATTTCCACGACAAACCAACACCGTAGATCGTGCTTTTTGTTTTTGCGAGAGCTGAGTTTGAACCACCCACAAATGGAGTTGAAACGTGGTGCACTCCTAAACGGGGACTGGGTTTCATTCCTTGCGGCAACCAAACAGAATGGGTGGGTTTCGCCGACACCTTGGTAATCGCCGACACCTTGGTAGCCTAGGACTGTTTTAGACCAGGCCGTGGTATTTGATGAAACCATGGCTGCAATCATTGGTTGTTGCTGTTTACAGGGGAACCATCCTTCCAGGGTTTCTTAGGTGGCTCATATCAGGCATGTCAGTCCTGCAGGTGTTTGGGTAGACGTTGAAAGAGATAGCCAGCATGGCTGGGGCCGAAGGATCGCGTGGCTTAGCGCCTCTTTCGTTTGCTGCGACGTGCTTGAGTGGCTGTTTTCTACGCGGCAACGAAAGAATGCACACAGTGGGTTGCCCATGCACACCCCTGGAACCGACACCGGGTCAATGTCAGACGGAGACGGACAACCTTGGTGAGTACAAGCGAAAGTCTTGTGGAGGAGGGGACTTTTGTCTCTTTGCGGGTGAGGATTCTGTATCCCTTAAGGAAACCAGAAGGTTATGGAATCCTTTTGGGAAGACTGCAGAGTTTCTGGCTGGTGCACTTCGCGTTAGAGGATATTTGCAGTGGTTCAATTGAAAAGGTCATGGCAGGGGCTTCACTTCTGGTTTTTTGAAGAGTTGAGGATGAAGCTACCGGAAGCTTCCCGGATTTCTTTGTGGCTGAACATTGGCCAAGACTTTCCCACCAATTCGGACCCTGTTGCGGGTGTTTTAGAATTTGTTATTTTTTGTGTGGTTTCCTTTTGGTTTGTCTTCAAACATATCCAACATAATTTTAAATGTAATGCTCTGACGCGTGCTTTCAGAAGAGCCAGTGCTGTGTTTGCCTACTTGCCCAGAGCCGACCTTTGCTGCATGTCAACTTCCCTTCTGCATTAGTTCGTCGAATACGCTTTGCCGCTCTTGTTTTGTGGTTTAATCTTTGTGGCCATAGGTGTCCTTTTTAGGTGAGCCTGGTTAGAATGGATGGCACTGGTTTAGATGGGTTTTGTTCAATTTTACCGGCGCTATTTATGTTTCCAACAGGCCACCTATGTTTGTGGCCCCTTGATAGGTTTCCAGGTCCGGGTGCTTTGGGCGAGGGCAAGTGCCGCTTGCCAGCTAGGGGCGTCTTGTTTTGAGGGCACACACACGGGCTACTTTGGGGGGGAGGTTCTCATTTGGAGACAGACTCACGCAGGGAAACAATAGATCTCGGGGTCTCCCCATTTGGAGACCAAGCCTGGCTTTCGGTTTGCAGGCCAACGCCGTCCTGCGAGCGCGGTTCGACTCTTTGAGTGCCAACTCCTCAGAGGGAGCACGGTGCACTAGGCTTGCTTTTTGTTACTCGGTTCTTTGCTTAAAAGCCCCTGGGTGCAAAATAAAATAGCATAAACATAATGTTTAAACTCCCCTTGAAGTACACCAAATGGCTTTTTTGCATTTCCAGCCCCCCTCTTTAGACCACACCCAGAGCCGGGTTTTTGTGGGGTGTTCCCAGGGGCCCGAGCGGCCCGTGTTCGTTTCCTGGGGAGCGCAACCAGGCCGAGATGTCTGCAACCACCGCCTGGAAGGATGAGGCCGCGCGAGCGAATGTCGCTCAAATGCAATCCATGTAACCTTACCAGAGATCCAAGACTAGGCCCTTTTACCGTTTCTTTTTCCGGGGAGGGTTCCCCTACTAAAATAGACTACAGAAGAAAAGGGTACCCTTATTCTAACCTCTCTACTGGAGGACCTAGAAGACAGGGCTTAAGAGTCTGGAATACATGAGTCACCCGCAACGGTCGAGAGAAAATGGGCTGGGGGGGCGGGGGGAGGGGGGATGAGGGAAGAGTGAGGGGGGATGAGGGGGGGAGGAGAGAGCCCGTGAGGGTCAAGGAAGTTGAATCCCAGGCTTAGCCACCCTGGTTCATTTATGGAGGGGGTTCCTTTTCTGTGGGGACCCTTCGCTTGAATCGGTTCAAAACGAAACTTTACGCCCTATTACCTGTTAAGTTGGCAGACTTTGAAGTTTTTGTTGGCTGGTGTTTTCAGTTTACTCAAAACCACAAAAGTTCGATCTTTGTTTGGCCATCAAACTCAGTACGCTGCTCTCAGTCCCCTTTTTTCGGGGGGGCCGTTGCACCAACGAATGTAAGTATGTATATTGTGTGTTTATACAGTCGTTCATGCCCCTTGCGCCATATATGGGTTACCCACGGCTTGAAGGGAAGATTTTGGTATATGTCCAACATACCCGTATAAACTTAATATACATTCATGTACATATATATATACATACATATGCATATACATATACGTACGCACATACATATACAAACACATACACATACACGTAAACGTATACATATACATACACATACACATATACATATACATATACATATACAAACACATACACATATACATACACATACACATATACATATACATACACATATACATATACAAACACGTACACATATACATACACATACACATATACATATACATACACATATACATCTACATACACATATACATATACATATACATACACATATACATACACATATACATATACATATACATACACATACACATATACATATACATACACATATACATACACATACACATCTACATATAAATATACAAGCATACATGAATACATAGATATGGTTGCAGCCCTCAAGCATAGGCATCTTGGTCGCTTGACCTTGCAGGCGGCCAAGCGCCTGAACCAGCAGGCGCAGGAGATCGAAGCGCTGAAGAACCGCGAGGGGACCAAGCCAGTGCCATCGGAGTCCATTTGATGGCGCAAAGCCTAAAAATGCAATCATTGGAATTAGTTGGCCTGGGGCCAAATCTGGGATTGAATTATTGCAAGTATTGCAGTTATTGCAATACCCAAAAAAGGAAGTTTGCAACATGATTAGACCTGACCCGCCAACCAGCCAGCCAACCAGCCAGCCAACCAAGCAACCCACCCAACCAATCCGCCCACCAGAGCCACTCTTAAGCAAAAGCCATTGCTAGTATTTACAAAAAATACACCTCCAGTTTAGTCCCGCAAAAACGCCGAAATGGAACTCCAGAAGTCACCCCCGTGTCAGGGATGGGCCAAGATCCCTGGCATCACCGGGCTCAGTCTCCCCCTTGATCTGTGGCCACCGCAAGACAGGCATGAGCTCCATGCTGCGCTGCAGGGCTGGCTTCAAAACGTTTAGATTATTGCGGCAGGAATCGGTTTTAGAGCTTTGTCAGGTTTGGTATGTGGTTCGTTTGGAGCTAACCGGGGGCGTGACCACCGCTTGGCCTTAGTTTTGGTTTGGCTATGTTTGGGTTTGAACTTGGGAAACTTGGGGGTGGCTTTGGGCTGGCTTGCATCCGGTTCTGGGGCTGGTTTCAGCGGTGCTGACTGTTGCTTAAGGGGCCTGGGGTATTTGTATTGTGGATGGTTTGATGGTTTGGGGCAACGCACCAAAACCAGGCGCAAGCCATCAAACATGCAATTCACACTACTTTTTGCAACACGTCGGTTTCCTGCACACAGTTTACTTCTTGCAGGGTGGCGCGTCTGGCCAAGATGTTTGCCCTCCGTTGGAACGGCTCGAGCTAGGCCGTTGCCCACCAGACAGAAATATCGACTCGGCCCAGCAAGAACTTCGACTGAAGGTGTACCGAAACAAGATGGGAGTTTCTCCAAGCAGTACTGCCATTTTTGTCTTTTGAGGGAGCCCAGGGAACCCCTGGCCATTTTTGGGGTGACTTTTTTGAGCAACACCGAGATGGCGATGGCAGGTATCTCATTTCGGCGCATGCGGTCGGGGGGTCCATGTTTGGTGCGGGAGTAGCAGAGCGACACGCATCACGGGCTTCAGATGGCAACTTTTGGTGACCAAAGGCATCCCGAAGACAACGTCCATTTGCTTAAGAGTATGTTTTATTTTCCCTTGTTGGTTCTAAAGGGAGTTTATCACTATTGGATTTGTGTTATTATTTCCAGGTGGCTTAAACAAATGGAGGACAAAGAAGGAGGAGCAACCAAAGCAAAGGATGATGGAGGTAGCCAAAGGACGATTCAGCTCTCCACCAAGACAAATGTATATTCCAGAATGGACTAAACATGAAGCAGAACCCCCAAGTACAAGAGGCCCAAAGACGAATGAAGGAAAACCAATTGCTGCAGATTGAAGGTTGGATGTAAATGAGCTTGTCACAGCATGAAGTTATTCACCATTTGTCCCGGGACCTGCTTGGAGGGCAAAAAGAAAGCATAGATGCAAAGGCAGAACCGGTTATCCCCATTGCATCCCTCTCTTGGCGAAAGGAGTGAGGTGCATGCATGAACATGAAGCCCATTTCTTTGTATCAACCGCTTGGTTAGTTGACTGATGAGTTACCCTCCCAAACCACAGCTTGGATTGTTAGTTGACCCAGGAATTACCCTCCCAAGAAACCATGGAACCGCTGGAAGGGACCTTTTAACACATAGGCAGGTTGGTTTGGACAGAATAGATGGGTGCCACTGGTTTAGATTGGTTTCATAAACCATCTACCAGGGAAGCCCATCTAATTGTCTTTCAGAGGTCACCTGTGCTTTGGAAGACCATTCTCCAACAGGGACCATTGTGTTCAGTTTGAGAAAATCAGGGCCCTAGACCTATTGGCCCGAGACCTGTTGGTTTCATCATCTACCAGGGCAACCCATCCATTTGCAACCAAAACTTGGTGGTTCCCAGTGATTCTTTCTTAGGACTTTAGCTTTTGGCCCACTAAAGTTAAGCTTTTAGCAGGGGATCTGAGGACAGAACAGGCGCCGTCTTTCAGGGTTCCACCTCACTGCTATGATTCGCAAGCCGCCAAGGTCTCGCCTCCGTAGCTCCACTGGACGTGCTTGCCCGGGCCTCGTTTTGCTGTCCGATTCGGGGAGAGGAGTAAGATACGCGGTCGTTGGATCAAAGAGTTAAGTTTGCTGTGTTGTTGGTTCTGTTCATTTTTCGCCGGGGGCTGGAAAGTGCAAAGTGTGTTGATACCATGCCAAGGGTTGAAAAGGTAAGGGGTGGCAACAACTCCCTGAGCTCCGTTTCAGACCTCACCTTGAGGCTGAGGAGTAGTCCATGCAAGAGGTGCTGGACGTAAGTCACTTTTTGGGTTTGGACCATTTCAGCGGCAACCAGAAACTTTGGGGACTTTTTGCTGGCCAAGTCGCTGAGGAAGGGAGACAGTCCCAATCATGGATTTTGGGCCCACATTGATACCAGAGTCATCAACATCTGACTCAACTGAATTTATGTGGGTGCCGAATGCTCGGCCAGAAGTAGTGTTCTTGATCTCGCTTTTGGGAAGACCATGTTAGTTCAAAAGTTCCAAGACCGTTTTTTTGGGCCAATGCACTCCAGAAGTGAGTGATGCAAATGAGCCACATTCAAAACCTGGGTAGATGAAGCTTAGTAAGGGGCAGTCCCAGCCAGAAATAATTGCGGATATCATATCTGGCTTCTTAATTCTTTCTGGGTCGACCATTTTAATACCGGGTTTTGATTGTGACTCAGTTGCCCAAGGCGAATCGACCTTTTGACCTTTTGGTTTCTCCTTGTTGGTCTCCTTGTTTGGGCCAATCCACTCCGGAAGTGAGTGATGCCAATAGGGTTGGCAGACCAAAGCTTGCAGCCCTTGGCTCCGTGGATGAAAGGATGACCAAAGGACCAAGATCTTCTGCTCAAGGAAGGGGGGGAAGGGGAGGTTCAACGCATGTTCAGTGTTCCTAATGGGTTCCTTGAGTTTCCTTTAAACATTTTCCCGACCAAACGGGAAGTGAATGCCAGTTCGAGATGTGGTGTTTAAGCAATGACGACAAAGGAGAATACAACGACCCCAGACCCATGTCCGTGTTTGGTGCCTGTCTTGTGAGGCTTGCTGCCGATTTGTTGGGGTTGTCTTAGTATGTGATGATAAAAACAAGAAACAAAAACAGAAGCCCTGTGAAGGTTGGGTGCGAGCATCAACTCTCAGGCACTGGAAGATGCCATGCGCCCCACCGAGGCGGGCGACTTAAGAGACTGGGGTGGACCTCTAAACGAGAACCCACCCCGTGCCATGGACACTCAGAGGCTATGTTGCAGACTCAAATCCCTGAAAAACCAATACCCCAAACACAAAGGGTACAAAATAAACCCAATTGTGATAGGAACCCTCCCCCAAAAACACCCGGGTGTCATTCGCAACAGCAACCCCTGCAACCCTTCCGGAACCCTTCCAATAGCCTTGCCCGGAGTCGCTCCGAACTCTGGAGCCGAATCTAGGCAGAGATCCCATCCACTGAGATACTCTGTGGTGAGCCGTCCAATCACTTCACCCCACCCTGCGGAACCCCCCACCCCCACAAAAAAAAAAATATATATATATATATATATACTAAACACATAGACACGGGCTTCTCTTTCCTTGGAATCTCGTTTCAAGCAGTTCCAAGAAGCCGCTAGAGGTGGATCGTTCAATCACGTAACCCCACCCTCTGCACCTTGCAGGTGTTCGCTGGGTGTTTCTCAAAATAGCGGTCCCCAAAATGGTCAGTTTCCTGTTGGTGTTCCTGAAAAGCACAACCAGAAGGGGGCAAACCTTTTGAGAAACTCCCAGTTGGTGAAGTGTGGGTTGCCCAAACCTATGTTTGGGCAAATGATATCGCGGCAAAGGTTTCGGTTTGTGATCGATTTGCACCACGAAGGTTCTTTGCTAGCCGTCATTTCAGGGCAGGCAATGGTTCTGATCCACGCCGATCGTGTGACACGCCAACGTGATGCCTTCTTCGATGTGCGTCTTGCCCGCGCAAGTCCAGAGCCCCCAAAACTGGCTAGGGAGTGTCTCAAGGGCACCAAATGGGTGGCTTCTTTTTTGTCTTTGGTATCCCTTAAACCCAACCGGAAGGGTGCTCTGAAACGGACAAACTTCACTCATATGTTTGGACGCGACGTTTCTGAAAAGCCGGATCAGCATCTCGCTGCACGCCAGCGGAGCTATCCCGGGATTCCGGCCTCAAGAGTCGTCAGGATGGCCTTTGGCATCTAGTCCCAGCAAGGTTTGAGCTTGCCCCATGGATCAGCATCGATGTTGTCAGAATTGGCAAACTTGCCACGTTTTCAGCCGGACTCGACGTGCATGTTCAAAGCTGGCTGCTCATGAGATTTGAAGGGGAGATCTTTGGCAGTTACGATTCATCCGGAGATGCATGCGCGATTCTTGTAACATGCAAGCCAACTGCAAGCCATCGAATTGCCGGGTTTGCCTCGTCCGCTTGCAAAATGGAGAAAGGACACCAGCATACAAACTGGCTCGTACTTGAGTTCCGAAGTTGGTTTTTCCGCCTTCGATCCGAAGCCCCCATGAACCAACCCGCTGGATGAGAATGTATTTTGCGAACAAGCACTGTGTCATGGTGAAAACTCCGAATCTGTGGGTTCAGGGACATGGGTATCTAAGGTTTCCATCTGAGGATTGACCATCCAACTCTAACCTCTAACCCCAAGGAACAAACTCTAACCCCGAACGCTTTCCAATACTGATTCAGAGCAGCAAGGGCAAAAAGCCATGGCAAGGTTTGGCCCTTGCGATATGGGCATGTGTCAAAATAGGGGGCCCGTTTCGATGGTTCCTTTTGGGCTCCCTTTTAATCCAAACCAGGTAGCCTCGAAAAAGCTCGCAGGAGGAGCTGCGAAACCAGCTGGAGCGCTCTGAGCGGCAGAGGCCAGGCGAACCTACGAACTTAAGGGAAATCCAGTTGCAACCTACCAGTCAACTGCAACTTAAGGGAAATCCAGCGAATTCTGTGCTTGGTGGGGGTAGGAGCCCTTTAAAGTGAACTTCTTGTCCGATGGAAATGCACTGGAGGTCCAAGTCCTCTCACTTCTGATGGACCAAGTGGTCACTTTTGGGGTTTGGACCACTTCAATTGTGAGAAAGCTCGAAGTTGGTCAAGGCCAATCCACTCAAGTGAGGCGGTCCTCTTTTTTGGAGGTGCTTGTTGATGCCTTTAAAAGCAACGACCAAGAGCGCGTCCTGTTCAGATCAACCACCCAAAGCATGGTCGTTTTGAAGAGGGGTTGCCATGTAAATTGCCTACATAAGCACGGAGACCCTTTTTCCCTCATGGTTTCGATGTCTCCATGCCCCCAAGTGGCTGGCGCCTTCTTGCTTTGGATCAAACGTGAACGGTACCAACAAACTCCGAAACATGCTGTGCGCTCAAAAGCAAAAGCATGCGGCGAGAACTATCCGATTCGCTGCTCCAGTTCCAAGGAAGTCCCCTTTGAAGTGACAAAGTAGTCATACTGGGGTCTGACTGGGGATGGCCAGCATCCTGGACTCCCTTCATCTTTGATATCGCAGGGTCTCCATAGTCATGACCTGCGCCTGGGGGTTTTGGGATGCCCCTTAGGCTAGACCTGGAGATCCGGAGTCTTGGCCTGGCCTTTCCCGGTGGCTTGCCTTTAAAGCCAGCCTCTTTGCGCATACCAGCCCAAGCAGTTCGCATTGAAGCGCGCTTCGCGGTTCTTAGCCCATGTTTTGAGGGATTTGTCACATAGCCCTACAATCCGCGTGATAAAGTAGGTATCGGGATGATCATCCACAACTATGCGACTCAGTTTCTGAGAGGGTTCCGAACTACAAACCTGCAGCAACCAGTGAACTCTACAACCATGAACTGGGCAAACGCGGCGACGTCACTAGGAGGTTGGCGACAACATAGTGAAGGTTCCTCTACATATTAACATGGAACCCAAAGGGTCCGATTCTAAAAATGGACGTCCTCTACAATCCTCTACGAGAGTGGAGTTTTGGGTTCCATGGCAACATTTGTAGGAAAAATGTCCGGGGAAGTATCATTTGCCAAGAACCACTCAGCATAGGTGTCCTTTGTGGTTGGTTTGCATAAAAGGCCCTGGTTTACTTGGTGGTTCAATCATCTACCAGGGCAACCCATCTATTTTTCAAAAAGGACACCTATGCCACTCAGATCAGGAAGCCTAGCCATCAGTGTTCAGGTCGAACCTGGACAAACTGCTGGCTGCTCAAACCGCCCGCGCGGCGGGCTTGGCCAATCTGCCGTCAAGAGCTAGATGGGTGTGTGTGTGTGTTGTTTTAGGGGCCCTGCCCAAATCTTTGGTGCATTTTGCTTGGATATTAGGACTTTAACTTTTTGTCAACTAATGAATTTTCCATTAATTAAACCACTCAAAGTTAAACTTTTAGCAGGGGAGCAGAAAGCAACCGAGAAATGGTTGTCCTCTTTGTTTCCCCTTTGTGCCCAAAATAAGGAGTTACCTCCAAAACAGACGAGTCACCCAAATGGAACCAATTCTGGCGTCGCCTCCAAAATGGCAGGAACCACAGCACATAAATCCCACATGACTGTCCACCAAAGGGGTCCCCAGTGAAATTACATAGCCAAATGAATCCATATGTCGGGTAGACGAAATATGAAGCGGAGGCTGAACATTTTCCTTAAACACACGCACACGCACACGCACTCGCACACACACACACACACACACACAGCCGCTGCAAAAAACAGCGACAGTCCCAAAATCAGTTGCTCCGATCTACACATGAAGTTCACTCAAGTTGCCCAGTAGTCTGTGTATGCTTTGACCGTGGCACACATGCTTGGGGGCCCATCGAGCCGTTCGTTCTGATGCAGCTTCCTGGATTTCGATCAATGGCTGGAGCACCCAACAAAATGGTGGGTAGACGTCAGGTGTACATGATGGGTCCCAATAATTTCATGCTCAAAGTGAAAGGGTAGAGTCAGTAGAGTCACACGGTTGTGGAACAGCAAGTTGGAAGGCCACTTTTTGCAATGCCCGGATGGTTGGGGAAGGCAACCATGGGCTTCAACCACGTTGACGTCGATTGTGGTTTCCCAGCCTTGACCATGGACAAATTGGTACCAAATTGTGTGGCCAAGAAGACTTTCCAAGCGACAAAGTTTGAAGTGACAAAGCACCAACCCCGCGGCTGCAAAATTTAGTAGAGATCCTCACCTAGGTTCCCCAGTAGTGCCCTTTTACCCATTTTTTGGGGAGGGTTCCCCTACTAAAATAGACTACAAGAAAAAGGGTACCCTTACTCTAACCTCTCTACTGGAGGACCTAGTCACAAGCTGGACGTGAGGTCCCCGGGTCCAGGACCTATTGAAATTGACACCAGCATGTACGCGGAACCCCAGCAAAAGGTCGTCTCCCCTTTGGTTTCCCTGCAAACCACCAAAACCGCTACATACAAAAAAATGACTGACCTATATTCCACAAGGTACCTTTTGTCTTCTCCAGAATTAGCTCCCCTTATTGATTTTTTTTGCTTTTTTGGGCGCCCCTTTGTTTTCCACTAGGGGGCTCCAAGTGACAACGTAGTGATTGAAGTGATGCAACTACGAACCCATGTGGGGATTTCTCAGAACAGTGGCCCCTAACATGGTTGGCTTCCTTTTGGTTTTCTTGAAGCTCGCAACCAGCATGTGGCCTGCCATGTTGAAAAGCACTCATGCAGTTTGTCACCGCCCAAAATGAATCATGGTTGTTGTCGGGAAACATTTTACATGTTTGCTTATTGTGGTTTAGTGGTTGAAATCCAAATCCACTGAACTACTATTATATATATACATATATATGTATATATTTGCTCCCCTTCCAACGTCGACCTCGTACCCAGCAAGCCCGGAACGCTTAGCCCCTGCCCCGGATCGCTCGGACCGCTCGGATCGCAGACCCTCCGCTTTCGAGGTGGCGGAGCTCTCCGCAGACCTGGAGGACATGCAGCAGCGCCTGCGAGAGGCGCGAAGCGGGGAAAAGTTGGGTCGAAGCGTTTTCGGCGTCCGGTTCTTCCATTTGCTGAAATGGCTGTGGCTCAAAAAACCGGTACCAAAATGGAACCCTGGTAAGTGGAAACATGGACCAAAACCTGCGTAACCCCTCCTGTTTAATTTTGAGCCACACCCAAATGAAATTATGTGTTATGTTCCCTTGTTCCTTGCTGAAATGAATATGCTTTATTGTGGTGTGGCAATTGTTGATGTGGCAATTGTTGAAAGGGAAGCCACAACTTGCATTTGCTGAAAAGGATATATGTGTTATTTTCTCTTGTTGGTTTTAGAAGGAGTTTCTCACTGCTGGAAATTTAGGTTTTTACTTTTTCCAGGGGCCTTAACCAAATGGAAGTTTTGATTGCTGAGTTTGGGCAATGAAATCCATGGGTTCCACTGGTTCGGATTGGGTTTTTTATCAACCATTCGGGAAACCCGTCCATTTTTTTGTCCAAAAGGTCACCTGTGGGGATAGAGCTGTTCTTTCTGGTTGGTGCGGTAGGGAAAGAGACTTGGAATGGGCATCCCCAAAGCCGCTTCATTCCCAACACCCCGTCTCGGTCCTTCCCTCAGCAAGTTTTCGGGTTTGTTGGACAGTCGAGGGGGATTCCTGGTTTGCCTGGCGGCTCAGTCATCTACCAGGGAAACCCAGCAATTTTCCAAGCAGCCCATGCAAAGGGGTGTCCTCCTTGATGCTAGCTTTAACCTTTGGGACTCATGTCCAATAGGTTCCATACAAATGCATCCATATATTACATGTTTGTGGGTAGACTAAATGTGAAACTGAAATCAGACGCATACTTTGTGAGGGGTTCCCCAGATGGCCAAGTCAAGTCCTTCTTTCCCATATGTCCACCCCTCTGTAGACTCGCGGTGCATGAGCCTTCCCATTCTCCATGCGATGGGTTCGAGTGGGTCCGGGTACAAACTGGAGCCCCCATGTTGGGATGGGTGTTTGCCAGGCTGGCACAAGAAGCCCGCTGAATCAGAATCATGTCCGGCTCGTTGGGGTGGCGTTTTTGAGAAGCCCAAGAGGCAGGTCTTGAGGCCCCCGAGTTGCCCGCCGCAAACCGACCGCCGCAGTTGGTGATGGGAAAGAGCGGCCTCGCGATGCCTGAAGCCTCGCAGGCCGAAAGCCGAAAGCGCGAGCCGCTTTTGGATGTCAATGAACGGTGACCCCATGTGAATCAACCCCTGTTGATTACTCCAAAAGTGATGATCCCCCACAAAACCCAGGGACGTGTCTCTTTTGGTTTTGCTCACTCTGGAAAGTGCTTGGTGTAAGGCTTTGGGATGATTTATGCTTTCCAAAGTTGGACCTCTGGGTCGGAAGGCCGTGTAGGGGCTTCAAAAGAGATTGAAGGGTGAAGAGGCTCCTTTTGGATCGAGGTTTCTTTTTGGGGCCTGGAAGGTTGTGTGACCGAAGCGTCCATACGGATCAACTGACTCTGAAACCTGCTAGCGCGAAAACCACCAATGTAGGGGACAGTGTGACAGTGTGATGGTTAAGAATAGATAAGGAGCCAGCAGAGTCAACACCTTTGCACGCTCTGGAAGCGGTTCCTAAAAGCTCTGAAAACCCTAAACTACCACCGCAAATGTGGTGCCTGGGCCACAGGCACGCACATGTGCAACAAGTATTGTCCTTTCATCCAGCAATATATGTGTGTTTGTTTTTGAGGTACTTCTTGTTTTGTTACTGTCTTTTGGGTTACAAGGCAGCCAGCCCCAAAAACAGCACCCATAGTTTGACCGGCCCATGGACCGCCCCACCTTGAGATGAAAACCCACTTTCGCTTGAAATCCCTGGGTCCTGGGGAAACCATGTGTCTCATTAAACAAGAAAGAAGCAGACACAAAGGGGCATCGTGTTGACCCCATGTTGCTCAACCCCTGTTTACTACTAGAGGGGGGGTCCCTGGGTTTGGCAGGGACTTCTCGCTCTTGCAAGGGATAAGTCCCCCTGTGCATAAACCGGGGTTGATTTATATAGTTTTCATGTGGGGGCAAGAACAGGCCCTTTGTATGGCCCAAGTTCTTGAGTGGCACCCACCCCTTTTCTTGGTTGGGAGGGTTCCCCAACCTAAAATAGACGAAACCGAAAAAAATGGGTGCCAACTTATGCTAACCTCTCTACTGGAGGACCTAGCCCATGGGTTTTCTTTTCCCTGTTGTTTTTCCTTTTTTTAACCAGCATGGGCAAACCCCCACCATCTCCGCAGGCGGTGGTCAGGGAGCGGATCCGGATGGAACATCAGGAGGGGGTTAACACTCGCCGCGTAAGCCGCGAAGTCATATCTATTCCTGTTAAACATGGTTGTTGTTGGGAAGCATTTTACATTTTTGCTTTTTGTGGTTTAGTGGTCGAAATCCCCACTTAACTGATAAAATTTAGTTGTTGCTCCCCTTGCAACGTCAACCTAGTGAACTAGGGTCGACTCCAGTGGGGATTCCATAGTTCAGGGTCTGAGTATGAGTGTGTCGTTTTTTTGTTTTATCGTGTTTTTTGTTGTAACGAAGCCCCATGTTGGTTGCGTTTAAGGGAAAGTTAAAAGGAGAACCACTTTTGTGGGGGGCGGGTGTTCTCTGAAAAGAGACACACCCACATGGACCAGAATCTGAAAACGTGAGTTAGTTGTGTACAAATTTGCGGAGTCCAAGGCAGTTCAAACCCAATGAGAAGCGCCCCATCGGCCGGTTTTGTTTGCGCTTTGACCAAAGCCGCAAGCTCTCAGTCGGTGGTTGGTGGCTGGCCCGCGAGAACTCGGGGATTCTGAGCCCCAAACGACCAACCCAACCACTTCGGGGAGACCTCAACAACCAGACCTTTTTTTTTAAATATAAAGGAAGCGGACCCAAAGCAAAGAACTTGCAGCTCTCAAAAGGTGAACACTGGGAAGATGCCCAGACAGGAACCGTTTTAATACCTTCCAAGGCTGAAGACCGGGCAAGCATCGCGTCGGTGAAGCAATCCAGCAACATGAGGTCTGATATCATGGCCCTATGCTTGCACCGGGCAGCCTCGTGAGGACATGAACACGTTGCAACAGTGGCCGAAATCGCTATTTTGGCAGTATGAATGATGACAACTCATTTGCTTGGACAGGTGATGAGAGACCGGTTGGCGCAAGTGATGCTGGAGCCGTGATGATGATTATGATGATGATGATGATGACGACGACGACGATGACGATGACGACGATGACGACGATGATAATAGTGATGATGATGATGATGACGATGACGATGACGATGACGATGACGACGATGATTACGATGACGACGCTGACGATGAGGAGGAGGAGGAGAGGGAGGAGCAGGAGGAGGAGGAATAGTTTTCTGCATAGGATTGTGATTACGACTACGATTGTGTTTCTGATTGTGATGGTGCTGGTGCTGGTGCTGGTGTTGGCGTGTGATTTGTTGGTGTTGATGCTGGCGCGACGATGGCAATGATGGCGCCGACGATGCGGATGAAGCAGAAAGTTGGTCAGTTCCGAATCGTAAGCCGTGGCTCCGCTTCATCCAGAGATTGCCTGAGCATGCGTCGCTCGCATTTTTTAGATGACCTGAGCATGGCGTCCGCATTTCCGCAATCTCTTGCTGTGAAAGTGGACGGCTACAGCGCGTCACCCATGCATCCAAGTAGAGACCCCAAAAAATGTGGTCTTCTTGGGTGCTAGCCCATGTTAGATCCCCCCAAACCACAGGATGTGTTGATCATTTCTAGACCCCTTATTTAACCAGCATCACCTACAGCGCTTAAGAAATGTTGAAACAGGTTTCAACACGAGATTGGGCGCCGCCTTCTTGCCCTTTTGCCCTTTGCTCTTTTGGTTGCACTCGTTTGGCCCGGAAAATGTGTGTCTTGTCCCGACCAAAAACAGACCCGGGTCTTAACCGGTGAGCCACAGGACGACTTCGATCTTGGTTTGAGGGAACCCCGAAACTGGGTCCTTCGCCGCCAAACTGGGAGGAGTGTGTGAGTGCGTGAGTGCGTGAGTGCGTGAGTGCGTGAGTGCGTGAGTGCGTGAGTGAGTGAGTGAGTGAGTGAGTGAGTGAGTAATTGAGTGAGTGAGTGAGTGAGTGAGTGAGTGAGTGAGTGCGTGCGTGCGTGCGTGCGTGCGTGCGCGCGCGCGCGTGTGTAACGGTCCTTGAGGATACCCTCGGGGAGAGCCTCGGAGCAATCGCCTAGGAGCAGAGCCGCGAAGAGGTGCGGGCCGCACAGCGGCAGGCCGCGCAGGCAGCACAGGCTGGGAGCAGTGGATGCCAACTCATGGACGCGTCTTTTTGGGGGTAATTACCCTCTTTAAGGAAAATCGCGACTTGTTTTGGGCGGGTCTCCTCGAAAAAAACAAAACACCCATATTGCACGTTAGGGGGAACAAGGAAGCATTCTAATCTAGCTGTGATTTCTCATGGTGTGGTTTGGGGAAGCGCATCTTCCCGAGTTTGTTGCCCGGGACTTCTGGGAGCCTTGAAGTTCTGTACAAGGAGCCCTCCTTCGATCTGGGTCACGAAAAGTCAAAGTCTGAGGGTTGCCAAAACCTTGTTTGACATGTCCAACCTGCCAGGTTGGCTCAAATGGGGACAGTACCCAGCTTACACAGCTGAGGCTTCTCTTTTGACGTGTTTACATGTTTTCGGGCTGACTCGGTTGACGTCAGTCAAAGCTGCTCCTTCCAAGTCCGGTCGGATGCGAAGCGTCATGGTGAATCAGCTTGCCTGAATTCACAGAACGGCGTTCTGCATGGTGCTCAACGGTGCGCTGTTTCGTTTTGCTTGCGTGCTTGTCGCATTTGCTGTTGCGAATATTCTGGTCATGTGGCTTTGTGTCGAATCCCTTTTGAAAGGAAATACAGCGAATGTCCCACAATTCGCGGGGGAAAACACTAAACACCAGAACAAAGCAGGTGTCTCAAGAAAGCATGGTTGTGTATGGAAAAAAACACGGTTTTGTGTTTATGGGTGTTCGTACGGAACAATACTTTTGTCCACAGTTTGTCTGTTTCTTACGGGTCCAGATTCCCAAAACCCGGTTCTGCTTGTCAGAACCAGGCTTTGTGGAGAAGCTGAAAACCCTGGCCGGCTTTGGAAACGGTAGCCTAGGGTGTGTGTGTGTGTGTGTTTGTTGGGCTATATTCTTTCGAAGGTATCGGGAGATGTGGCAAGCCCTTGCTCGAAGCTTTGGCATGCGGGTTGACCCAGAGGTGTTCCTTGGCCTTGGAAGAAAGGTGGAGGGACTCGCAGGTTAGGGCGAGGCCTTTGGCGTCAAACATCGGCCAGTACGGCTGGCGCGGTACCGTTCGTTCCCTGGAAAAGGTGAGTCAATGCACATTGTGGGCTGGTTCTTGTGGACTTGCCAAATTGCCAAACTGAGAAAAACCACCAGGGTTCGGGCAATTGTTGTTTAAACAACGAGGCCTTTAGAACCTTCACAAGGCCAAAACGAGGCTGTTGAAACACGTGGGGGTTGATCAAAAGGTCCTTTACATGGGATGACCATTGTGGGAAGCCACTAACAGCCCGACAGATTTCCCACAGGAGAAGTTCACCATGGTCCAAGCTGGCCCACATGGTCCAAGCTGGCTCACTCCCTGAGTTCTAGGTGCCCTTTGACCAACCCCTTGTTTGGTTGGGAGGGGAACCCCCTACTACTAAAATCGACAGTAAACAACGTGGGTGCCCTGTTTCTAACCTCTCGACTGGAGGTAGTAGTCACTTCATTGGATTGGTTACTCTTTTTGGCCAACCCGCTCAATGAGAAGTGAGGGGTCAACCCGGACGTTGAACCGAATCCCAATCCACCGGCAGGAGGCTTCAGACCTGCGCAACGCGAACGGCAGCCTACAGGCAGCCGAACTACGAAGCCCCGTCTCCTCCAAAATGGTTGTGTATTGACTGTATGTCGGGAATACCCCGATGAACCCTGTTTGTTGTTTTTGATGGGGGCAGACTAAACAGGAAGCAGAATCTGTACACTTCTGTTTTTTGGCGCACCCCAGAGTTGGCTTCGGGACCCGCGAGACTTCAAGCTAAAGCAACAAGCTCACACATGAAGGCCGTTGAACATGGGTTCCCACATGTCCAGCTTGTGTTTTATTTTGCAACTTCCTAGATGCAAACTGTCACGGTTCAGTATCTTGGAGACGAACAATTCTTTGCGGATGGCGGTTTGCTTTTACTCACTTCCTGAGTTCATGCACTTTAAACTTTTTGGTAAGACCGTTTTGGTGGCAAATACAAAGTCCATCCACTCAGCAAGTGAGTTTACGTTCCTTTGAAATCAACCCCCAAATCAGCGCTAGACTTAGCACCTCTTTGCCGCCCCCTTTTGGGTGTCCTTCCCCGCGTCTCGAATCGATCCGTATGGCCGGACCTCCTTCGATTCGCTCCAGTCGCCACGGTCTCATTAGAGGATCACCGGACGAGAGAGTTTTGAGGTCTCCACGGGACGGGTTTTGAGCGGTGTCGATGGGAGTTGGTCCAGTCCAACTTTTTGTTGGCCCGGCTAGGGCTTATACACTTATAGTCCATGTGGTGGCGCTCTACTCCAATACCATCGTCTACCTAGATCCTCAAGCGCGAGTTCTCGACCAACGGCTTCTGGTAACCGTTAAAAAAAGAAGCATTTAGAGTTCAAAAGAGAAGAGTTCTCAAAATGGCTGTGGGTCAAAAACCAATGGATTTTTTCACCCATTCGTCTATTTCAGTGGGGATTGGTTGATGTTCACTGGGGGTACGATTTGGCTTGGGATTTTGCCCCATGGCCAATGACCGGAGGTCAAAAAAAACCCACTTTCGCCCCGGCCGCGTCACTCGGGCGAACGCCAAATCGCCGCGCCGCGCCTTCCGACACGTCCCGACCGCCAGGCGCAGCTGGGGCAACAGGTCCAGCGCCAGGCGACGCAAAAAACGGGAGGGGATCTGGAGGACGTGGTTGTTGGGACACATGTTTCACCTGTTTGCTTGATTTTCCTCTAGGGGTTCTTAGATTTTTGTTCAGGGACTTTACATTTTTCTAATCCCCCCAGCTAGGTGCCAACTTTTTTGGTTGGGAGGGGAACCCCCTACTAAAATAGACTACAGAAAAAAGGGTACCCTTAGTCTAACCTCTCTACTGGAGGACCTAGCATGGTTGTTGTTGGGAAACATGTTTTTTGTTTTTCATGTTTGCTTCTTGTGGTTCAGCGGTTGAAACCCAACCACCTAACTGCTTATTATTATTAGTTATTATTATTATTATTATTATTATTATTATTATTATTATTATTATTATTATTATTATTATTATTATTATTATTATTTGCTCCCCTTCCAACGTCAACCTGGATAAGAGAGAGCAAAAAAGCAAAACCACTCTTCAGCCTTGCTGGTGCGATAGGTAGGGAATGAGAAAGGGAATGACCCCCCAAGGAGCCCATCCAACTTGTCCTTTCAGGCCAAGGCCTGGGTTCATTCCCACATTCCCTACCTATTTCGCACCAGAAAGCAACCCTCGCAACCCAAAAAAAAACGCCCGAAGCGGCTCCAAAGCGCCATACAGCGCATTCCAACGCGGGGGGATTTTGTTGTCAGTTGAACTTTCAATCAACTCGAGTTGCACTTTCATGATAATGATGTGTCAGTGGTTTAAGAAACATTTTTTGGGGGGGAGGGGGGCCTTACAGTTCATGCCTCAGCTGCCACAGCTGCCTGGCTGTTTTGGTTGTGGCTCAAGACGGCCTGGTTTCTTGTGAGGGTAGTACTCCCCCAGTGAGCATGGAGCCCGAGAAGTGGTCCGGAAGCAGTTCCTCTGAACACGGCCGTTGGTATGTGGAGTTTCAGGCGACCCTTTTTTGGGCTTGAAAAGGACACCAGACAGGAGGTCGACCTTAACATAGGGGGTCGCCTATCTTGAGACATATATGGGTATGGTCAAAATTAAGCCACCAGGGGACCACAGGTTTTAGTCCGTTGTCTCGGTTCCATTTGTGTCCATATTTTTGACCCACACCCATAGGTAGGGAAGCAACCGTCGACGGTTGAGACCAGCTGGGAGTCTCTGGAAAGTCAAGTTCCACGCGCGGGGTATTTCTGAAGGTCGATCGCTGAGATGAGTTTCTGACCTTTGGGACTCCAAAAATGTGGCTTCCTCTTGGCTGATTGTTTGACCTGTTGCAGCTGCAATGGACCATCCGATAGTTTCAAGCATAGTTGCTTGGATGTCGGTCAGGGCAAATAGTGGGCCAACTGGGCTACAACTCCTTTGTGACAGGGGCAAGTCCACTTCAGGGGGTTCATAAGTGAGCAAGAACCTGCTGTTGGTGGGCAAAAAGGGTGTTGTCTATCTCAGCTGCAAGAGTTCGTCCATCCAGACTACTTTTTTTTTTTGTGGGTGAGCTGAACCAACAACAATACACATTTGGCCGAACACTGTAGCACAGTCCAGGATCCGCCGAGCGCAGGTAGAGCTGGCTACCCAATTGGAGCAGTTCCGCCATTTGGCCGGGGGCATGGAGAGCACTTGAGAAAAGGCGACCATCGGGGCAATCAGGCCTCCATCTCCCGGGGGTTTGTTGATAGGAGAATCCAATGCTCACGTGGCCGAAGCCGACCTTTCAACTTTTGGTTGCGCGGTTTGTGTCCATTTGTAGTCATGGCCCCAAAAGGTTAACCGTTTTTCTTCCATGGGCAACTGTGGCATACGTGGCTTGTGTCGACCTTGTCATGGGCGAAGCTGTCCATTGGATACCAACCTAGATGAAGCCGCAAGATGGATGAGACATGTTTGTTCCAAGGCGGATACGTCTCCTGCCGTCGTACCTGGCATGGAAGAGGCTGGTCGAAGATGAGAGCCCTCACAAGTGCCTGGAGTTTCTGCTTGCCCAGTGCAGGCACTGCCAGACTTATCCAACTGCTTTGCTCTTTGGCCCTTTGCTTGTTGGTTCTCAGCCGGGGTGAGGGACCCCTATAAACCATCCCCTATGGTTTCCTGTAAGGGCCAGCAAGTTTTGGGTGTCCTTCAATGTTCCCTTTGCCTTTGACCAGCAACACATGTCCTTAGGGGGATCTAAGTGAAGGCCTGCAGTGCCCACGGTTTTTAAAAGCTGTTCAATTGAATGGTAATCCGGTTGCCTTGTCCTTTGGTCCCCAACTTTGCGGTGTTTGGGGGGCTTGTGGACTGGCATTGACCCCTCTTTTTCTCTGCCCAACGCGACCATTCAACCTTGTGTCACAATTTTGGTCCATTTGGGTATGGATTTTAATAAGGGGTCCTTTGGTGGACATCAAATTTTGGTGGGGATTCATGTCCACCAATCACTTTTGAGGTAGTTGCCTATTAAAAATCAACGGCCATCTTTGAAAGCTCCTTTCACCTCCAGTGTGAAAAGGGGTGAGCGGCAGAACCTCGCCTTCTAAACCGCCGAAACCGGGTATGTGTTCCAAGCCATCCTTGCGCAGACCTCGCTGGATTTCCCAACCATTGGGTTGGTTTCCTCAGGATGAGTTTTCAAGGAACCTCAAAAGCGGTTGGTGGGCATGACTCCCGCGCCCACTTTTGCTGTCCACCTGTTACTGTGGACGGTTGAACTCGAAATCCGGAAATCGCACCGCGGTTCATATGAAACCATGGGTACTTACGTTGGGGAAGCATCATTCCAGGGTGGTTCATTTCATTGGGGGGAACAAACAATTCCAGGGTGGTATGTACATGGGGGAGGGGGGGGGGGGGAAATCCAGGGTGGTATTTACGTTGGAAGGAACAAAAACACGAAGCCCGTGGGGCTTTCTGAACGCCGCGTCTGCGTTGGATTTCGCCAAATTCCGCCGCTGGACTCCGGCAAAGCCAGCGCCGTCTCGCGAACGGCAGGTGGCGAGCCGCCTCGCGAAGCGCAACGAGGACCCGGTGAGCTGCGAGGGAAGGGAAAATGAGACACCATGGTGGTTGTTCGGAAGCATGTTGACCATGTTTGCTGAAATTGTGGCTTAGTGGTCGAAATCCAAATCCACTTGACTGCTGAAATATTTAGTTGTTGCTCCCCTTCCAACGTCAAGCAAGGACATGGAATGAGCCCGAGATAAACGACAAACCATCCAACTGGTGGTTTCCTTTAAGGAAATCCCAACAGCAGAAGGGGTTGGCCCCCTTAAAGAAGCCAACTAATGCTAGCCCTGATTAGTACCTTCCAGTTTTTGAATCAGGGGGCCCAGTTTTCTTGACAGGACTCTTTACTACAAGGAACCCCCTCAATAATACGGAAGTGGGGTGTTACTCTGTTGTTCAGTGGCTCCCTTTTTCCCCCTTTTTTTGTTGGTGGCTGCCCCACTAAAATGGTCTTCCCAAAAAAGGGTTCCATTTTTTTCCAGGGTCACTGAACAACTGAGGTTATTGTTCAGGGCTCGGCACTACGAGAGCGCCCCTTTTGCCCATGGCCACCGGAGCGCACACCCTGTTTGGAGCACAAGGGGATTCAAAGCTTGAGGGGTCCCGATTTTGACACATACTAGGGGGGCCTACATCGGAGAGAACAGACAGGAACAACTAATGTGTCATTGCTAGGATTCTTTGGTATCTCAAGCACATTTCCAAAATGGGGTTCCTGACTTTTGGAAGCATCCCCCCCATTTTCTCGTTTCCGACAATTGTGGGACACGATGCAAAAGGCACATGATGTTCAACTTGGCTAGAGGGACCCACATGATGTTCAACTTGGCACATGTTAGATGGCACAGCTGCGTTCCATCACGCGTCGTCCAGGCCCCCGATCCACATATTTTTGCTCATCCTGCATGGGAGGCGCAAGGAGGGAACACCCTCAAGAATTGATGATATGTGAAAACGACCCAGTCAACCAAGACGCCCACCCATGAAACCCCATAAAATGATTGGGGGATGAGTGATTGGTGTCCAAGGATCCCAAAAGAAGATTATGGGGGCTGGCGGGGAGGGGGAGCCCAAATAAGCTCTAAATAAGGGCTTAATATTGTATTTTTTTGGGCACACTCCCCCTCCCCTCCCTCCCCCCCAGCCCCCATGAAAAAGACGACCCAAAGCCACCAGAAGGTCCCGAGAGGAAGTACTGGGCCAAGCCAGTAGCTTGGCTCCACGTGGCGAGTCGCACACGCAGGAGCTCACAGAGCAGAACGCCCAGCTGCAGAAGGCGCTAGAAATGGCCTCGGAGCTCTGACCTCCAAGAACCTACAGGTTCCCCTACTAAAATAGACTGCAGAAAAGGGCCCCCTTATTCTAACCGTTCTACTGGAGGACCCAGTGCAAAGATGGCCCTTCTAAAATGAGTGACATTCCTTTGCTCATTCAGACCAATCCCAACAAGGGCCTCAATTCAAGACACACCCGAAGATCTGCCTGGTTCTTGAAACGAAGGATGGGCTGAAAAGAACCGGAAATCAACAATTGGAGCGAGATGAATGCACGGATTGCATTGATTTGAGGCCACCCTTGTCGGGATTGCTCAAATGAGAGACCAGAGGAATGCCCAAAGCATTTACCATTTCGTAGGCGGTTCTACTTGTTCCTTCTTCGGGATTGTACCGTAAAAAGTCTTCACATTCAAGCAAAGTCAGCTCGGAAGAGTTTCTGGTCGCTGCTCTTCTTCCCGGAAATCCGGCGAGCTTACGCCAGGAAGTTGGCATCTTAACGGCTTGAGGATGTTGGTGTTCCTTGTGGTTTCCCAGTCAACCCCAGGGCCCCAAGGCGGGTACCCTGAAAAAACATACAGGGTTCCAAGTATGACTGAAATTGTGGCGAGTTTCCTTTTGGGAAATATAGGGACACCTGCCAACCCCGCATGCTGCGCTTGATTTAAATGGCACGCGTAGGATTATATTGGCAATCCCCCGATTCGCTTGTTTTGAGTGTATGCGTGGGGTGATGTTTCAGCGCGAAGTATGTGGCTAGGTTTACCAGAGCCAAATCTTTTAAAAGAAATGGCCGTTTGTCCCGTAAGCTCACCAAAGGGTTCCCGAACGAAGATCCATTTCAGTACTGAAAGGGCATGGGACGATCGGGGCCTGGCCCTGGTTCGTGCTGGGAAATTTGGGTGGCCCCCCCCATGACTACCACTGTCAGTAACTCACTCCCTAAGTTCCTGGACTTTGAGCTTTTTGGGAAGACCATTTTAGTGGCAACCAAACAGTTGGCACTTTCTTTGGCCAACCTAGGTAGGAAGCAAGCCAGTAGTGCCAGTTGCTCATACGAGGTTTGGCCAAAGTCTTCAGTTGTCTCTCTATTTGGGAGGGCCAATTATCTCATGACCTTCATGTCAACATGTTGTGTCCCCCTTTGGATGATTTGTAGGGAAACCAAAAGAAAACCGACCCAATCTGGGGGAGTTTTAAAGGGAAGCAATCTCACGGCTGGACACGGTTTATCATCTTTCCAGTGGGCGAAACAAAGACTAGAGGACGATTGGCCCGAAAGCATTTTTCCACAGGTGCTCATCCAGCTGCGGAGACACCTTTTTACATCGCTGCGGCGAGCGTGTCTGCGCGCGGCGATGCTCAGTGTGTATGGTCACATGAGAGCTCCATCTCATCATCCTACTTTCCTCTCGAACTGCGCCGCGCGATTTCTCACGAAAGTGGTCTGCGCAAGCTGCATTGTTCCAGGCTGCTGCGCGCAAGTTGCTCTCTGCAAGCTGCTGCGCGCAAGTGCTCTGTGCAAGTTGCTCTGCGCAAGTGCTCTGAGCAAGTTGCTCTGCGCAAGTGCTCTGCGCCAGTTGCTCCGCGCAATGTGCTCTGCGCAAGTTGGTCTGTGCAAGTTGCTCTGCGCCTGCTCTGTGCAAGTTGCTCTGCGCAAGTGCTCTGAGCAAGTTGCTCTGCGCAAGGGCTCTGCGCCAGTTGCTCCGTGCAAGCGCTTTGCGCATGTGCTCTGTGCAAGTTGGTCTGTGCAAGTTGCTCTGCGCAAGTGCTTTGTGCAATTGCTGTGCAAGTTGCTCTGCGCAAGTTGCTCTGCGCAAGTGACTCTGCGCAAGTTGCTCTGCGCAAGTGCTGCCGGAGCTGCGGGGGTGTGCTCCGCGTACTACGTTTGTACTTAAAAGTTGCGATTCTCCAGCCGGAGCTGCGGGGGTGTGCTCCGCGTACTACGCTTGTACTTAAAAGTTGCGATTTTCCAGCCTGAGCTGCGGGAGCACGCTCCGCATACGCATACTACGTCTGTACTTAAAAATTGTGATTTTCCACCCGGAGCTGCAGGAGCACGCTCCGCGTACTACGTTTGTACTTAAAAGTTGCGATTTTCAAGCCGGAGCTGCGGGGGTGTGCTCCGCGTACTACGTTTTGTTTGCACTTAAAAGTTGCGATTTTCCAGCCTGAGCTGCGGGAGCACGCTCCGCACACTACGTCTGTACTTAAAAGTTACGATTTTCCAGCCGGAGCTGCAGGAGCACGCTCCGCGTACTACGTTTGTACTTAAAAGCTGCGATTTTCAAGCCGGAGCTGCCGCGGACCAGGGGGGAATCGAACCCGCGACCGCGGGATTGCGAAAGCAGGCGCGCAAACCACGAGACAACTTCCAAAGGCCGTTTCGCGAGCAAGAATATTGCACGGCGCCACAGCGAGAGCGCTTTGAGACGCACAATCTCCGCAGAGGGTTCGCCGAGACTAAGACAAATTCGCACGGCGCCACAGCGAGAGCGCTTCGACGCGCACGATCTCCGCAGAGGGTCGCGCGCGGCCAGCAGAAGTCGCAAAAAGTCCTCAGTTTTTGAACCTCGACCACGCGAATCTCCGCAGAGGGTCGCGCGCGCACCGCAGAAATCGTAAAAAGTTCCCAGTTTTTGAACCTCGACCACGCGAATCTCCGCAGAGGGTCGCGCGCGCACCGCAGAAATCGTAAAAAGTTCCCAGTTTTTGAACCTCGACGACGCGAATCTCCGCAGAGGGTCGCGCGCGGCCAGCAGAAATCGCAAAAAGTCCGCGGATCTCCGCAGAGGGTCGCGCGCGCACCGCAGAAATCGTAAAAAGTTCCCAGTTTTTGAACCTCGACCACGCGAATCTCCGCAGAGGGTCGCGCGCGCACCGCAGAAATCGTAAAAAGCCCTCAGTTTTTGAACCTCGACCACGCGAATCTCCGCAGACGGTCGCAATCCCGAGCGACGATCAAACTCCCGCCCCGGCGCCTTAGAAACCTAAACTAACTTACATAGCTGCTAACGCCGAAGCTCTAAGCTCTACCTAACCTTGGCTCTATGTAACTTGGCTCTATGTAACTTGGCTCTATGTAACTTGGCTCTATGTAACTTGGCTCTATGTAACTTGGCTCTATGTAACTTGGCTCTATGTAACTTGGCTCTATGTAACTTGGCTCTATGTAACTTGGCTCTATGTAACTTGGCTCTGTAACTTGGCTCTAATGTAACTTGGCTCTATGTAACTTGGCTCTATGTAACTTGGCTCTATGTAACTTGGCTCTATGTAACTTGGCTCTATGTAACTTGGCTCTATGTAACTTGGCTCTATGTAACTTGGCTCTATGTAACTTGGCTCTATGTAACTTGGCTCTATGTAACTTGGCTCTATGTAACTTGGCTCTATGTAACTTGGCTCTATGTAACTTGGCTCTATGTAACTTGGCTCTATGTAACTTGGCTCTATGTAACTTGGCTCTATGTAACTTGGCTCTATGTAACTTGGCTCTATGTAACTTGGCTCTATGTAACTTGGCTCTATGTAACTGGCTCTATGTAACTTGGCTCTATGTAACTTGGCTCTATGTAACTTGGCTCTATGTAACTTGGCTCTATGTAACTTGGCTCTATGTAACTTGGCTCTATGTAACTTGGCTCTATGTAACTTGGCTCTATGTAACTTGGCTCTATGTAACTTGGCTCTATGTAACTTGGCTCTATGTAACTTGGCTCTATGTAACTTGGCTCTATGTAACTTGGCTCTATGTAACTTGGCTCTATGTAACTTGGCTCTATGTAACTTGGCTCTATGTAACTTGGCTCTATGTAACTTGGCTCTATGTAACTTGGCTCTATGTAACTTGGCTCTATGTAACTTGGCTCTATGTAACTTGGCTCTATGTAACTTGGCTCTATGTAACTTGGCTCTATGTAACTTGGTAACTTGGCTCTATGTAACTTGGCTCTATGTAACTTGGCTCTATGTAACTTGGCTCTATGTAACTTGGCTCTATGTAACTTGGCTCTATGTAACTTGGCTCTATGTAACTTGGCTCTATGTAACTTGGCTCTATGTAACTTGGCTCTATGTAACTTGGCTCTATGTAACTTGGCTCTATGTAACTTGGCTCTATGTAACTTGGCTCTATGTAACTTGGCTCTATGTAACTTGGCTCTATGTAACTTGGCTCTATGTAACTTGGCTCTATGTAACTTGGCTCTATGTAACTTGGCTCTATGTAACTTGGCTCTATGTAACTTGGCTCTATGTAACTTGGCTCTATGTAACTTGGCTCTATGTAACTTGGCTCTATGTAACTTGGCTCTATGTAACTTGGCTCTATGTAACTTGGCTCTATGTAACTTGGCTCTATGTAACTTGGCTCTATGTAACTTGGCTCTATGTAACTTGGCTCTATGTAACTTGGCTCTATGTAACTTGGCTCTATGTAACTTGGCTCTATGTAACTTGGCTCTATGTAACTTGGCTCTATGTAACTTGGCTCTATGTAACTTGGCTCTATGTAACTTGGCTCTATGTAACTTGGCTCTATGTAACTTGGCTCTATGTAACTTGGCTCTATGTAACTTGGCTCTATGTAACTTGGCTCTATGTAACTTGGCTCTATGTAACTTGGCTCTATGTAACTTGGCTCTATGTAACTTGGCTCTATGTAACTTGGCTCTATGTAACTTGGCTCTATGTAACTTGGCTCTATGTAACTTGGCTCTATGTAACTTGGCTCTATGTAACTTGGCTCTATGTAACTTGGCTCTATGTAACTTGGCTCTATGTAACTTGGCTCTATGTAACTTGGCTCTATGTAACTTGGCTCTATGTAACTTGGCTCTATGTAACTTGGCTCTATGTAACTTGGCTCTATGTAACTTGGCTCTATGTAACTTGGCTCTATGTAACTTGGCTCTATGTAACTTGGCTCTATGTAACTTGGCTCTATGTAACTTGGCTCTATGTAACTTGGCTCTATGTAACTTGGCTCTATGTAACTTGGCTCTATGTAACTTGGCTCTATGTAACTTGGCTCTATGTAACTTGGCTCTATGTAACTTGGCTCTATGTAACTTGGCTCTATGTAACTTGGCTCTATGTAACTTGGCTCTATGTAACTTGGCTCTATGTAACTTGGCTCTATGTAACTTGGCTCTATGTAACTTGGCTCTATGTAACTTGGCTCTATGTAACTTGGCTCTATGTAACTTGGCTCTATGTAACTTGGCTCTATGTAACTTGTCCAAGGGCTCCGCACGGAAGAACCCTTCGCGATGCTTTCGGGAAAAAGTCATCAAGACAACATTCCCTGTTGGTTTTTAAAGGGCCTCGATTTCACTCTTGGAAACATATGGCCATAACCTATGCCTCCATTTTGGGGTGGATGAACACTCATGTACCACCTATTTGGATGTTCACCAGGGGTTTCCTGGGTTTTGACAACCACAGGCATATGTGGTCTCATCTTTTGTTCCAGGTGCACCACCCATTTTACTCTACTTTAATGGTTGGATTGGTTGATGTTCACTGGGGGTACGGGCTTTGAATTTTGACCCAGGGCCATATGTTTTGTCGTCTTTTTCCAGGCAGCCCTTAGGCAAAAAGAAGCAGAGAATCAATGGACAGGCCTTGGAGAGGAGCATGCCGGAGCGGCGGCAGTCGGCCTTGCAGGCCGACTCGCGCGCCCAGTGGCCAAAGCCTGTGTATTTTTGGTGGTGGCCGAAGGGAAACTCAGGGGCTAGGTCCCTCGGTAGTGCCCTTTTACCGTTTCTTTTTTGGGGGAGGGTTCCGGTTCCCCTACTAAAATAGACTACACAAAAAAGGGCACCCTTATTCTAACCTCTCTACTGGAGGACCTAGGAGGGGTTGAAACCTGGCTGTGGTTGTCAAAACAGTTTTGGGATCCCATTTTGGTTTTTTGGTGAATTCACAATTTTAGAACCGATTCTAATGGTTGGATTGGTTGATGTTCACTGGGGCTACGATTTGGATTTTGACCCATGGCCACCTGGGCCTCGGGAAATTTCAATTGCATGTCCGGGGCCCTTTGAGAAATCTCCAAAAACAACTTCGTAGGCAATTGTTTGTTACTCGCGTCACAAGTGGGATTGCGACTCATAGTCAAGGGTTCTTTCATAGGGATCCCTTATTTTCAGTTGGCGAGTCATTGTAAGTTGTCCAGATGCGAATGTTTGTCTAAGATGGAACTCACTCCCACACCACGACCCTCAACGGGTTAACAGGATGAACTTCTACAAAAAAAGGTACCCCACTTGACTGGACGGTGTTTGGGCGAGCTGTCTGCAGGATGTCCAAGTTTCGATGGTCTATAAGTCTGGTGTAGCCCGGATGTGGGCCAAGATGTGTTCAAGATGCTCAGCTACAGAACACGCAACCTAACCAATAAAACAGCCATCCAGGAGACCCCACCTTGTTGTGTCTTGTTTGGTGTCCATGTTAGATGCATTCTCCTCTTCCTCTGAGGCATTCTCGAGCATGAGGCATGTGCCCAGCAGCCCACTGTCTTTTGCCTTTTGGGTTTGTCTCATCGATCCCTTCAAATCCTCCATTTGCTGAAATGGGTGTGGGTCAATATTAAAACACCAGGGGACTGCAGGTTTTAGTCCATGTTTCCATTCACCAGGGCAAGCCATTTTGGGTACCTATTTTTGACCCACAGCCAAGTGACTATTGAGTTTGTTTTATTGTCCCTTGGTTTTAAAGTGAATCAAGTTCACTGCTGGACATATGTTCGATTATTTTGGCCCAACAGCTGAAAGCTAAGGAGTCTCAAGCCATATAAGGTTCAGGGGTGGCTTGGGGGAGCTCTGGAGTCAGGTTCGACCAAGGTTCCGGAGGCCAGGTGTAAGGTTCAGCGGAGGTTCCGGGGTCTGTTGCCGGTGTAAGGTTCGAGGAAGGTTCCGTGGTGTGGGAAGTTCAAGGAAGGTTCCGGAAATTCTAAAGGGGTCTGGAGCAGGCCAGGGAGCCAGGTTCAAGCAAGGTTCCGGAGGTTCCGGGGTGGTCTGGGAAGGTCCCCGAGGTTGCGGGGCGGTCTGCCGCAGTTCAAGCAAGAATCGGGTGGCTCTGAGGTAAGGTTCGTTCTGCGAGGGTGTCTGCAGAACCCATGAAAAATATCACCCGAGCTTATTTTCCAGGGGCGATCATGGTTGTTGTTGGGAAACATTTCACGTTTTTGCTTCTTAAAATCCCCACTTAAAACTGCTATCTAAAGTTTGGCTCCCCTTCCAACGTCAACCTAGCGATGCCGACCCAGGGTAAAAACTGAGCCCACGCTCGTGACAGGCGGCCAGGCACTCCCTGGAAGAGGCGCAGCGGAATTTCGCTTCGTCCGAGCGGTGCTCTTGGGGCGCGCTTCTCCTGGCCCCGACGGCTTTGAAGGAAATGACACGAACTGGAAGGAAGCTTGGAGAAGGGAACCGGCTTTCTCGGTGAAAGGGGGGTTGAGATTGACTAAACCATTTGATCCTCTTGGAGACAGTTTGCGTTGTGCACTAAAGTCCCAGATGCTGACTCCACAAAAAGATATGTCGCGAAGGCGAGCTTTAAGGACATGCGTTGCAACATGTATTTGTGTGTGTGTGTCAAAATGGGGGGAGTTCGGAGTTCCCCCAAATTGAGTGTTTTGACTTGTCCCTATCAAGCAAGCCCGTAAAGGAAACCGAGTGCCTGACACGGGGAGGGGGGGCTCCAGGGAGAAAGTCGTCTGTTGCATAGCCACGAAGCGTTTCATCACAGTTGTGCCCCCAGTTGCTCGGCGGCACCCTTGCTGTTCGGTGGGATGCCCCTTAAAAACTGCCAGTCCCGAAAAAGGGTTTACTAGGTCGGTGGGCAGCGGAGCATTCCACAGGCCAGTTCAAAAAGAAATGGAATCATTGTTAAATGCATTGATTGGGTAAGACATACTTGACTCACTTCCTGAGTTCTTGGACCTTATAGTTTGTGGGACTTGCTATGTTTTGGTATGAGCATTTTAGTTTTCAACTTTGTTCTGACCCATCCACTCAGTCAGGAAGTGAGTTGAACTTCTTTTGCCAACTATTATTGTTTGAGTCCCTAATTGCACCATTTGTTCGGAAATGTGGCATCCCTCGCAACAGTTCAAATACGGGTGTGAATGATCATTGACCCTTCAGAAGTCATTTAGGGCGGATATATGTCCGCCAACCATTTTGTAGGTGGTTCCCTACTCGAAAAGGGTGTCCTCCATTTCCCTTTTTGCAACCTCCAAAAGCGGCGATCGTTTCAATGGACGCCTCCAAAAGCAACAATGGCTCAGTGTTCGATTTGGGGAGACCCTATGCGACTCCTCTGGAACTTCGGGGATGTTTGGTCCGCCAACCACTTTTCGAGGTTCCAACTCTTACGCCTCGCTTCGAAGACTTCCCGCCAGTGCGGCGTGAGCCTGCTCCAGATCTTCCGTGCCGCGGATGTCGAGCGACTCGTACAGCAGCTGTTTGGCGTTTTCCGCGAGCCGCTGGAAGGAGTTGCCCCATCGGCTTTTCTGTTGGTTGTTGGATGTTCCAGGGGGGTCTTTCTGCCACCTTGGTGGAAAAGCCTTGTAGTGAAGCATTCCTTGTTGAGGGGGGCGCCAATTTTCTCACAAAAGGAGGCAAAAAGACCCCCCTGCGATGTTCAAGGTTGACTTAGAACTATAGCTATAACCTGCGTGCCAGAGTAGTTTGAACATCCAGGTAGGGAGGAATATTAAGGCCTCAAGGCCCCCCATCCACTGGACAGGTTCTCAATGCCCTTCTACGAACCTCCAAGAAGGTTCCAAGAACATTCCTGGGGGGGGCCCGGGGGGCGGCTTGGTGTAAAAAAAGGGGGACACAAGGAAACCTTGTGTCTTGGGTTGGTGGCACCAGGGTCTTAAACGGGCCCATTTTTTCATAAAGGGCCGGTCACGGCAGGCACGTGGAAGCTTTGCTCCCCACTTCTCCACGACGACAGTGGGAACGTGGGCTGAACAGACACAAGTCGATCCCCTCAAGGGGTCTCCTCCATTTCTAACATTTGGGGCTAGACTAAACCTGAAGAAGGATCTGAACAAGCGTTGTTGTGTGCACGGGTTGCTTTTGAGGGCAATTGTTTCACCTTGGTGTATAAACGGCAACCCAAAGAAAAACCCGTCTGCTTGGGGTCCAAATCCCTGTTTTGATTTGAACAGCGCCCAACACTAATTGAGATTTGGTTCTACCAACAAAGTTCTTTTTCAGTTATAGGTTTTACTTCGCCCTCAAAACAAAAATCAAAGACAAAAACAATAAACTGGTAGAGCCACCCACTCAAAAATAGGGCGCCTCTTGAAATCGATTTGGACATGTTCGCCCCAGGCGGCGCGGGACGCTGCCACTGAAGAGTATCGAGGTGCGCGGCGCAGATCGAGCCCCCGCGAGATGCTCCGCTCACTAGATGTTGGTCAAAGCATTCCTTGCACCTCCCTCCATTTGAAGATGTTTGTTTTTTTCCCCTTGTTGGTTTTAAATTCCTTTATGACTACTGGACATGTTTTCGTTTTTTCCTGGGGTCTTAACCAAATGGAAGACAAGCAAACCACCGGTCCAGTCCCAAGATCCGCCAGGGAGGCTTCGGCCAGAAGGAGGGCAGGTGTTCTATTTGGCTTTATATACATATATATATATATATGTAAATATATATATATATATACATATATATATATATACATGGGTGGGCACCCACTTAAGTTGGCCCCTTGGATACAGAGAAAACCTGCGTAATGCCAGCTCTTCAACTTTGAGCCACAACCATGCCAGATCCCCGAGCTTGAAAACCCCATGACTGGGAATATGAGTGCTAGCCCATAGGTCTTAATGTACCCAAGCGTATGTAATTGTTTGATTGGATGATTTAAGATTCGCTAACTGTGAAACAGAATCTGAAATTCGAGATATTTGGTGTAGCTCCGAGTTGGGCCATGGCTAGTCAGCATAGTGCTCCCCTTGTGCTCCATGGGGTAGAAGACCCTATCTGTTTTGCTTTATGTTCTTCTCCGCGACGAGAACCAAGTGTTCAATTTGTGTGGAACACTCAACTACATTGCCACCCTCAAAGGCCCTTTTGAAATTCCTTCATGTTCTCTTTTAACCCGCAAAGAGTTGTCTCAATTTTGTCATGGGCCCCAAGACAAAGGCAAGGAACAACTTTGGTGCCGTCAGGAGCGCCTGATCCAAACGTCAAAAGAAAGCCTGCGTCCAAAACTGAGACGTGTCAAAAACTGGTTGGTTTCATGTTGGTCTCCTCTCAAGGAGCCAGAAAGGGGCCGCTCGTTTTGACCTGACACAATTGTGAAATTTGAGACCTGACGCCTTCAAGTGGCGACATGTGGCGACCTTTGGACAGTCCGAGAAGCCAGTTGTCCGATGGCCGTCCGGCACACATGCACAACAACACAAGTCTGGCCCTGAAATCTGTCAGGTCTCGAGTTGCCAGACAAGTGGGTCAAACGCTTCAGGATGCTAGGTTGGCTTTTTCTCATATTTGCACTAGAGGGAAAATTGAGAAGGCCAGGAGGACAACTTTCTTAAGGCAATCTCCTGGTGCCATTGCCAGACTTCATCCGCCAAACGACTTGGCCCGCTTGGAGTACCACTTTTGGGGTTCCTTCATGCTCCAATGGTTCCTTCATTTGTCCTTGTGTTCGTGTCCTTCATGTGGCCACTCATTTTAAGAATGGGAACCGATCCAAAAGCGGCGGACATGAATCCCCACCTCATGATGCTCACCATTTATAGTTGACCAAAAGTCAGCGTTTTGCTTCGGATCAGTCTGGCCAAGATGAAGAAACTGGCAGCCAGGCAGTGCTTAGAAAGCTGCCCGTACAGCTCCCCAGCCGCCTTGCGCGAAGCTGAGATGCAAATCCATCGATTTGGGTCCATGGGTTGTTAAAAAGACCTACCCTCTATTCGCCCAACATAGCACCTGGGGGAGGTACCTGGAAGATCATTTTCCTCTTGTAGGAAATAGTGGGACTGAGGGTAAGAGCAAAACAAAACATCCAAGTTGCCGAAAGCTGAAGGTCAAATTCGGGCCTAGCTGAATTATAAGAAGACCCCCCCCCCCCCCGCAGCTCAAGTACCAGCCTTGGCCCTTTGAACGTGGTGTGCCCGACTTTCATTGAGCGTCGAACTTGGCGAACCCCAAAGGCAAACCGAGCGAGCCATTTGTGTAATTTTGAGGATGTCACATGACTGCACCCAGCTTTTGAAAGGTCCCACTTTGTGGGAAGGGAATCCCCCGTTGTTGACACAAAATTATGTGGACTGATTGATGTTAGCCGTCTGAGCTCATGCTTCAATGCTTGTTGCTAGAATGCTGCAATTTACGTTCCCCTTCAAAGTGCCAAAGTAGTGGTGACCCATGTTGGCCTCACAGAAAGGGTGTCGCCAGACAAAGGGTGCACCGTGTGTGGATGGTGTCCTTTACCAAGAAAGCAAAGCGCATGAAACCGTCCACAATTGCAGGTCTAAAACTTTTGAACATATTGTGTGGATGGTGTCCTTTGCCAAAGGGGAACTGCACTTTAAATTATGTATATATATATATATATGTATAAGTACAGCCACAAGATGCACGAGCGCGCACGGCATGTGAAACAGAGGCTCCCGGGAGGCACTGAGAAAGCTTGATGATGGTAAAACCCAAATACTGGGGTCTCCTCCAAAACTATGTAAATGTTGCGGTAGACCAAGTATGAAACTGAGTCAGCAAATATGAGTACCCCAGATGTAGGTTTGTGTTGCCCCCTTTTGATGATGTACCACGGGCGTTTGGTTGCCCCTTTGAAGAACCAGACTTTGAATCATGACTCGCGCTCGATGCAGGCAAGAGAGTGGCTGGTGACTAGCAGCTACTCTGTGCGATTCACGTGCCTCGCCATTCCGTTCAAAGTCACAAACAAGGGCAGGTGGTTTATTGATGTGCACATGAGACACAACCAAAACCTGGGTAGATGAAGGTTAGTAAGGGCCAATCCCAGAAAGAAATAGCTGCGGCCGCCTTCTGAATTCTCCACACGGTTCTGAGTTCACAATTTTTGTACCGCTCACCTGGATGTTGATTTCGAGGCAAGCGAAACTGCGGGGGTGCCACCATTTTGAGCCAAACCCCAAGGAGGCTCCCCATTTGGATGGCCACGTTGGCGCTTTGGCGAGCAGATGTTTGCGCTCAGGCCGTGGTGCTTTGGGAAACTGCCAGCAGCTTTCAGGCAGGCTTTGACATGTGTGTCATGCAGCTTATGGTTGCCAAATCCTCTTCATGCTTGTTGTTGGGAAACATCATTTACATTTTGCTGAAATTGTGGTTTAGTGGTTGAAATCCAAATCCACTTAACTGCTAAAATTTAAATGTTTGCTCCCCTTCCAACGTCAACCAAGGTGTATGGTTGCGAAATCCTCCTTGGCACCACGAAATGGAGCATGTTATTTTTTGCCACAACTTGGGGGAATCGAATCATTCCAGGTTTCTGAACGGTGGTGCGAACGGATTTCGTCCATCCACAGTAGGGATGCGCAGCCACTTTGATATCAGAGAAGGGCCGTGCCTTTGTTGGATTGGTGACTTAGTGCGGGCCTTGTTGACACAAAAATTGGCCAACCAAGCCATGTGCAACCAAACCCAGTGCCTTCGCAGTATCAAGGCAAATCAGCTCCGTAAAATTGATACGTCCGAAGCCAGGCCCCGGGGGTTCCTCCTTTTTGGTTTTTCGCGCATCACCTTTTTGGCCCATAGGTGAGCACTCCTCGGGCGGTGTTTTGTGAGACGTGTCAACTTGCTCCTCTTGTGGTTCTCGGTGGCCTCAAAGTCCCTGGTACCTCTCTAAAAAAAAGGGGGCAGTGGTCCTGGGTTTGGAGTGGTCACGTTGCGAGTCGTTGCTTCTCTCCGAATTGCCCTTCTGTTGGTGTCGTTCTGCAGAAGGAGCTCAAGTTTGAAGTACCTTGCTTCAATCATACACTCTCCAAATTTACTGGGGGGGTTCCATTTCAGCAGGCAATGTTCCGGTCTTGACTGGGCTTTAGGATGTCATTTTAGTGGACCCCCGGCAGGGACGCTATATTTAGGCGGTGTGTCCTTTTTTGGGGTGCCCCTTTTTCGGAATCCAGAGGGCACAAAAAGGAAGCGACCCACTTTGGGGGGACCATTTTGAGATGTGGTGTGCGCCCTTCCAAGACACCGCATGTTTGGCCGTGTTTGCTGCTGCTGTCCGTTTTTTTTGGCTGGTGGTGATGGTCGCGTTGAAGAGTTTTCTCAAGTGGTTGGGTCACAATGCTTGGCTGAAGTGACGTCAGCTTGCAGCGGCTGCGCTGACCGGTTGTGTGGGAAACTTGGCATCCTGTGTGCCCTGCTTTCCTTCCAAGGGCCTGATTCTCAAAAGCAACTACAGTACCCATCCAACACCAACCATCGATCATAGCTTTCTAATCGTTCAGCATCCAGGACAGATCCGGGCATTGCAGACCAGGGAGGCCACTTTTTTCAGCTGGGTTTTCCGCTCCACTCCTTGTCGGAAAAGAATCTGAACCCTCTGGTGTTGAAAGGAGCCAGAGCGAGCGCCTTTTTTCGGTCCCGTAAACAAAAAATATGGAGTTCCCGAAATGGCTTTGCGGGTGCAGAGTCCCTTGAGACCACCATAGGGGGATTTTTTTGTGCGGATGTCGCTCTGGACGTCGCTGAAACCGCCGGTTGCAACCAGGCAGGAGGCGACATCCTCTACGCCGAGTGGCTCGCACATTTGGCAACGCTTCCCCAGGGTCTGGATGAGGACTGACTTGGGCCAATGCGCCCCATACTTCTAGTGGGGGTGTCCTTCCGTTTTCTGTTGAAGGGCTCCCTCCAAAATCAGCAACCAAAACCGGGTGCCCTATCTTCCTCTTCTTGTTGGGAGGGAGATTCAATCGCTCGTGCATCGATTTGCTTGCTTGCAAAAACACTGGCAAAGACATCACACACGAGAGCACGCACACGCAAACACGCCTCTGTGTTACGCCAACAAACCGAAGCCGATGGTTGGGGTGTAAATTGCCACTTTCCTTTGGTTTGGTCAAGGGATGGCGCCCACAGTCCCAAGGGAGCCGGTGGAGGACTTGCATGGAATTTGGCTCTGGTGGTTAAGTAAAGAGTCATGATCAATACAAAAGGTGGAGTTCTTGACTTTCGGTCCTTGGATTCTCTGTTGTTGCGTAAACATGGCTGTTGTGGGGAAACATTTTACATTTCAGCTTATTGTGGTTTGAAATCCAAATCCACTTAACTGCTAAAATTCAAATTTTGCTCCCCTTCCAAACGTCAGCCAAGTACAAGGCGCCCCCCTTTTCCAGGCCCTGCCAGAAATTTTAGCTCCAGAGCCCCAACGGGAGCCATGCAGCCTGCCGGACCCTTTTTTGGGACGGGGTGTGACCTTCCCATGGCGCTGTTCGCGAGCGATGAGCTACGCTTCGCTGATCTTCATGGGCAAAAACAAGGCAATACTAAGGAGAATGGTGACGATGAGAATCATAATGCTGATGGTGATGATAGTACTCACAAATAGACTAAATAGAGTAGTCATACCCCAAATTATACCTTAAAAACGCATGGCAAAAACAAAACAAACCAAATCCAGCAGGAACTCTGCTCCGCAGGACCCGAGCTTCGGTTGCGTCGATGCCTTTCACCGCTTCCGCGGCTTCTCGCTGCGCACCGGGCTGGCGGCCCTGGACGAGGACGTGGGTGTGCGCCGGGGCAGCGGGGAAGGCGCAAGGAAGACCTGGCGTACTTGCGGTACGGTTAGAGTTGCAATTGCACTGAGTTGTCGTTGTCGTTGTCGTTGTCGGTGCTGTTGCCGTCGTCGTTGTTGTTGTCGTCGTCGTTGTTGTTGTCGTTGTTGTCGCAGTCCTTGCTGTTGTTCTTGGTTGTCGTTCTTGTCGTCGTCGTCGGCGGCGTCGGCGTCGTCGTTGATGTTGAAGTTGAAGTTGAAGTTGAAGCTGTTGTCGTTGTCGTTGTCATTGTTGTTGTTGCTGCTGTTGCTGTTGCTGTCGCTGAGCTGCACCCAAAAGAGGGAGGACCTTAGTTTGGAATTCACCCATGTGTGCGAGTCTTTTGCTGAGGGAAACCCATTGTTGCTGCTGTTTCGCAGGGGCATCAAGGCAAAGCCCACCTAAGCCACAATCAATCCCGGGCAGATGAAGGTTAGTAAGGGCCAATCCCAGCCAGAAATAGTTGCGGCCGCCTTCTTAATTGTCTACATGGTTCTGGGTTCACCATTTTAGTTTGGGGTTTTGACTGTGACTCACCTTGGTTGCGTGGTTATTTTTTCGGTACGCCCAGCGGAATTTTGACCGCCTGCAGGATGAGACAAGGAAAGCTAAGAGGATGACATGTTGTTGCGGTGTTTTCGTCCCTTTAGGTTTCCCCTTACCGGCCCCTGTGTTTTTTTTTTCAGAGATATCCCAAAAACATGGTTGTTGAAACATGTTGACCATGTTTGCTTATTGTGGCTTAGTGGTTGAAATCCAACCACTGAACTGCTAAATTTATTTTTTGCTCCCCTTCCAACGTCAACCAAGTTTTGATATGTGCCATGGTCAAGCGACGCTTTGACAAGGATGATCATCAAGCTCTTAATAAGGCATAGAGGGTGTTGCCCATGGCCTATGTGGTTTCGACTTTTTTTGGAGGTGGTACCCTTTTTGGATCCGGGAAAATGTGCAAACGGCAACCGCCCGTGGGGCCCCTTTGGTGTGACTTTTTTTTAATACGGGACCCCCCCCCCCCAATTGGTGGCTTTCCCTCTGTTTCATTTTTAAAGCCACCAACAATTCCTTGGTTTCCTTTAAAACCAAACAATCCCTCCGGTGTCCTTTTTAAAGCCACCAAAAATTCCCTCGGTGTCCTTTTTAAAACCACCCAGAAATTCTCCGGTTTCCTTCAAAACCTTTCCACACGTGTCCGATGTTTCTTTCGGGTTCGCGAGGACTCCGATGGGAAGCTGTCAGCCACTGCCGTGGCCCATGCCTTCCGCGCCTTCTTCGAGTTTCTCCATGCGGAAGCCAGGGCCTCGAACGGCGAGCCGAAGCCGAAAGCCCCCGGGGTGGGCAATCTTGAGGCGAGGGAATGAGAGACATGGAATGAACCAAGCCAGGCAGAATGTTCCTGAAAGAAGTTAAACCGAAGTCTTGCGGAAAAGAAGTCGGAAAGGATTCTACGAAAGTCGGAAAAGAAGTCCGAGTCGGGGCGTTTGGTTTTTCCTTAGGGAAGGCACTTGTAAGCCGGCAGCAGTAGCCTTAGAGCAGCCCTTTTTTTTGGTTCCCCTTTGTGGCTGCTTTGCTGGTGTCCTTTTCGCTTGGTGTTCTCTGCTTTCCACGTGGGTGTGTCTTTTAACACATGATTGGTGTCCTTTCTGTTTCCCTTCAACACCAACCAAATGGGGGTTACCCTCAAAACAAGCGAAAACAAGACACACCCATGTGCATCTTGACACAAGGCATTTTCTTCCGAAAAGCCACATCATCCTCCAATTCCGCAATTTAGGGATCCATGATGGTTGCGCACGCGTGTCTTTTTGATTCTTGGTACCCTTTTCGGGAATCAAAAGGAAACCACCCATTTTACGGGTCGCCCTATATTGAGACAACCCCTGGTGTATCCGGATTCAAATTAGCGACAGGTTGCCGCCATAGACTTCGGGTAGGCTTTGCCAACATGGCTGCGCATTGCTCGCACGCAATGTCCGATTCAACACAAGCCTCGTGCCGGAGTCACCGATCCCCACTGGCATGCGGCGAAAATGAAGCCTTCCAACTGCCTTTCGACGCCCCAGATGCTCGTTCTTTGGGCCATGCTTAGCGCCAACTCCCGAAAAAAACGCGACTTCGGAAGTTGGCCGGGGAGAGGAAAACTGAACGGTTCGCCCCGCTATTGAAGTGGTTGATCCCTTTGGGAGGAGTTCCCATACTCACCAAACGGCTCGGCTGAGCACTTTTCCCAAGTCTATGGTTCCCTATTTTCTTTTTTTGGAAGAGCTTCCTTTTAGAATTGACTGCAAAACCAAGCATCCTTTTTTCCCGTATCCACTGGATGTTTGGGTTTTGGAGGTTGCAATTCCCATTGGGAACCCACCGGGTTTCCGAGTCAGAGCACATCTGAAAGCAAGATTCTTCAAGACGCAAGGAGCTGCAACTCCTCTTGGAGCTATTTCAGCCAGAAGGCGCGACGAGACATACGGTGGATGGTCGAAATCGAAATCCGTTCGCACCACTTCTAGGTCCCCAGTAGTGCCCTTTTACCGTTTCTTTTTTTGGGGCCCCTGCTAAAATAGACTACAGAAAAAAGGTACCCTTATTCTAACCTCTCTACTGGAGAACCTAGACTTCGAAACCATGGTTGAAACCATGACGTTTGTTGGTATTCGGAGGGGAATCGAATCATTCCAGGGTTTCTTATGCTCAACCCGTTTTTGCAAAGAGATCTCCCCCATTCTCCCCACATTTGCTTGCGATTATCTCTGCTTGTGTTTTGCCTTTACTAGTTTTTGGCTGTTGACATTGTGGCTTATATTGTTCTACATGATCCTACCTAGACCAGATTTAGGGCTCATTCACCTCTCAATGTACGCTTTCAGAAATAAAACCCTTCAGGCGGGTGGTCTAGCGATCTGATGGTGAATCCTTTATTGGGGGGCTGGTCGAGATGTTCCAGCATCTCAAAGCCAGGCACTAGAATACATAGGCTGGCAAAGCAGAGAGTGAACTTGTCTTACAACACACAGCACAACAAGCCGATGCATAGAATTGGGGAAGACAAGGACGATGCCACTCCGCTCGTGTCGTTCCATGGTGGTTGCCCCAAGTATCCCCCCCGCCAGAAAATAAATAAGTAAGTACATGAATGATACCAATGCATGAGCATATTTGTGTGCGTGTGTACATCGTGTGTGGGTGTGTGTGAGTTGTGTGTTCTCAAAAGAGAGTCGTCTCGATCTCTGCGTCAAATATTTGTTCCGAGTGCCTTCAAAAAGTCCAGCGGGACATGGCAGATTCATGGTTGTTGTTGGGAAACATTTTGCATTTTCGCTTACATGGGAAATCCCCAAAACATGGTTCTTCTTTTGCTGAACTTGCGGTTTGGTGGTTGAAATCCAAATCCACTTCCCTGCCAAATCTTAAATAAAATTTATTTTTCGTTTGCTCCCCTTCCAAGGTCACCCAAGGATTGCCGCCGAGTCGTACATCGCGACGTCTCTCGCTCGACACTCGATGGCAGGCGAGGTGGAGATCATGTCCTGCGCCGAGCCGCCGGACTTGAGTCGCTCACCCCGAATCCGAATGGGCGGCTTCGCGGGGAAAACAAAGCCCAGGTCAGTTTGGTTTGCAGCGGAACCCGCCGAACAGGTGCCTGTGTTTTTTTTTCCCTTTTGAGCTGGCACTATTTGATCTAAGGCTATTTATCTGCGCAAGCTACCTGCCAGTTAGTTTCCACACTACGGAAGTTTCTCTAAACTTCCTTTCATAAACCAACCCTATCCGGAATTTGAAGTCACTCGCAGTGTAGAACATGATTGGTTTTTCAGTTAGGCACGGGGGCAGGCTGGGGATTGATGGATGTATTTTTGCTTTCTCAATCACAAGCTACGGTGGAAAAAATGCCGTTGAGATAGCAAAATCAGCGGCGAGAGGTGCCACCTCACTTCCTGGACTTTACACGTGTTCCGAAGCCCTTCTGGCGATAAGTAAAAGGTTTAAACTTGCTTGGGCAAACCCACTCAGGTAGTGAGGAAATGCCATAAGAGTGGTGTGAAAGCATTTCTTGTCAAAAGTCACCAGCAGACCATGGTGATTGTTGCACATCAGCAGGCGGCTCTGATTGGGATGAAACGCAGGTCTGCTCAAGGACAATTTTCAGAAGGGAAAACAGCAGCCCTGCAAAGGCTATATCAGTGTACGCATAAATGTACGCATAGATGACGACAGCAATGACACAATGGACAACTGGTAGAAATAGCAAGAACAATATTGGTGACATGTAATGTTATATTGTTTAGTATGTATGTACATGTGAATGTGTTTACATGTTAGTATATATATATATATACATACACATATACATATCCATATATATATATATACCTAGGCATAGAGGGAAAAAGGGGGCATGTAGACATATATTCGTATATATATATACACATAGAGATAGGTCTATCTGTCTGCACACGTATATGGTCTTGTTTGGCATCTGACTGCCAGGTTTGGCAGCTGGATATGGCTTTCCTGGTGTGCAAGGACCAGGTGCAAAGCGTCCAGGCGGGTGAAATGGGCCTCTGGGTTTGGGGTTGGGTTGTGTTGCTGGTGGTGTTTTTGGGGGCGCACTCTGGGAATTTAGGTATCCGGGGCTGTGGGCATTTGGTAATTGACTCGCATTCTAAAGCTTTCCTTCTCTCTCCTTCTTGTTTCGTTAAGACCTTTCCAACATCAAGAATATAGAAAGGTCTAGAAAGAGTAATAGAAATAGGAAAGAGAAGATCCAGAACGTAGACATTCAGGTCATCTGGGTCTTTCTCACGGTCTATCTCTTTCTACATCCCTCTCCGTCTTCAGGGAATGGCGTGGTTGGGGGGGGCTGGAGGGATTGGAAGGGTTGGGGGGAAACAGCAGAGCAGCTTCTTTGGCTGGCTCCAGACATGCTTCGAGATGTTGCGCAGGGTTTTACCTAGATATGTCATGCCCCCCTTTTTCAAGCAGCAAAGAAGTGATCTTGTTGCAGGGCGCCTATGGCCAAGTCAAAGTGTAGCCTTTTAAGAGGGCCCCCTATACTTCTTTGACCAAGAGCAGGCCTTTGGCCTTCGCACAGGCAAAGCGTGCTGAAGCGCAAGATCTCGTCGAGGGCAGGCGGGGGTTCCTCTGATCCAACGAGATAGAAAACGTTTTGGATGCGATTGGTGTAGTCCTCATAAAGTTCCCTGCTGGTGCTTCGGTTGGCAAAACGTAGTCTTTTAGTACGCGTCGTGTTGGCCAGGACCCGCAATGTTTTTGGAGGCGGTGAAAATCAGTTGCGTGCGAAGGTGCAGTGCTGCTGTGCGCGGACGCGCTTAAGCCGGTGTGCTTATCATTTGGCAGGCATGTGCGCAGTTCTGCACGGGCGCACGTGAACGGGTGTGCTCATCATGTGGCAGGCGTGTGTGCAGTGCTGCAGGGGCGCACTTGAGCAGGTGTGCTGATCATTTTAAGGCGTGGGTGTAGTGCTACGCGCACGCACTTGAGCGGGTGTGCTTACTTTTCACTTGGCAGGGCTGAGAGGGGGCGCGAGAACGGGTGTGCTCTCCCCCCCAGGAGTCAAAGCATATTTTGCGTTGCAGCCGACCCGAACGTAACCATTTTTGTCCTAACCCCCCCCCCCTAAGACCAAATCTCGTTTCGTGCTGCGGGTCCTCAGCAACACGACACCTTTTCGTAGATCCACAAGGGCTGCATCCAAACCGTACTCAAGCAAAGTGGCAGGCAGGCAGGCAGGCAGGCAGGCAGGCAGGCAGGCAGGCAGGCAGGCAGGCAGGGAGGGAGGGAGGGAGCGAGGGAGGGAGGGAGGTCGGAGGGAAGGTAGGCGAGCAGGCGATTCCATGAGGGGTTTTTAGACAAATCAAAGCTTTAACAAATTTTACTGAGCACACCGCTAACCCCAACTCGAGTACATCGTGAATCCATCCCGAGCCAGCCCTGTCAGCCCTACACAAGGCAACATCAAACCCAGGAGGCTCACCCTAACACCCCAGAGTCGTTCGGAATCTAGCTTACATCAGCAGCCCTGGAACCACCTTAGCCAACCAACCTCTAGCAAGCCGGTCACTTCTCTTATCCTGACCCCACCCTCAATGAACCTAACCTTGGCTTAAGGTTCCCCCACCCCCCACCCCACCCACAATAAAAAGAAAACAAATGAACCCGCCCCCAACCACACTACACAAAGCCAGAACTCATCCCTCCCATCGAGATACCCATAAACCCATTCAAACTCACGCTATAAACTTTCAACCTGCCCACTCAGAGCCAAGCCACAGCCCCCACAAGAGCCGCCTCAAACTCGTCAAACCCATTTTAAGCGCAGTAAACGCCAAGCCCAAGCAGCGCTCAAAGCCAGCAAGCCATTCCCACAACTCAACACCAGCCATGCAGACTTGAAATATGAGCCCTAGCCGGTAGAACTCAGAGTGTTTTGGGTTTTCTGCTCGCTTGAGATAGCGAGACGACGTTGCTACAAGTTCGACCAGCTTGAACCCAGTTCAGCCACAGCGATCCAACCAAAGAGGTGCAGCTCTTCTACCTGTTTGACAGTATGAATGGTTTTAAGTGGCCTCTTTGATGCCAGGTTTTGATTATGACTGATCATGAACTTGGTCTCCCGAAGAACCTTCAGCACGATGGCCAGCTACAGACCGGACTCCAGTCCACTTCGCCGCGGCAACTTTGCGTTTGGGGACGTGTTGCAGCGGCGACACAGGTGAGCCACAATCAAAACCCGGGGATTGATGAAGGTTAGTAAGGGACAATCCCAAACATAAATAGTCGCGACCGCCTTCTTAATTCTTTACATAGTTCCGGGTAGACCATTTTAATTCCGGGTTTTGATTGTGGCTCAGGTGGTGATCTTAGGCACACTCACCGCTTCAATCGCCGGGCTCCTGTTTGGAAGGGTGTTCAAGCACTTGCCCGCCACATCTGATGGCGTGATGGTGGTCTGAGGTTTGAGCAGCTTCGTGTTTTTGTACCTCAAACATTGCAGAGAATATGATTATTCGTCTTCCATGAACCTCAAACATTGCAGAGAATATTATTACTCGTCTTCCATGACTTGTGACATGCCATGGCATTACTGCCATGTCATGGATTGCATGAAGCAAACAGAAGTACTCTATGTCCATCCAGCTGCTACTTTCCACCAGTCACGACCCGAGTTCCTAGACTTCCACTATCCGTATCCTCTAAATTAGACATGGTCATTTCCAAGTGAGCCACAATCAAAACCCGGGCAGATGAAGCCCAGCAAGGGACAATCCCAGCCAGAAATAGTTGCGGATATCCGCCTTCTTAATTCTTGAAGCATGGTTCTGGGTAGACCATTTTAATACCGAGTTTTGATTGTGACTTAAGTGAACTTAGGCGTTCACCAATTTGGACAACGGACTGCGTCCGTTTCATTTCATTCTGATGATTGATTCGCTCCGACAGGACGCCTGCGGGATCGCGAAACCCGCTGAAGGAGCTCAAGGACACGCGCGCGCATGCGCATGGATTCCTTCCTGAGTTCGAAGATTGATCATTGTCATGGATGTTGTTGGGAAACAGTTTCCGCATTTTTGCTTATTGTGGTTTAGTGGTTGAAATCCAACCACTTAACTACTGAAATTTAGATGTTTGCTCCCCTTACGACGTCAACCAAGTTGTTGGGCGTCGCGCAAATATGGGCATGGCTCAAAATGACGCAGGTCTGAGTCTTTGTTTCCAATTGACCAAGCTGCCATTTCGGGGGGGGGGGGCCAAATTGCAATATGAAGTGGGCCTGGATCAAAAGAAGGTTGCCGGGGTGTCAAGCAGCTCAATGCTCAGCCAATGTTAACCCCAGATAAATAAACCCCTGGTTGATTTTGATCGGGGGGTGTCCCCTTTTAGTGGTTGGATTCAGATTCATCACTTTTGGAGGGGTCCCCACCCCCCTAATAATGGACGGGTTTATCAATCCTGGGTCAACATGGGTATGGGTCAAGATCAACCCACCAGGGGACCGCAGGTTTTAGTCTTTGGTTCCATTTGTCAGGGCAAGCCATTCTGGGTACGCATTTTTGCCCCACAGCCACATCACGGGCTTGAAGGCCATGCTGGCCGCCAGAGCGTTCCGGCCTTCGATTCAGGACTTGGTCATGCAGAGGAGGGAGAAGGGTGACGAGGCCATTTCAAGCTTTGAGAGTTGGTTGCCATAGAAGAAATGGCTGTGGCTCAAAAATAGGTACCCCAAATGGAACCCTGGTAAATAGAAACATGGACTAAAACCTGCCTGCGGTCTGGTGGTTTAATTTTGAGCCATACCCAAATATTTCTAGAGATTCCGTTTCCTTTGCGTTCCAGGGTCAATCCTCACTAGCAAACCCCCATATTTCCGTAGATTCCTTCTAGCATTGCCACGCGTTCAGATCCCAAGCGATGCGATGCGCCGTACAGTCTCACTGCTTTTTTCACGCTGTCTACCGGTCAGATTGGTCCCCTAGAAAGTCGGCCCCAGCTGATATGCACCTAATGTTGGCTGAATATATGGCTTCAAGCCATCAACCCCGCTGTTGGGGATGTTTTTTTTCTTCTCCGTTCGCACCAAATGAAGCCCATGGTTGAACCCGTCACAATCCAACCACTTACCTACAAAAAAAAATGATGTTTGCTCCCCTTCCAACGTCAACCAAGCTTTCTGGGTGCGAAGGTTCCCCCTTTTCAGCCCCAGTCGCGCACAGGCCGCCCTGCGCCACATCGTCAGCCTCGTGGACCACGAGAGGCCAGCGAGCGTTGGGCTCTTTTCACAAACGCACTTCCTGAGTTCATGGACATTTTTCAGCTTTTCGGGAAGACCAGTTTAGGGGTAAATATAAAGTTTGGACCTTTTTTTGGCCATCCACTCAGCAAGTGAGCAAAAGAAAACTGGAAGATGGGCGAGTGGTTCATTCTGTAATTACACACAAACAAGCCACAAATTGCGTTGAAACAATATTGTTACGGGCTATGTTGTACTTGCGTTTGTATGTGTATATGTAGGTGTGTGTGCGCGGTTACTTACTTACTCAGTTCTTATTTGTTTCTGTATTTATGTATTTCTGCATGAATCGATTTATGTATTTCTTGTTTGCTGGTTTACTTGTTTGACATATTTATTTATAATGGAATCAACCTCCCGCTCGTGTTTGTTCTCGGCCAGCTGGTCTCCCCTTCATGGCTGGCGGTTTTCCCCGGGGGTGTCCCTGGCGAGCGCCAGGTCTTCCTTGATCTCGCTGCCCATGTTCAAGGCCTTGCTGCACCACCAGGCCGCTTGAGCTTGAGGCTAGCTGGCAGTGTGTCCGAGCTGTTCCAGGTGTTTTTTTTTCCGCATCAGAAATATGTATGGCCCACAGGAGAAATAGCCCGAGCTGTTGAGCGGCAACTTGAGTTTGGCGCTCTTGGAAGGGGCGATGGGTCAGCCCACGGAACGGAGTCCATTGAAGCAACTCGCGCCAGTTGGATGGGCCGCTCGACGACGAGCAGCTGGAGCACATCTTTCAGGCCCTGGGGAGGGAGGATTCGTTGGGCAATAAAGCCGCTCGTGTTTGAGCGGCTGTGAAGCAGACCCCCAGACCCCCAGACCAGCTGCTTTGGGAGGTGCTGGATGAGGACGGTGACGGTGTCGTCGCGCACCAAGACTTTGAGAAGGCTGGGTCAGTTGTCAGGTGGCCAGTCGCAAGAACTGTTGCCAGGCGGAACAGTCTTTGATACCTGGCGCAGGGGGCGGGGTCGATGCCGGCTTGGAGTGTCAGAGCCCGTTGGCATGGACGCTCATGAGCCACGTGCAGCCTTTCGCTCAGCTCCTAGGTGAATCGAGTAGCCTTCTGTCCATTTCAAAGAGTCGGCCTGGAAAACCTACATGGGTTGCTTGCGCGGTACTTTGCGCATTTGCGGAGTTGATCGCGCAAAACTCGTACTGTGTGCCGTCGCATGCTTTCTAGCGTTTGACCGAAGAACTATTAGCTTTGTTTGCTTCCTTCGGCTTCCGCTCGCTTTCTGGCTAGCTAGCGCACCAGCTTGCCAACTAGCTGAACAACTTCGCAGCGTAGCCGCCGGCAACTGTGCTGGACAGAACCTTCAAATGCATCGGGCATTGAACGGCCGCCTTTCGTCGAGGAACTGCAAATCAGAGTGTCCATCTCCGCGCTGCATGTGGCAGGCAACCCGCAAAAGCTTGCACCTTGACCTCAAAAACGATGAATGGATTGCATTCCAGCACTTCTTTGCACCGTGACTTCCTCCTTGTACTCGCAGAAGTAGTTTTGGAACGGTGCGCTTTCCCTTCGGCCGCTCATGGGATTCCCGTCATGGGGTTGTTGCGCATGCGGCGACGAGCCTCGTGGCGCAATCATTAGCTCCCTCGCCCAGTTCAGTCGCTGTCTCGTTTTTGAGTTTCTGTTACCCAAGAGAGGAAAACGAGGAAAGCGCGCCGTCGCGAGATTCTTTATCGAGCTAGAAGTGTTTCGCAAAGTCCTCAAAGACCTGACCCAACGACTCATAGTCACCTTCCTGCAGGTTCAGACCAACCTGCAGTGCTCGCCGCAATATGTGGGAGCACTGGACTGGCAGTTCGTTTCGGTTTGCCCTGAAGTGCACGAAACGGAAGGTGCGCCGGTGTGAATTTCCGCTCTTGGCACAAACAAAAAGGCGACGGCTTACAAGGCATGCGGTTTTGTAGCATTCCAAAGTGGTGTCCATGTCAGGACATGGCAACATCTCTGTCTTGTGAACTCCCCTAGTTCCTGGACTTGATACTTTTTGGGAAGACAAGTCTCGTGGTACATAAAACTAGGTCCCCCAGCTAGGTGCCCTTGTACCAACTTCTTTGGGGTAGGGTTTCTCTACTAAAATAGACTACAGAAAAGGGAAAAAAAGTTTGTGACCCTATTCTAACCTCTCTACTGGAGGACCTAGTACAGAAAAAGAATCTCAGAGTTGTTTGGCCCATCAGGGTCGCCACAGGCAATCCTGGGGGAGGACCACAGCCGCCAGCTCACGGACTTGCTGCTTCGACTGGCGCAGGCGGAACAACTTGGGCCTCGGAAAGCGGGGGTTTTCAACGCTTGAGTCTTGAGGCTCCCAGACAACATGGTTGTCCTCCATTTGCTTAAGAATATGTGTTGTTTCCCTTGTGGGTTTTAAAAGGAATTTATCACTACTGGAAATCGAGTTTGCTTTTTCCAGGGGGCTTAAGCAAATGGATGTTGTTGTTGGGAAACATGTTTTTTGAACATGTTTGCTTATTGTGGTTTAGTGGTTGAAATCCAAATCCACTAAACTGCTAAAATTCAATTTGTTGCTCTTTTTCCAACGTCAACCAAGAGGTCCTAGGCAAGTGCCAACAGGCCTACTGTTCAACAAGCAAAAGGCCCGTGCTGTCTCGCAAGCATGCTTGCACAGTTCAGGCAGCCGTCACCCAAGACTGTTTGGCGACCGAGTTGCACTGAGAGTGTGCACTTGCTTGTTTGAGACATGCGATCTGCACAAGTTGCAACGGCCGAGCGTTGTCGACACCTACGTGGCGATTTGTTGTCGGTCTTTGTGGACGGGGCAGCTTGGTTTTGCCGCCCTTGCCTTAATTGGCCTCCTTGAGCGGCATTCCTGTCACATGGCCCCCAGGAGAGAAAGAGAGGATTGAATAAAGTCATGACTTCTTCATTAGAAAACTGCAGTAGGGCGAGGTAGCTGTCTCACTTGTTGGGAGCCCCGGCCGTTCCCAGGAAAGTATCAGCCAGTCACAATCCGGCCTCACACAAAAGAAATGCAGAAGGCGCAACGCGCGATCAAGCCTAAAGCCGCTTCGAGGTTGGGCCATGTGAGGCGCCAGGATTCCCTAGGGTGGATGGACGAAATCCATTTCGCACCACCTTGAACCCATGGGAGATCACGGTTTGTTGGTATTTTAACATGGAAATCGAATCATTCCGTTGGGTTTCTGCACGGCGCCTAAGAGAATTTTTCGTGGGTCCAGTGGGACCCCGTGGAGGTTTGGACTTTCGCCACCATTCCTTTCGCGTGGCCAGGCCCTGCATGGCGCTGGCGTGCGTTTGCCTGACTTGGCACGGGCACCTGGGGCACCTGCATGAGGGAACGTGGGCCAAGAGAGATTCTGACTTTCCGAGTCGAAGGTCCGTGTGTTTTTTGGGGAGGGTTCCCCTACTAAAATAGACTACAGAAAAAAATGCCCTTGTTCTAACCTCTCTACTGGAGGACCTAGGTAGGTTTCTAGGCTTGTGTCTCGGGAAAGCTGACACACACACACACACACACACACACACAAGGAGGAAGATATTCGAATTCGTCACGCCCGGTTTGCAGCTTCATATCAACGAAAGCTTCAACCCTCAAAGCAAACAGCGCAAAGAAGCGCACGCACGCATGCACGGTGTTTCCTCACTCGCACGTACTGGCGCGCCCCCTGCGCACACACACACACACAAACACACAAGCAAGCAAACAAGCAAGCAAGCAAGCAAGCAAGCAAGCAAGCAAGCAAGCCTATGATGGTAAATCAGAGCCCTCTATTTTTCAACCAAATCAACCAAAAAGGAAAGTAGAGGGCCCTGGTTTACCTGGTGGTTCAATCAACTACCAGGGCCATCTATTTCCCCAAAAAGGACACCTTTGGTGCTTAAAAGTTGCACTTGGTACTGAAGAATGGCGACTTTGAGCAGGGGCTGCGGATGCTGCTTCGTGCACTTGTTTGATGTGTAAAGTTGCGGTTTTTGAGCTGGGGCCGCGGAAGTGTACTCTGCACACTGCGCTGGAGTCCGCGAAGACGGTTTTTTTGGGAAAAGGAGTTCCAGGCAACCGCCATAGATTATGTATATTTCATGCACATGTTTACACACACATATTTTCATATATCTATATATTTATATATATATACATATATGTATGTATCATATATATATATATATATATATATATATATATTTGTATACATGTGTCCGTTTGCATTGCATGTGCGAGCGCGGGCGAGCGTTTGACAAGCTTGCAGGCCACATGCGCGGCACACGGCGCACATTCATGACTTTCTCGCGAGAAAGTCATGACCTTCGCAATTCACGCAACTTGCGGCTGCAAGGTGCGCTTGTACGACCAGGCGCCAACGGGCAACCGCGCCCTCCCGAAAAAAAGCTGTGTTTTAGTGTTGCTTCTGCTCACTGTGCATCGCCAAAAGGATGTCCCATTTTACGGAGCTAGATTGGCGTGTTGCAACGTGCAACGCGCATGACGTAGAAGACGGAGACATCGAGGGCGCGCAGTGCGTTGAGCAGGTTTTCTTTGGGCACATTTTCTTTGGATGGCCAGCAGTGTAGGACAAGGGTTTGCCTTTCACCGACCCTTTTCTCACCCGTGTCGACTCTGCCGACCCGCCAGGGCAACGACGGCGAGATAAGCAAACAGCAGCTGCAGCAGATGTGCTTGAGGGTCAATCACCGGCCGGGCACCCCAAGCTGCAACAGTGTGACTTGAGCCAGGACGTGCTCATTGCTGTTGGGATACCGCCAATCTCTTTCAGAGTGTCGTTCCACCGCCAGGAACTACCTTTGCTAACGTGAAGCACAAAGATGGCAAATCCTTTTGACAAAGGGAGTAGCTGCAAAGCAACAATGGCCATGACCAGGGTCAGGAGCCTACAACATGGGCAACTGGGTTATGGCTATGGGTGCTGACCACCATTTGAGCAACGCTCGCTTCATATAGATTAACTTCTTGTCCGGATCGATCAAAGGTTCTCCTTTGCGTCAGGAAACCCTTGTCGTTTCGCGGTCGTCCGAAGTGAGCCTTAGAGTCGACGAGCTCCCGTCAAGCAACTCGCATGTGTCAGGTTGCCTAAACAGAGACTTTGTTCGCAAGCCGGGGACACTCGCTACAATTCTTGGCTAGGGGTCGCACAAGAGCCTTGCCCTTTTTGCCAAGTTTCGCTTGTGCTTGCTACAGGGCTTCAAGTTTGTACTCTCCTGCAAAGGTGGATATCAAAAGGCCCTGTCGGGAACTCCTGTCGGGTTTCCTTTTTGCATGTGTGTGTTTTGCGGACACCAAAAACAGACCTTCTTTTGAAGATCCCCTTTTCCGGTGGGGAGGGGGATGGTTAGAAGAAAACCAACATAATCAGAACCATGTTGATCCCCCATGACATTTCCCTTGCAGAACGGGTGGCCTTAAGGTCTCTTTAAAGGGTTTGTTTCGTGGAACAGTGGGGTCTCGAGGTAGGTCGGCAATGTCATTTTGTGAGCTATCGACTTTGTCTAGCACATTTTCAGCGCTGTTGTGTGTGTGTGTTTGTGTGTTTGCATGCTTGCTTGCTTGCTTGCTTGCTTGCTTGCTTGCTTGCTTGCTTGCTTGCTTGCTTGCTTGCTTGCTTGCTTGCTTGCTTGCTTGCTTGCTTGCTTGCTTGCTTGCTTGCTTGCTTGCTTGCTTGCTTGCTTGCTTGCTTGCTTGCTTGCTTGCTTGCTTGCTTGCTGTGGTTGGTTGTTTGCCCTGTCTTGTCTTGTCTTGTCTTTTCTTGTTTTGTCTTGTCTTGTCTTGTCTTGTCGTGTCGTGTCTTGTCTTGTCTTGTCTTGTCTTGTCTTGTCTTGTCTTGTCTTGTCTGGCTGACTGTCTGTTTGTTTGTTTTGGAGCTTTTTGTGTGTGTGTGTGCTTTGCTTAAACCCCAGTTGTGTTTCTTTTACAGGTCGAAGGGACCTTGCTTGCAGATGGAAACGTGCCATGCGAGAATTCCACGCCAAAGTCGTTCGAGTTCATGGAGCAATTTCGTCACTAGCCGCGGTCGCCAACTGTGGCCCGAGGCCCAGCGAACAGGACCTGCAGAAGCTCATGAGCGAGTTCGATACCGGGCCAGATTGGGCAGATTGGGCTGGGATCTGGAGTCTCAGGGCCCACTTCCCCGTGCTAAGCACCACTCAAGTTTCTCAGCCAGGCCTGGCTCTAGGTGGCTCCAAATTGCAGCCCAACATCAGCCTTCCCCCATCGTGCCAAGATATGGGTGTGTCCTTTTTGCAGGGGGCCGGTTGGTCGGTGGTTTTCAAGGAAACCCACAGGAAAACCCATCATTCTTGGGCTCCCCCAGAACAAGACCCACGCAAAAAAATATGAGTTTCATGGGTGGAATCCGCAGTGTGGAACTCGCCCATGTTTGGAAACAAGGTAATGGATCTGAAAGCGCATCCTAAGCCTGGTGAAACTGAGCCGGGAGATGTGAAACCGAGACCTCCTTCGCGTGCCGGACACATTCTCCCCGAGCACCGGGAGCGCATATGCTCCCGGTGTAAAAAAATATTATGTTCTATATTAAAAAAAAGTAAGAAAAAAAGTTGCAGGGACTGAATGTCCAACGTTCCCGACGTCACACTGAGATCCATACGCATTTTTGCTAAGCATCGGAAACCGGCGACATGCCCTACACTTGCGCTCAAGAGGATTCCAGCCTTTCCAGGTGCCTTCCCTTTTCGAAAGGATTGGCGGATATCTTACGATAGACCAAGTATGAAACAGTATCAACAAAGCATGTTTTGTGTGTATCTTGGATGTGGTTGCCACGTGCGGTGTCCCTGAAGTTACGATGAGACATGCCCTGGGATTTCTTGTTTTCGGCGGCCGCGGAAATCGTCTATCGCAGAAGGGGGCCGGGGGAGTTGCCGAATTGCGACATATGGCTGTGGGTCAAAAACATGGACGCCAAAATGGCACCTTGGCAAATGGAACCATTTCTTCCATCAGCCTTTGGTCCAGTTGTCAGGAGTCCCAATGCTCCCGATGACTTTGATGAGTATGGCCTTATATGGCCTTGTTTAATGGAACCAAAGACTAAAGCAATCCCCGCTGTTGAGTTTTGAGCTGCACCCAAAGGTCAACAGTCGGCTGGGACTGCGTCAGCTGTTGCTCGCAGCGAGAGAAAGAGAAGCGAGGAAATAGATCGACGTGTGTTTTCCTTCCTCAACACGTACTGTACGAGAAGGTGTCGACATCCACAGATTCCCATTGATTGCCATATCCGCAAATGACTGTGGCACGTTTACCTCGTGTCCAATTAAAACAATTGGGTTAATATAACCACAATTATTTACCTAAGGATGTTCACACTCCAAATTGAGTCAACCAATACTTAACGCGGGGTTGAACCCCAGGGCGAAGGTTTTCTTCCGACCCTTGGGGACTTTGGGCGTGGGGACCTCACCGGACGCAGGCGTGGGACGATCTCGGTGGCGGAGCTGCAGTTCAGACTCGAGGCCCGCCTTGGTTTCTCTCGCCCGAATTCGTCGGCACTGTGATGGCGCTATTTGGAAGGTACCTTCCAATTCCATTCTGAACCCAGGGATCCTTCTTTTCAGGAAGCCATCTTAAAAACCCAAGGGAAACAGCCGGTTTTTGAAAAGAACGATGGTTGAAAAGAATGGGGAATCAACCCCTAGAACCATGGACTCAGTCCCTGAGTTCCGAAACTTTTGGAAGACCGTTTTAGTGGCAACCAAGAGGTTTGGAAGTTTGTTGGCCAACCCGCTCAGGATGATTTGCCTGATGCGGGCTTACAAGGGGCCAAGAACGGAAGGCTCTTATGACTTCAGGCAGCGCGGGTGGAAGATCTCCTGGGCGAGTTCAAGGCGGGTGGAGGCTTGAGCTTGCTTGGAAGTAACAATCTCAGGGGCAAGGCAATGTCAGCCAAGATCACGCGCCTCGCCAGCTCCAAAGTGCGTGATTGAATCAACATGCTGCAGCTTCCATGAGCAAGCAGGCCCAAGATGAGGGACCAACTCTTGTTAGGTTCTTGTTTTCAAAGCAAAGGGAGGCTGGTCTAGTCACTCAGTAGTTGGAACGCGCGCGGTAGACGGCCGTGCGATTCCTCATTGTTTCATGATTATTCACGGCCGTTGGCGAATTCTCTATTTTCAATGATGATTGTCGGAGTGGCGTGCTGTGTTTTTCTAAGGGGGGGGTAGTATCTAGATTTGGGCGTGGCTCAGAATTAAAGAGCTAGGGTTACGCAGATTTTAGTCTTTGGTTCCAGATACCACTTGCCCGGTAGGGCAGTGCTAGGCCAACCCGGTAGGGCAACAGCACTTGCCCAAGGGTGGCGCCAGCCCAGTAGGGCGCAGCACTTGCCCGGTAGGGCAGTGCCAGGCCCAATACCCGGTAGGGCAGTGCTAGGCCAACCCGGTAGGGCAACAGCACTTGCCCAAGGGTGGCGCCAGCCCAGTAGGGCGGCAGCACTTGCCCGGTAGGGCAGTGCCAGGCCAACAAAGGGGCGGCAACATGCCAGCCCAGTAGGGCGGCAGCACTTGCCCAGTAAAGCGGGGTGGCGCCAGCCCAGTAGGGCACTTGCCCTAGGGCAGTAAAAGTGGCGCCTAGGGCGGCAGCATTTGCCCGGTAGGGCAGCGCTAGGCCAACAAAGGGGTCGAGTACGGCGGCAGCACCTGTCGCCAAAGGAGGATAGCGCTCGCCCGGCGTCACCGTCCAGGGATGTGAAAAAAAAGGAACGAACAGTCACGGGGTGGTCCGCCCACACTGAGAGGGGGAGGGCGGCCAAATCCCTCCCCCCGGCGCAATCCCTCCGAGTGTCGGCCCGTGACGCGGGGCTCGGGGTGTTGGAAGGTCTAGGGTGGCAGACATGGTGCTCCGTTTCGCTGAGGCGAACCAAGCTTTAAAGCCGTGGTCTTTCCGGTGGGGCTGACTTGGGTTTGCGTGCGAAGCGAACCAACAAGTAGTTTGGCCGGGGGGTTCAACTTGCGTTGCAAATGGCTGTCTTGCCTTGGGCAAAACGCCGGTGATCTCTTTTCCTTGTAGAATTCGGAGCTCAAGTGGGTTAACATAGTGTGCTTCTTGCAGAACCCGTTAAATTTCGAGGTCAAGCCTACACTCCCTCAGCCTAACCGAAATCTCCCAGAAGGCCGGTCCTGCAAACGGCACCAACTCTTGCAAAGGGGTCTGTTCGGAAGCTTTTGGCTGTTAGTCTGGAACCAGGTAACTTTCGGAGACCGGCTGGCAAATTTAGTGAGTGCCCCTGCCCTCCATTAACCACAGGCCGCTCCCCGAAACTCATCTGGTCCATGGTTAGAGCTGGGGCAAGCAAAGTTTCAGAAGCTACCGGCCATTTCGGCAGGGCGCGTTGGCGCGCTTCGGCGCCCGCGGCCTCTTGGACGCCTTTGCGCGCGCTGGGGAGGGCGGCCAGCTGAGCCTGGAAGAGCTGGAAGGCCAGCCCCGGGCCTTCCGGGCCGCGCGTGCAAACGCCGCGAAGTGGATCCTCCAGTCCTTGAGCGTTTTGGGATGCTACCTTTCCGTGTCAAAAACGACGCCAAATGCTGCTTGAAGGCGTCCTAGTGGGCGTGCTGCAGATACCTGCGCCGCGGCAGCGCATCCGAGATTTGCCTGGGCCTTGAGCTTGCGCATGAGAAATGGCTTGCCATCGAAGCCGCGCTTGACTCAATGGGTCCGGGTCAAAATACAACCACCAGGGGGCCGCAGGTTTTAGTCTTTGGTTCCACGAGGGGTTCCATTTTGGGTACGCATTTTTTGACCCACACCCAAATAGCTTTTCCTCTGCTTTGCGCATGGACACACGGCACACGGCACACTTTGCCGCGGCGCAGGGGCTGCCCACCGCTTCAGGTTTGACGTCTTCAGCACGGAGCACGGCGGCAAGATACCTTACAGAGAGCTGCTTCGAAGGCGCCCTGCCAGATGCAAACCACGAGGGGATTACGGGATCACGGCTCTCGGCGTTTGGGAGAACACCGGGGCATTTCACAAGGGTAGCCACCCGTTTCCCGTTTCCGCACGACAAGGGCAAGTCTTGGCGGAAAATCGTTTTGGGGCTTTGGACTGTCACCCCCCATGGCGAGCCCACGCAAGCCAGCGTACGTTAGCGGTGTCAGGTGTGGGCTGGCACAGACAGATCATCTGGGTCTTCACGAGCGCGGCTCTCAGTTGGTGAGCAGAGCCACGAAGTCTCGACCCTTCGGTGAGGTGCTTGCCAGTTGCAGATCAGCCCCGCTGGCTGGAGTTGACCCTGGCTGCAGTGAAGCGAGCTTTGCTGGGGTCTCAGACCTGCCGTTGACCTTGCGCTTTCCACCGGGCATGGCATGGAGGGCTGCTCATTGCAGTCACTCATCGCGACGGGCCCGCTGTTCCGTTGCCCGCCAAGGCTGCGGGCCAAGGCTGACGAGGAGAGTGTCGCAGAGGCTGCACAGCGCCTGCTGCTTGCCTTCGACGAGCGGAATGCAGGGGCCTAGGCGTCTGCCCGCGGCCCGCATTCGCTGGCTAAGAATCTGCCGTGTGTTTTTCTGGGATCCTGAAAAAGGGCACAACCTTGGCGCACCACTCTTCCCATACTCAAGGAAGGGCAAATCAACCTTGCAGCCTTGATCACCTAACACTCTGGCCAAAAAAAGCGCGACTATCATCCCGAAAAAGTAACCAAAACAAACAAACAGCAAAACAAACAAACAAACAAACAAACAAACAAACAAACAAAGAAAGAAAGAAAGAAAGAAAGAAAGAAGCAAACAAACAAACAAACAAGAAAGCAAACAAAATCAAAAAGAGGCAAAACAGCAAAAATGAAGAAGAGGCACAACAACAAACAAGCAGCAACCAAAAAACAATCAATCAATGAATCAAACAAACAAAAGCAAACAAACAAAAACACGCAAAAACACAAACCAAAAAAACAACGAAAGCGCGTGTTTGAGGTGGGCACGCTCTCCTGCCCACAGCTGCGCCGGGCGTTGGCCAGCTTGGGTCTGGCCGGTGGCCAGCGGGAGGCACTCGTGACACTGGGGGGCGGGCCAGCACACGAAACCCAACCCTCCGCCTACTGGTGCTGATTTTTGTCCATCCGCAGAGTGAGTGAGTGAGTGAGAGAGGGAGGGAGAGAGAGTGAGTAAGTGAGTGAGTGAGTGAGTGAGTGAGTGAGTGAGCGAGCAAGTGAGTGAGTGAGAGTCATCATAATTGCTGCTTGGGCAGATTGCATTCGGGTTCGTGGCTTCTATCACTAGGTCCCCCAGTAGTGCCCTTTTACTCTTGTTTGGGGGCCGGGTTCCCCTACTGATTTTTTCTGTTTTGTCTATTTTAGTAGGAGAACCCTCCCCAAAAAAAGCACTACTTACAAGGCTTCCTGGAAGATTTCTGGATGGCACTGAGCAAAACCACCCCTTCTGCAGATGGAGCGCCTATGCGAGCAGCTGCGCAGGGGCCCTGGCGATCGTATGGTTGTTCTCCGGTTGGCTTCCGTGTAATTCACAAAGCTGAGAAAGGACGCAATAAAGGCAACACAGGCCCTAGAATGATGCTTGTGGGTTGGAGACTGCTGCCAAACTGCTTGGTGAGCCACAATGAAAACCCGGGTAGATGAAGGTTAGTAACGGGCAGCAGCCAAAAATAGTTGCGGCCACCTTCTTAGTTCCTTTCATGGTCTGGGTAGACCATTTTCATACCGGGTTTTGATTGTGACTCAAGTGGGTGTAGCTCAAATTAAGCAGCTGGGCTTACGCAGGTTTTAGTCTTTCTTTCCATTTGCCAAGCTGCCATTTTGGTACATTTTTTGATCCACAGCGCACAGCCAAGTGAGTTTCCTGGAAAATGTGAGGCTCATTGGAGAAACCTGGCGCCTGAGGCGGCGTCCCAGCGAGGGATGCTCGCGCGCGGGGCCCGCGAGGTGTGGAGCGCTGGTGGTTCTGTGTTTGCGTGGGTGAAGCTTATATATTCTAAGGGAGGGCCCATCCAAATGGGTTCCCCAATAAGTTTCCTGGTTGGTTTCTCTTTGGAACCAAGCAAAAATTGGTCCCCAAATGAAAGCTGGATCCGTGTGTGTGTGTGTGTGAGTGTTGGTTGCTTGCTTGCTTGCTTGCTTGCTTGCTTGCTTGCTTGCTTGCTTGCTTGCTTGCTTGCTTGCTTGCTTGCTTGCTTGCTTGCTTGCGTGCGTGCATGCGTGCGTGCGTGCGTGCGTGCGTGCGTGCGTGCGTGCGTGCGTGCGTGCGTGTTTGCGTGTTTGCGTGTTTGCGTGTTGTTTGTGTGTTTTGTTTGGTTGGTTGGTTGGTTGGTTGGTTGGTTGGTTGGTTGGTTGGTTGGTTGGTTGGTTGGTTGGTTGGTTGGTTGGTTTTGTTTTGTTTTGTTTTGCTTTGTTTTGCTTTGCTTTTTTTTTTTTTGCTTGGTTGGTTGGTTGGTTGGTTGGTTGGTTGGTTGGTTGGTTGGTTGGTTTGTTTGTTTGTTTGTTTGTTTGTTTGTTTTTTGTTGTTTAGTTTGTTTGTTTGTTTGTTTGCTTGGTTTCTTGCCCGCAAATCCCTTCAAGAGGCCCGCATGCCATTGCCAGGGCGCAACTCCTTCACGGGTTCTTTGGTTGCAACGTGCGGCGCCAAATTGGGCGCAGGCGTGCAGCAAAGCCCTCAGCGCAACCTGGAGCTCCGGGTGGAGACGTTGGTGTCCAGGCGGCTTCGAATGGCCCACTTGGAGCTCAAGTAAGGCAGAAGGAGGGCGCTGGTTTCAATTGGGTTCTAAACATTTTGCAGTGGGTCAAAAATCAGTGCCCAAAATGGGACCCTAGTACGTGGAACAAAGGACTGAAGCATGTGCTTTAATTTTGACCCATGCCCATTTACCATCATCTGTTTGTCCAAAGAGACCTCCAGAAAGTGGATCCGCGACTTCGGAGATGGTTGCACTGCCCAGCGCTTTGACAGCTGAAACTTCCAAGCCACCCTATGCCAACCTCAGGCCGCCTCAAGCAAACCTGCACCCGCGGGTGTTTTTCGCCATTCTCGAGGCCTAGCCCGACTTCAATCCTGCCGGTTCCGAGCCGTTTGGCTGACTGAACCCAAACCATCCGACAGCACAAGGCCCTGAAACCAACGACGAGTGCTAAGCTGAAGCCAACCCCCACACCTGCCCGTCACCTTGAAACCGGGGCTTCGGGCTTCGGAGTAGCACCTGCCCCCGATGACTGACTTATTCGGGCTTAAAAAATCACGCGACCCAATTTCAAAAGGTTCAGGCGCTGAAACCAAAAGCTGCCCTGAATCCAAAGATAGCTGGGCCCTCAATCCAGCCTATTCTGTCTACCCAAGTAACATTTAGACCAAGCCGCAGGAAAACCAAGAACTAAAACTCTTCAAGTGGCCTCAAGCCATAGCGGAATCCCACCAAACCATGCGCATGAAGCCTAATTCAACTTGAAGTCCGCGCAGATGCACATCCCATACCAAAGAGAAAGGTAGGTGATTTCGCACCTGATCCAGGGCCGCCCTAAGCTTTCACCAAGGGAGTGGCGTAGGCACACAGGATGTTGAGCAAAGTGATCGCTCGCCATGTTTTCCCCCCCCCGAAATCAACACGCTGAAGGCGTCCACGCCTTTCAAATTAGTTCGAGTGGCCACGCAGCAATCTGGGGAGTGATGCAAGCAAGTGATGCAGGCTCAACTCTGTGCACATCCCGGAGGAGGTGGGCTGCGTTGCTTGTCATTTGTTGCCACTTCTGCTATCCCTCTAAGAAGTATGCGGCCCATCTTCCTTGCGCAGGGGCGGCAATCCCAGCGTTTTTGGAAGGTTTGACAGGAGCACTCTTGGCACACTCAGGGGAGGGGCTTTTCGCACACATACAACGCCGCCCTCTCATGGCTGGGTTCCTACTGGTTCTGGTTTGGGTCTGATTTTTTCTTATCATCTAATTACTTTTGCCAAAAGTCATGACCCTCATGGCTCAGCAACTCAGCCAAATCTCTGGGGGGTTGAACACTTTTGGACTCGGACAGGCAATCCCCTATGGCAAGATTCAGCAAGTCTACAGTTGCTCCTTGCCCGAGATCAGGGGTGTTTACAATACTCGCCTGGATGCCGTCCTCAAAATCGCACTCTTCTGAAGCAGTGATGATTGAAATGGACAAATGGTATCGTTCAAACTTTGAACCATCACCAAAACTTGCCGATATAAAAACAAATGGAAAATCGAACTCGAACTGAAACAAAAGCTCATCGAGCTGAAGCAGAAACAGAAGCTGGAACTCGTCAAACTGAAGCAACAGCTCGAGGTCGAGGGGAAGCAAGAAACTCGAAGCAGAAGCAGAAACTCGAACTCGAACTACAACAGAAACTCGAACTGCAGAAACTCGAACAGAAACCCGAACTCCAACTGAAACATAACCTCGAACTCGAGCTCCACGCCCTATTTCCCACGAGGAGAGAAAACAAGAGGCAAAAACTCGAACTTGAACTGACGTGCCCCCCCCCTTCCGCCCGAGCCGCTGCAGCATGCAACAAAAGCTCTGAGCAGGTGTGCTTACATTTTGAGCTGGCGTGACCAGTGCTGAGCGGGCGCGCTTGAGCGGGCCCCTTCCTTCTCTTCCTTCCGTTCCTTCCTTCCTTTCTGTTCTTGTTTGCTTTCTTGCGTGGTTCCTTCCTGACCTTCCTTCCCTTGCTTCTCGTCCTTTCATGTCCTTTCCCTTCCTTCCCTTCCTTTCGTTGCTTCCCTTCCTTTCCTTGCTTCCCTTCCTTTCCTCGCTTTCCTTCCTTTCCTTCCTTCCCTTCCTTCCTTCCCTTCCTTTGTTCCCCAACAGCTGAAAGATACGCTCCGGGGTGGTCCGGGGTAAGGTTCCACGAAAGTTCCACCAGGGTTCCACCAGGTTCTGCAAGGGTGGTTTGAGGTAAGGTTCCATGAGTTCCAGCAAGGTTCCAACCAGGGTTCCACCAGGGTTCCACCAGGGTTCTGCTCATGAACGTTGTTTCGGGTTCCACCAAAATTCCACGTTCCGGTGTGGTTTGAGGTAAGGTTCCATCAGGGTTCCATGAGGGTTCCACCAGGGTTCCACCACCTGGTTTCACGAGGTTCTGCGAGGGGTTGTCCGGGGTGGTTTGAGGCAAGGTTCCACGAGGGCACCAGGATTCCGCCAGGACCAGGGTTCGACCAGGGTTTAACCAGGTTCTGCAAGGTAAGGTTTCATGAGGTTTGTATCAGGGTTCCGCCGCGGTTCTGCAAGCGGGGTGGTCCGGGTGGTTTGAGGCAAGGTTGATGAGGGTTCCACCAGGGTTCCACGACATTCTGCAAGGGCTGCGGCGGCCCTGTAAGGTTTCACAGGGTTTGAACAGATCTCCACAACGATTCCACATGATTCCACACAGGTTCCACAAGGCTCCACAAGGTTCCACAAACGTTCCACAAATGTTCTGCAAGGTTTCGTGAGGGAGGTTCTGTGTCGTGCTCACTTGCTCACACAACGCGGCCCGAAATGTTGGCTTTGTACGTTGCTGCGGGGCTTACTGTGCGGCAGAGTAAATGCTCGGCATTACTGAGCAACACTTACTTGGTGGGCTTTGGGCCCACGAGGCTGCAAGGGCATGGGGTAAGGTTCTAAAAACACTCCAAGAGGATTTTACTAGGTTCTGCAAAAGCTACGGGGCAGCCCTGAGGAAAGGTTCACCGGGCCAGTCAGCCATCGGACTGCGTCGGACCCCGTCAACTGTACCAAGCTACGCATCTTAAGGAGAACCAGCGTTGAGCCATAATATGGGTGGCTGGGGCCCGATTGCACTGTCGGGCCCCGCTCCGGCCCCGATTGCGCCAGTCGGGCCCGGGCCCCGATCGGGGGGCGATTGCACTGTCACTCTTAGCTTTGCTTTATAAGTTTCAAGGCGGCATCCTGTGCAAAACCGGCGGCGGTGAGGTTGGGGGGTTCCGCGAGGCTTATGGGAGGGTGCCCTCGCATTTTCCGGGTTTGTGGGGGCTCGAAAAACAAAAGGGGCATCGATTGTCGACGCCGACGGCGTCTTTGAAATGAGGCACGAGACAAAGACGACGGGGCCCAAGCCTGGGCTGAGCGGATTCCGCGCAGTGCTCCAAGCTTCAAGCTCACCCCGAATTCTAGAATCCTCGCCCGTGGCAAAATGAGCCGCTCGCCGTCTCTTCTCCCTCGCCATCCAGCGGCCGCCACGCGGTTGGTTGGATTTTCGGCGAGGAGCCGTGGGCAGGGGAAGAAGAAGGGGAGGCAGCGGGCGAAGGCGCGGGAGCGCGCTTGAGGGGGGCGATTCATTTCGTGGCCGAAATATCTGTGCTTTTAGTGATGTGTAACCGTCTCGCGTCTGTCTCGCGATTTCTTTAGTTTGTCGTGCGTTCAGCTGAGCTGTCTCACACGCAGCTTTTCTTTTCCCTCGAAAATTAAAATTTGTCTTGCCCAGAAGTTGAAATCTTCATCGCAGGTCTTCCAGCTGCTCCTGACAGCCCGGAGCCAGACTTTGCCCTAAATTACTTGAGCCCGGAGGAGGTGCCGGACCGCTGCGAAAAGGTCGACTTGTTTTGACATGGTGTTCAAGCGCGTCCATGTGAGCGGGGTCCTGGCTGGGGCGGACCAGGTCGTGGTCTCGCTGGAGACGCTTGGCCCCGTTATTTCGCCATTGTCAAAGTTGCCCCCTAAGTGGTAGGTCAAAGTTTGTCAAAGGGATGGTGTTGTTGGGGATATCGCCGGAGCTTATTTTTTCAGATTGGATTCCAGCACGCAGTCGCATAGTTTGGTTTGGAGGCAGCCCCTCGCTTTTTGAGAGGTTCTCGGGACGGCGTATAGCACTTGTTTTGCCACGTGTTGGTTGTGTCCCTGAAAGTGGTGTTCGAACTTGAGCTCCTCCTGTGGAGCTGGGGCTGTGTGTCTTCTGAAAAAATCGCCATCAGGCAACAGACTTCGAGCCCTTGCTTGTCATCCTGCGACAAGCATTCGACGCCTTGCAGGCCTTAGCCATGGCAGTTTTGGATGGGAAATGGAGCGTGCAAACTTCAATATGTAGTGGGCGCTTGGAATTGACAAAGGGGGGAAAGCGTGGCGGCGCCCAGGTGGTCTGACGACCGCCGACTGGGCACTTGCAAGGCTGCTGCTCACGCCCGAAGCCAGGCTTCTCGAATTGTTTCGCACAGGACGACCAAGACTGTAGACGCAGTGCTTTTGGAACAGCAATCGAAGGTGCGTGGCAGAACTTTCTGCCGATGTGATGGCCGGCGAGATTCGCGCTCACGATCTGCCGGACTGCGCGCGCGCCGAACTTCTTTCTTTGCGAGTATCTTTCTGCTCTGCGTGTTACCATCTCCACACAACTAGCTAGCTCCTGGCCACCGGCTGCCAGTCCTGTGGAAAAGATGACCGCTTGCCGCGCAAGCGTCTCAAAACCGAACACGCGCTGTCGTAGCCAGTGTAGGTGAGCGCAGGGGGAAATTGCAGCAAATCGTGCGCGAGGAATACAACTTGTGAGTGGCTCCCAGCCGCACACATTGGCCTCACCGCCAAGATTTGCAAGCATGGTGCCAACACCTAGGCTCCAGCCAGTACGAGGGTTCCATCAAGCCTATCCAGCACAATAAAGCTCTCCAGGCCTGTGACGCCAAAGCACGCGAACATGGTCAGCCTATCCAACACAGCTACAGCGCGCCAGGAAATGTATCTCTTCCTTTTTGCGGACTCCCACAACACGGCGCATTGCTGCACCCCATTCCGCCCCATTTGCCGCAGCGTGCAACAGAAGCTCGAAACCTGAAACAGGAACAGAAACTCGAACTGACACAGACACAGAAACTCGAACAGAAACCCGAACTTCAGCTGAAACTTTAAACTCCAGCTTCGAACTCGGAATTTGCCGGTGGCCCGGGGTACACTGTGTGGACTGCCGCGCCGTGCCGCGTCAGGAAGCTGTGCCCCATCGCTTGGAAGCGCGCCCGGCGGCGGAGGCCCGGGAGATCCCTGACCTCACCAGACCGTGTTGGTCAAACCATTCTTTGGGCAGACCACGTCCCTCCAGTTGCTTAAGAATATATTTATTATTTTCCCTTGTTGGCTTTTGAAAGGAGCTCATCACTACTGGAAATATTTTACCATTTTTCCTGGGGCCTTAACCAGCCTCTGTTTTCCGACCACTCTTTGGGCAGACCACTTTTTGGTTAGACAAAACAATCACAAGGGGATCCGCGGGTTCTCGTGCGAGGCGCTCCGCGGGGCCTTGCAGCGACGGGGATTGAGCTTGGTAAAGGTCCTGGCAGAACTCGATCCGGAGATGCCAGGGCCCCGGTCCGTCCACCTGGTTTTGTTTGCTGGGTGCGTTTGTTCTTGGAGACGTACTGACTGCACCTTTGTCATCCTCTTCCACTCTTGCTTTGGAGGGAAAGTGGTAGGAAAGTCGAAATCCATTTTTGGGGTCCCTCCTATGTTGAACCAACTAGACTCAGCTGTATCTTTGGGAGCAGCTGACACTTTTGGACATCAGAGAATTCCGATTCTGGCCTTGTCGACCAGGAGGTCCAAACCCCCCAGAGAGACACTTGACTAAATGTCCCTTTTCTCAACTGTTCAGTGGCACCCTTGTTTCCCTTTCTTTTGGTGGCTGCCCCACTAAAATGGTCTTCCCAAAAAAGGTTCCCCTGTTTTTTTTCCAGGGTCACTAAAGTGAGTTGTTGGTGGTTAAAACATCACCTTTTGTATCATGGTCAAATTTCCCCCTTGACTCTTTGTCAGCGCGGGTGCGAGGGTACTTCTCCTTTGGTTCTTACCAAGGTCATCGTTTGCTTACAATTGAAAGCGAGTCGTTTAAGGGGGCGTGGAGGTTGCATGCCTAGCACGGAGGCTATATGCCACCACTTACATGATACGAGGATGTATGAGGGCATACAATATGCCTTATGGGCTTAGAGGGTAAAGCCTCCCTCCAGACCTGAAAATTCCCTGACAAGAATGCAAGGCTACATGGATTTTGAATCGGTCTCCTCCAGAGACCAAAGTTGTACAAGGTCCTTAGAGAACTTCTGAACAGGTTCCATGTGAAACATGAACTGGTGCCACGTGATTTTTGGATGTCAGCGGCTTCCCTGTGTTCCGCGGCGGGGGGGGGGGGGGGCATTCACGTGTTTTTTGCGGCCAATTGCCTAGGATCGAAGAGTGAGTCATCTTTGACTTAGGGGTTTCTTTGCACAAATGCAATGGGAGAGGCAACGTGTTGCCATGGACGCGTGAGGGAACAACTGCAAATTCAGAAGGAAACGCTGATGTCAAAAGCTTTAGTTTTCTCTAAGGCCACATCGGTGGGTGGCTCCTCCTAATAATGGGCTACATGGGCATGCTCCAGTTTCCGGCTGCATGCCAAATCTGTCAGGCTGGCGAGGCAGTTTCGCCGGACTTTCTACTTGGGCTTGGACCATTCTGGTGGCGAAGTAACGAACAAAAGCGCAGATGGGCCCTATCCAACACACAGCAATGGCTTGTGAGCAAACGACAGGTTTTCAAGCAGCTGAGAGCTACTCAGTGCAAGTAAACCAGCCAGCAAACTGAAAACTGCCTTTTCTGCGCCCTTTCCCCTATATTTCGCTTTTTGGTGGCTTAAACAACACGTCACCCTCTCACCCAACTCGAAGTTTCCGGGTATCCCATTCCGCGCACGACGCACCTCCGAGGCAAGGCAAGGTGTCCTTCGAAGGCTTCCGGGTGGCGTGCCAGCGCTACCGTCTCGCCTTGAAGGAGCGGCGGGCGGCTACTTGCGATGGCGATGGGGTGTAGGGAATGACCGGGGTTGAGCCGTGTTGGATTTCCTGAAAGGAAACCATAGGGGATCGGGGCACAGGGATCATTCCCTCGTTCCCTGCCGAGAACCAGCAAGTTTAGTCGAACTTATTCGGCTTGGACTAGTTTAGTGGCGTATGGCTACCTTTTGTTGGCCGATCCACTCGATCGGAAGTGAGACACCGCCCATTTGGATAGCTCGTCAAAATAGGAGCTGGACCAAAATGGTAAGCCCCCCCCAATTGAGCAGCGCCCAAAGAAGCTACCTGGGTGTTCAGGAGTTACCTATATAATCTGAGAACCAAAAGTCAAGTTGGGCTGGTTGCTCATTTTCAAGACTAAGTAGATTGAAATGGTTCCAGCTTGAGGGTTTTGAAGATTATTTTGGGGTGGAGCTTCGAAACTGATTCAGAGCATAGTCTTGGGGATGACACTAAAAGTGGACCCAGTGAAACTGTGGTTGCATGGGTTGTGGCTTACATGTGTGCAACTGTTCTTCGGGTCTATGCCAGTGTTACACTGGTTCTTTAGCTTATGGTCTCTGTTTTTGTTGTTCTTCTCTTTTTTTTCGGCGTATCATCCCTTGTGTGTGTGTGTTGTGGCACTGCCTTCCCCGAGTTTCGCCAATTGCCCGTATTTTGCCAACGTTCCCGACATATTTGCACATGCTTCCTGGCCATGTTCTCCTGGGTTATAGAATGCAAAGAGGGAAAAAGGAGCGTACAGATAGATCGCTGGGATGGCTGCGAGGTCTGAGGGTCTGAGTGGCCTGCGCCCGACCTCCCCACCTTCCCAAGTCCCCACCTTCAAACCACTCCAAGCCGAAGCTCCCCAAGCCCTGAAGCTCCCCCAGAATCCCTGCGACCCCGACCCATCCGCGCAACCCACCGCAACCAGAACTCCCTACCAGAATCCCGCAACCCACCCCCACCCCGCCCCAACCGAGCCAACTCAGGAGGAAGACTGGGCGCGCCTGGCCGCAGCGCTGCAGCCGGACCGGCACCACTTCTTCTCCGCCGATGCGCTGCAGCGGCTTCTGGCCAAGGCGCCGCAGGCGATCGCAGCGGCGGGGGCGGTGGGGGTGGGTCGCAGAGGTGGAAACTTCCAGGCGATGCCACGATTTTGTGGGGAGGAGGGGTGGAAGAAGCTCACCAGAGACCTCACTTCCTGAGTTCCGTTTCGGACGTCAGTCACGTTTGGTGTTTGTTGGCCATGTTGGCCAGTTAGTGGTAAACCAAAAGTTCAGACTGTTTTTGGCCCACTCACGTGAGCAGAACAAGCTCACCACGTGCGGCCTTTTCTTGGGGCTCCATTTTAGCTCACCATGCACGGAAACGAGGCTCGCCGAAAGCAAAGGAAAGGGACCCATGTCTTAGTTCCGAGAAATGTGGCTGTACCATTTTGGGGTAGGTGAATGCACCACCCATTTTAGAGCCTATTTTAGTGGTTGGATTGGTTGATGTTCACTGGGGTGCGATTTGGATTTTGACCCATGGCCATGTTGCAACAATTGCAGATGGGCCCCTGCCTATTTTATGGTGAGCGCAACCGTGATGAAGGTCCTTGACTAGGCGCTTTCCTCGGTTGCGATCGGTGAATGATACAAAGCATTGTGCAGATGGGATCAACTTGGGAAACGACCAACCCCACGCTTCCATGATATTTTGAACGGCAGGGGACATAGATGTCCTTTCCGAGGTCAGTTTGGTTGCAGATAGGCCGAAGAACCGATGGTCATGGATTTCAGCTTGGTTCGAAGCATGTTCCAGTCATATTCATTCTTCAAGCACGCGTTTCGGTTTCGGTTGTAGGAGCAGATGGTTGTGTCCGACAAGAGCAAATCGATCATCCTGAATACCCTCACTTCGGACAGAAAGTTATGGCTGGAGGTTCATGTTCCTTTTAGAAGATTCATGTTGGGAGGCAACCTTCGGACAGGGAAGAAAGTGATGGCTGGAAGGTCCATGTCGGGAGGGAAGCACCCACCAGCCTTCAGAGCTGCCAGAACCGGACCCGAATCGCCAGACCCGAAACCCGGAGTCTGGCGGAAAAGCTGGGTTTTTCGGGAATCCTGCTGTCTGTGAGCGGGAATCTTGCGGGTGCGAGAGAGGGTCCCTGAGAAATGGAACCCAACTTCCCCATGTTTAACTGGTGCGTGGGAAAGCCTGGGTTCATTCCCTCCGGCCCAGCTCACCCGAGCCTGGCCAGGGCTGCGCCGAGGTGCCTAAGGCGGGGAAGAGCAAGAGCTGGTTGAAGCTTCGGTGGGTCTGGTCTGCTCCAGCTATCCTTGAAAGCTGCGTTTAGATGTGGCTGTGGGTCAAAACCAATGGTACCATTTTGGGGTAGGTGCACCACCCATTTTAGTCTACTTTAGCGGGGATTGGGATGTTCAATGGGGGTATGGGCTTTTGACCCATGGCCATGTGGGGTAGACTGATACAGAATCTGAAAAAAGATGATGTACCACAGATGTTTGCCAAGACAATTCTTGGACAGAATCACATGAGGCACAATCAAAACCGATTCGGGTATGTGAAGGTAAGGGATCGTCCCAGCAAAATAGGTGCGAATCTCCGCCCTAACGTAGACTTGACTCCTTACATAGGGGACCCCTTGAGTACCAGGTGTTGATTGTGAGTCACATGACTCGTTGAGATTTGCCGTGCATCTCATCTAACTTGTGGGTTACCTTCCCAACGTCCTGGCTTGCCAGACCCAAGCTTTCCGAACGGCGAGGTTGACCAAGTTCCGTGTGGCTGGGCTCGCTTCCTTCTTTAGGAATCAGACCCCCCAAAATGTCGCACGGGTTTTCCAGTTGGCGTTCCTTCAAAACCACAAAAAAAGGTACCCTCAAAAACAAAGAACATGTTGGAAACGGATCCATGGTTGTTGTTGGGACACATGTTACGTACATGTGTGCTTATTGCGGTTTAGTGGTGGACATCCGATCGCTTTTTTTTCTTACCTCTTAAAACACAACTTTTCAACTTTTTGGGTAACATGGGCTATATGTCTGTAAAAGATGAGAACTTCCCCAGGGCGCAGGGAGTTTTCAGGGGTACGTTTTCATTGTTGCTCCCCTTCCAACGTCCACCAAGTTCTCACAGCGCGCCGCAGCCTTAGGTTGGCTTGGCTGCGGCGCAGGGAAACGGCCAGGCAGGTCCCGCCGCGCGCTTCAAACAGGGCTCCCTATATTTCCTTTTGCGGCTTTAAACATCACCTTTTTGGCACCATGAAAGGTGAGTGTCCTTGGTGGGGGTGATGTTTTAAGTGGAAATATCGGGAGCGTAAAACTGGCCCCGCAGCAGTCCCCTGTCTTTGGGGTCTGGTTTGAAGACTCCAAGTGGATTGCGCCATTTTGACTCACTGGTTGAGTTCCTTGATGCGTGTGAAGACCATTCTGTATACATGACAGAAGTTTGGTGCCAATCTTGGTCGGAAGTGAGTTGAGACCCTAAATAATTTGAATGGAGGTGTGGGGTACTTAAAACCATATTTTGTCATGCGTGGTAAACTATTAGTACCCTCCCACCAATTGGCATGGAACCTGACAGGGGTCCCTTTAAAAAGGAAGATGGTCTTCCAGACCATCCCCCTGTCAGGTTCCATGTTAATTGGTGGGAGGGTAATGGTTTAGCCCATTGTCATTTCTTGCGCAGTAGGGACTGACCCAGGATGTTGGGAATGAACCTGGGGATTCCCTGAAAGGAAATCATACGGCATGGTTTATAGGGCTCATTCCATTTCTCATTCCCAGCTGAGAACCAGAAGCCAAGGGCAGCATCGTGCGAGGCCTTGGAGCCTTTGCCCCGGCGCCGCAGCGCAAGTCTGGCGAAGGACGGGGAAGCAGCCAGAACCCGCGAGTTCGGCGGAACGGGTTTCTCTTGTTTTTTCCCTTGTTTGTTGTTGTTGTTTTTCTTCGAAAAGGGGCGTCCCAAAAGTCCCCCTTTCAGCATCGTCTATTTGTTTTATTTGGAAGAAAGTGACTTCAGCTTTGGGAAGATTGAAGTATCACGTGTTGGATCTGTTCGGTTCCCAAGCACTTTGGTCATCTAGAAAAAGGGGGTTTTCCATGATAGTTTTAACATGACCTGCTTGCTGGACGGGCCAATTCAAAATGAGTTTGCAGCGCGCTCCTTGTGTGCTACTTGCTACTTGGCTTTTGTTCACTAATTGAGAAAATGCATGTTTCCCTCCAACCTGAACAAGAATGGAAGTGTTGCGCAGGGGACCATAAAAAGAAAGCACAGGTTTGCTTTCTTGCTGGAGACAATGCCAAGGCCGGTGAACATGGGTCGGCTGAACGACTCGAAACCTCATCACTTGGGAGGGTCTTGTTGTAGGGGACCCCCAGAATGATGGGTGTCCTTTTCCCTTGAAAGCTCCACTTGCCGTCCCACTTGCCAGCCGACGAGTCGGCAAGTGTGGCTTCACCATTTTGGCGGATCAACATGTCATAGGCCAACCGGTTGGCTTGTCCCCGTGTTTCTCGAAACGGATGGATCATACTTCTCCTCCTTGCGCCGGCTTTTTGTTTCCCTGGTTTCTGTTTGGAACCAAAAGCTCACTTTATCTGTTACCCAGACCTCCAGGTGTGCCCTTGTTTGATTTGTTTTTGGAGGGGGCTACACTTGAAAGTACCTTCTTTTCCCCGGTGGGGGTCTGGGATTTTGCAACATCTTCGGCGCAAGTTGCATGAAGATCTGCGAGCGTTCCCGCTTGTAAAGCTAAAGGCGGCTTCCGAAGGTCTGGGCTCATTACTTTGACGGTTTCTGCGGGTTTATCAAAGTCGGAAAATGGGGTGGTTTCCCTTTAACCCACCACTAGGGGGTGACTTTGACCATGGTAAAAAGAATGAGGCCAGAAGGTTCCAGTGCCGTCGCTCAGGAAAGGCGGCTGGACGGGGCGGTGGAGGCGTGGCTTGCCGGAGATCACTTGGTAGTCGTGGCTTCCTTCATAGTCATACCATGGTTGTTGTTGAGAAGCATTTTACATTTTTGCTTATTGTGGTTAAGTAGGAAATCCCCACTTAACCGCTAAAATTCAAATGTTTGCTCCTTTTCCAACGTCTCCACTTCCAACGTCAACCAAGATATAATATTGTAAGACTGTTTGTGGGTGGGTCGTTCTTTCAAAAACCGACCCGCCCCCCCGCCAAAAAAAAAAAAAACAGAAAGAAAAGAAAAGAAACGGGTGTTCTCTCCTTTTGGGTTCCCTTTTATATCAACCCCCAGAGAGGGCAATTGCAATTCCCCTCAAGGTGATGACAGACCTGTCCCTTGGGAGACGAGAAAAAAGTTACTTCTCTCAAGCCCACGCCTTGGAGTGGAAGTGTCCCAGGTCCCAGGTAACACAAAGCAGCGTTCCTCTCAAAACTTGGTGGCGAAGCCAGCGATTCATCCGGTTCCTTAGCTTTTGAGATCCTTTTGGTGTTTAGTGGTTGGGTGTCCATTTAACCCACTAAAAGTTAAGCTTTTAGCAGGGGATCTGAGGGCAGCCCAGAAAATGAGGATTTGTGTTTGGGGTTTGGAACCGAAGATCCGAGTCAAGGTACGACATAGCGTCGTATTTGATGGGGAGGCGCCTGTCCAGGCCAAGAGTCGAAAGCAGGTGGACCAGCTTCAGCCGTGGGCTCAGTTGGTTGAACAGACAGTTCCAGTAGCAATGCGACCGAAGTGGTAGACGTGGATCATCCATTTTGTGGTATTACCGTCACTTCTACAAAGCTGCGCACACAGGTTCAAAGAGTTAACGCTTAGTTCCATCGTAACAGAGGCTGTTCGTTTGTGGTTCTGGTTGGTTGAGCTAGGTGTTGCGACCTGATACCTTCAGACCACCGGTTTTGGCTGGCGCTCCAAGGACAGCACTCTTCCGATCTGAAGAGGCCCGAGTTGTCATTTGACCAGAGCCACGAGAGTGGAAAGTGGGGTCATGTGGCCACGGCCCCAAATGACAATCAGTGGGGATTGGAAATGACGAAGAACCCTTCAAGAAGTGACCTGTGGCTGCAGGGTGGGGGGGGTGCAGCCATGGTTGGGGAGAATTGGACTTTATGTCAAGGATGTCAGACTTTGGTATCACAGAGAGGACCCATGTTCCACCCATGCTCCGCGAGCGAACTCGTTGCGTGGTCCATGGAATCAAACATAGTTCGCTGAGGTTCAGCAAACAAGAAGACATGTTGCTGCCTGGAGTTGTACGTTATTCATGTTGGGTGAAGTCCTCCAGTGTTGGCTGGGGCGTCGTCGCTGTTACTCTTGTTTCTGGGGAGGACACCTGACGACCATTTTATATGTGGGGTAGACTAAACATGAAACAGAATCAAAGAAGGGAGCATTGATCGTGGGAAAACAAACATGAACAAAGCAACCCGACGTGTTTGTGAGACTGCTCTGGAGCGTTACAAAAGCAACATACAAACGCACACAACAAAACAAACCTACGGCACAGAAAAGGCAACCAATTTGTCTTGAGACAGAAGCCACATGGAAAATGACTTCCCTCCACGCACGCAGACAGTAATTATGTTTGTTGGGTGTACCTCAAATGGACAAGGTTTGACGTACTCAACTTGTGGACTGGTGGACTTTGGCAAGCTTGTACCTGCTGTAGGAGCGCGCGCGGCTCCAGCGGGAACTGGATGCGCTACGGCAGGAGGACATGGATGCGAGCTCTGCAACGAGCTCACACCATGTGGAGAGCCATCTTGTGTGCAAGAACGTGATCACTGGGCCTACTGTGGATGGACGAAATCCATTTCGCACCGCCGTTCAGAAATCCTGGAATGATGGTTCCTCTGTAAATACCAACAAACAATGGTTTCAACCATGGTTTCAAAGAAGTGCAGGATTTCGTCCATCCACAGTATGTCCCCTTTTGCAGAGTTATCGTGCTCCGTTGCAACAGCATGTTGGTACCTTGGCTGAGACTCAAAAGGCTTCTTTGGGCGGGAAGGTCAATGCAGCTGGGAGTGGAATGCAGTTTGCAACACTGGCAGCATGGCGTTTTGTTTTTGATGTGCTCCCCTGCAAGTTGACATGGAACCCTTTTTGGGGGGGTCCCCCCAAGTTGACTTTTTGGACCCCAAATTGGCACGTTGGTTGGGTTGAACCCTTTTCAGGGGGCTTCCCTTTTAAGGAGTTTGCTCCAAGAGTGCCACGATCTGCGAAGAGCTTGCCTGCCTGCCGCGCAGGAGGCAGCCCGAAGCGAAGAGTTCCAGAAGCCCAGGCTGCGGCTGGGCATGTTGCGAGTAGTTCTGCCGTTGAACTGGTCATGCTGGGGTTTCGGGTCGGGGGAACGCCTGTAGTGAGAGAAATGAAGAGCTTTGATATTGCGGAAAGGGCAAAGTCTAACGCACTCACCACTGGAAGTGAGCCAAGGACAAATCATGATGGCTGGGGGAACCTTGGCTTTTAATGAAATCGTACTGATAATGACCAGCGCATTGTCCAAAATTCATGCCTAGCGCATTGTCAAAATGGTATCAAGGGACCAGCGAAGGATGTACATAGAATTTACTCCCCTGCAGATCAACATGGTTGAGTTGCAGGGAAAGCCTGGTTTCTTCGGGCTGCTAAAAAAAAATCGCTTAGGCCGCTCAATGTGCTGCTAGCTGCCGGCGAGCAGGCACCACCCTTGGTGAAGGCGCGGCCCAGAAGCCATCACATCCTTGCTGGGTTTCAAGGGAATCTATCACCACTGGAAATAGATTTAGTTTTTCTCGGGGGCTTAAGCAAATGGAAGAAATCAACGGACAAGGCGTCAAGATTTTGGGACCCCCCCCAAAATGGTGACGATCTGTTTTTGAGGGGTCCCTTGAACCGAATACCCTGACCCAGCATTTTGAGAACCTTAAACATGTTTTTGGGTTTCCCTTTAACCCTGCCTGGATTCCCTCTTAAAATGGCACACCCTCCTTTGGCGGCAGCTTCGGCTGCTGAAGAGCCCCTACTAAGGCCTTGGCAAAGACATAGGTGCCATTGTCAAAAGGCCCGAGTCGGCGATCGCAAATTTAAACCATGACCAGACGGAAACAGTTTGGACCATAGCGTCCTTGCCTGCAGAGCGAAAGAGTTGGGCGATATGCCCTGGATCACTGAAAAAGGCGGATTGGATCTGTTGGCTCCTTACACTACACATGGGCCCAAGAGTCTTTGGGTCACAGTATTCGCCAGCTTCCTCCCAGACCTACCGCGCACAGCTGGGCGGTCTCAAAATGCGAAGTAGACTCTTTATAACCAAGATCGGATTCCCGAAATGACAGGAACCTCAGCCCAGCTTGGAACGCGGCCCTGTTGGGAGAAAAAGCCAGAGTCCGATTCACGCACGTCGGAAAAGAAATGTGGGTGGGGTAATGCATAGGTCCAACCTCGCCCCAAGCCGCGAGCCCCAAAAAAAAGCGACCCCAAAAAACTAGCCAGCACCAAGCCAAACAAAAAATAAAAGGCCCCCCCAAACGAGCAAGCCCCAAGCCCCCCAAAAACCGCGCCCAACCAAAAAGACAGGGCCCAAAACCAAGCCTCCCCCCGGCACCTCGACCGAGTTCGAGCGGAGCTCAAAACGCCGGGCTGTGGGGGGACCGGGCAGGAGCTGAGGCTGGAGGTCCAGGGCACCCGCGAGGCGCTGGGAGTCCGTTGAGGAGTCCGTTGAGGCAGTCGCTGTGCCCAACGACCGGGGGGGGTCCTCTTTGCCACCTTTGGACCATTGATCGACCCCCTCGTGAAGGGTTCCTCACTTCCTGAGTTCATGAACTTGAGACTTTTTGGGAAGACCAGTTTAGTGGTAAATATGAAGTTTGAACTTTTTTTGGCCAATCAACTCAGGAAGCGAGGTTCCAACAATGGAGGTGGGTGACTCCTTAGGTTGGGTTCAGAAATCGGATGCTATGATTCCATGCTGAAACAAAACCGGAGCCCGGAGATCTGATGTCCGAGCAGGTTCCTTTGTTTGAACCGCTGGTTTGCAAAGGTGCCTGTTTGGTTGACTTGGTTGAAAGATACCGATTCCTGATCAATCCGCCATCAACTTTCCGAAAAGGGCAAGCCTATGCTAGTTGGACCCTTTGGGAACCCGGATAAATCTATTTTCCAAGAAGGACGAAGCTATGCTGGTTTCAGTTCCCAACCTTTCAAGGACGACCAGCGCTCAGCTCCCCGCCGCTCGGCTTCCGTTAGCTCCGGGACAAGATCTACAGCCTAGAGTCGGAGCTGGAAAGCTGCAAGCGACGCCTGGAGGCAAAGCGCAGAATCGGCCGAAAGGGAATGGAAGCTAGGTCCCCCAGCAATTGGTGCCGTTTCTTTTACCGTTTCTTCTTTGGTTAGGTGCTAAAATAGACTGCAGACAAAAGTTGGTACCCTTATTCTAACCTCTCTACTGGAGGACCTAGGAAGAGAAAAGGGCGGGGGCTGGTTACTCAGTCGGTGCTTGGCCTCCGGTTTGTTTCTTTGTTTCTTTGTTGTTTTGTCTGTTTTTTGTGTCTTGTTTTTTTGTTTCTTTGCCTGTTTTCTGTGTTTTTTTCTTTCCCCCGGGGCAGATGGTTTCTTGGTGGGTCTGGTGCAAGGGGGGGGGGGGGTTGATGTCCGTGGCGTGGGGGGCGGTACCCCCCAAAGGACCTGACTCCATTTAGCCAATGGAGTCAGAGCCGGGGATCAAAATACGGCTGGCGAGCTTCTTCTCGAGCCTCAGCTGGCGAACAACTTGGGGTCAAAATGTGTATGCCTTAAAATGGGAGAAATGGACCACTTTGTTTGCATGGCTTTAAAAGGAAGCCAAAGGCAAACCACCTGGAGGGTCCACAATTTTCAGAAAGACCCGTACTGTAGTCAAGGGCTTGGCATTGGGTACACCGAAGTACCATTGAGAAAGCGGGGGGTTGCTCACCAAATTCCCATGGCCTCAATTCTGGGTGTGTCTTGTTGAAGGCCAAATGCCAAAATGGCTTTACGGTTTTCCTTTTGGCTTCCCTTTAAACCCACTAGAAAAGGTGCGGTTCCAACTCCAAACACAGCACCCCACGAAAATCGGCAGGTGGACGCTCGCCAGCAGCTGGAACAGGTGCTCCGGGGTCTCAACCATGGGACGGCTTGGATCTTTTTGGGGACGCAACAGCACTCAGGTGATGAAGAAATGGCATCTCAACCCTGTATTGTGTATGTTTGTTTTTTTGTTTTAACATGTTGAGCTGCACTGAAGAATGAGCCATTTTTGCAAAAGAACTCACGTAGGATTGATAAAGGGTGTTGTACATGCGCAACCTCACCCTTTTGGGGCCCATGTTAGGTGAGTTTCCTTTTGTCGTTGCGGGTAAAGGGGAGGATTGCGGTTTGGGGGTGCCATTTTCTGTGAGTGACCAGGCGACTTCCTTGAAAGTGATCAAGTAGTCAATGGGGTGGGCCGGTTTGGTGTCACAGAAAGGGTCGGTTTGTCCATTGGGATACTCTGCACGTCGAAAGCGTGCACTTGAAGGTCCACGATACATAGATCAGAATCTAGAGTTCTTGTGGTTTTGTTTTAGGCCGAAAGCTGAGGTAGATCATGGACCCAAAAGAGAGGTCCTTGAGGGATTCTAAGTCGAGGAAACGATAATAGAACAATGAGAGGAGAGAGTTTGGCCTTGATGCCCTCAATTTAGGGCAAAGGCCACGTTCTCCCTCCCGTTGACACGTGACGTATCGGATTGTTCAAAAGCGGTCAGCGGTACTTGGTAGCTGTCCTTCAGAACTCAAGAAAATCACCTTGCGCTTCTAACCGGGACATGTGTCTCAAAATTGGGGACCCTGAATTTGGGTGGTTTCTCTTGCATCGTGCCTGGCTGGCGTCAAGTGGGCCGAAAAGCAGAGTGCCGGGATCTTTTGAGCTTTGAGCGGTGGACCTTTGTCTTGTGTGCGCTCTTTTGTCGGGAATCATTGTTCCAACATCCAAGAACCCAGGATGACGTTCAAAATAAGAACGAAAGTGCAGAGGCTATCCGTCACCCTGAAGGGGCCGACATGTTTGTCACACCTCGCTTCGGCTCGCGGGGACGGGGGTGTTGACTACTCCCAAACCACCGGTCTCGTGGAAAATTCGGCCTTATCAATTTGGTCTTGGAATGCTTCCCCCTTACCTACTGTTGATGGACAAATCCCTTTAACCACCGATCAGCTAGTGCGAAGTTGGTTTTTTGTCCATCCACAAAACCATAGGCTCTTAGGAATTTTCCACATATCGATGTCCAAACACTGGGTCGGCCGGAGCAAACAAACCCAGGAGCAGCAAAGGGGCAGGCAGCTGCAGGCCGAATTGGAGGCGGCACTGATCTGAAACTGAGCCCAGACAAGTTCCCCACCCATTGGATCGATATGGCGGTGTTTCCACCGAAGCTTTGGGAACGCGCGAACGAAGGCACGAGCGTCATGGTGAACCAAAGGGAAAGCCGAAGCCACGTTGGGATCCCCTGTCATTTGAGAGTTTCTCAACATAGATTTCGAACCGCCTTTTGAAGTTGGTGTTTCAAGGGATGGCGCTTGCGGTGGAGAAAAAGCTATGGCCTTGCCAATCGACCCAGAACTCGCGTTTAGATGTGCAACCTGGTTGGCTCGCGGCCAGAAAGCCAACTCAGCTATTTGGCGGCGGCCAACGAGCGTTACTCCACATGAATCCCACGTCCACCACATTCCCAATTGAAATGTGAAATTCACATTTATAGCCCGTAGCCCAGTTCGCGCACGTAATTGAGCTCACAAACATGTTTGCCTGGTGGTTCGAATCGTGTGGGAGGACAAAGGGCCAGTGTGGATTCGACGAAAAGGGCCATGTTTTGACGACGCCGCCCGAGTGACAATCTAACCCTGACATGAAGCAGGTCTACCCAAAATCAGGTGAAGAATCAAATTTTGGCGGATATGTGCACCTTTCTGTGGCTTTAACTGTCCTCCGCTGAGCTTTGTGTACACCGAGATAGACGGCGCTATTCCTTTTGTGCCCGTAAGTCGATGACCTCCAAAACTTTGGTACCAGGGTCAGTGGGTATGGGTCAAAATTAATCCACCAGGGTACCGCAGAGTTTGGTCCCTGTTTCCACTCACCACGGTTCCAGTTAGGGTTCCCTGTGTTTTGACCCACAACCATTTAATGAAATTTAATGGGGAAATGTGGTGTTTGTACAGGAAATGCGCCATTTGCGTTCATCCAATTGTCCTCATGGTGAAACCTTCCTAGTTTTGACCACGGCGCACCTTTTTAACCTGGAATCAAAAACTGGAAAAGGTTGGATTGCAGGCTGTCACCCAAGAATCAATACCTCCAACCATGCGCGGGAATTCAGAAATTCATAGACCTTGGCCTTTGGTTGCAATCCACGTTCTCACTCTCTGAGTTCCGTTTCGGACTTGATTTTTAGGAAGACCATGTTAGTGATAAGTAACAAGTTTGGCTACTTTTTGCGGCCCCGCTCGATCGGAAGTGAGTGCTTGAGAGGAGAAAGAGCGCGTGGTCTCCGAGCTGATCTTCGACCTGCGGCGGGCCAGACAAGCAGCCGGCCGGGAGGCCAACTGACGCGCCGGACGGAAGCACCTCTCAGGGATCGGGTTCGGTGTGTTTGGGCGGTGGCGCGTTGACGGTCTTACCTTGGCATTGATTTTCCAATTAGCACATGTAATGGAAGAAACTGTATATCCTGAGCCTAAAGAAGGTACAGTAAATAATCAATGGGCGGTGCACCAACTTCAAACTACCTTGAATTTTGCGAATAATAAACGAATTTTTTCATGGTTAGTTGGTGGTCTTAATTATCAAGTAGAGCATCACTTGTTTCCTCATATTAGCCATGTTCACTATAGTAAAATAGCCCCGATTGTAGAAAAAACTGCACAAGAGTTTGATTTACCTTATCATTCACAAAATTCTTTTAGAAAAGCTTTGCTTTCCCATGGTAGAAAGCTATATGATTTAGGAAGATAAATACCCTTGAAGTTCTAATAACATGATGCTTGGAATAACTTTTGCACTTAGTGAAAGACAATCCTTAAAAAAAAACTATGTTATTAGAAGAACGACAAGAAGGTAAGTATAAAGAATTATTGGAAAAGGCTGTTGAACAAATTCAACGAAGAGGTTTTAAGGATATCAGGGTGAAACTAGATGGTTATGAAGAACCTAAAAGTTTTTCTCAAAAGAAAGAAGATAATACCTACATTCCTGATATTACGGCCACTAATTCGAAAGGGAAATTTTACTTTGAAATTGCTCAAAAAACTAATGACACTACTAGTATGGTTAGTAAGTGGAAGTTGCTTTCAACTATAGCAGAAATGAAAAACGGTGGGCTAAATATTCTTGTCCCTTATGGCCAGAATAAATTCACCAACAATCTTGTAGAGCAATATAACATCAAGGCAAACTTGCTGAAGATGAACTAAGAAATAAAATAGTTAACTAACCAACAGCCGATTTTAAAATCGGCTTTTTTGCATTTGGTGCCTTTTCTAAAATTGAACTTTATTTCAATTTTTGCGTATTTTAAACGGTTATTAGTATGTTTACAGCAATCATATTAAGTTATTAAAGCTAATGTTATGAAAAAAGCACTTCTACTTACTGTAATAGTTATAAGTTTAGTTGGTTATGTGAATGCCCAAAATAAGTCGAGCCTATTTGGGTTCGAAGGGCGAGTATACTTATTAGAGGACAGAGGAGATAAAGGGAAAGAAGTAAATATATCCTTATATGATAACAATGAAAAAGTATCAAGCTACCAGACTAATAGAACTGGTAAATTTTTATTAGATGTTAAACGCAATAAGCATTACACAGTGCTCTTTGAAAAAGAAGGATATATAACAAAAAGCATAATTATAAAAACCTATGCTAAACCTAATGAAGTAGCAGACATAGAGATTTTTAAGTTTGACGTAATTTTAGATGCAAAAGAGCCTGCTAATAATTACTCTTTAGTCGATTTTCCAGTGTCATTGATTCAGCTGGATCGAGAAAAAGGCGAATTTGCTTTCAATGTAGATTATAACGAAAGCATGATTGAATTAAAAAAGAGAATCTTAGAAACAAAATCAAATATAGCTGCTACCGAGTAGCTATATATTACTTTGCGGGAAACAATTAATCGTCCAAAAAATTTTTAACAAATAAGAATAAACTTTTTAAACTTGGCTATGGGCAAGTTTAATTTATAAAAAAAAGAATGGCCTTTGTTGCTCTCAGCAACAAAGGCTATTTTAACTCTGAATAGATTTAATTTGAGGCCAACTCGATTTCTTCATTATCTGGGAATATCTGCTGCTTTACCATTAATTAACTGAGCAAAGCCCTTTTTATTTTTTATAGAAGTTGCTTAGTAAACTTTTCCATTTACAATCATTAATTGTTCTTTCATTTCACCTTCATTTAGTGCAAATGGCTTAGAACCGTTCCAATACTCAATAAGCTTGAAGATTATTACATCTAAAATTCTAGAAAGTCATAAACTGGAATATTAGGTTAAAATCATCCTAAAAGATGATAGGTTTAAGAAATATTGATGAGAGTTTTAACATTTGTAATCAAATCCAGCCCGTCTTCAAATTAATAGTTTAATCACATCAATCAACTTTCGTAATTTCGAGCCTAAATGAATTTTATCGCACCTGAATTTCTTTATGCTTTAAGCATTCTAATTTTCCCAATACTCATTCATTTATTTAATTTTAGAAGATTTAAAACTGTTTATTTTTCACAGGTGCGTTTCTTGAAGAACATTAAGCAAGAAACTCAATCTACATCTAAATTAAAGCACTTATTAGTCTTAATTAGTCGTTGTTTAGCTATTACCACCTTAGTGTTTGCATTTGCCCAACCATACTTTCCTTCAAAAGAAACCTACAATAACCAAGGCAAAAAAGGAGTAAGCATTTACCTTGATAACTCTTTTTCTATGCTTGCAGATGAATCAGAAGGTAGTTTACTTGAAGTAGCAAAAAATAAAGCCTTAACTATCACTAAAGCCTATTCTGCTTCTGATAGATTTCAATTATTAACCAATAATTTTGGTTCAAGTGAGCAGCGTTGGATGAATCGGGAAAACTTTATTTTAGCCTTACAGGCTGTGGAAGAAACGCCAATATTTAGAACTTTAAATCAGGTTCAAAACCGCATGAATCAAACGGCAAATGATGAGGGGTTAAGACTTGAACGTTACCTTATTTCTGATTTACAACAAGTGAATGTAAACTTTAGCGAATTAAAGGATACCGCCGAGTATTTTATTATACCAGTTCAATCACAAAGTAGTAAAAATCTCAATTTAAGTCATTTATCATTTTCAACTCCTTTTCATTTGCCTAATCAATTAGAAAATATTGCGCTGACCATTAAAAATGAAGGCAAAAATGAAGCTCTTGAAATTCCAACCCAAATGTTTCTTAATAATAAATTAAAATCTCCGTTTGTAGTTAATTTACCTGAGCAAGACTCTATAACTAGAGCGTTTAGTTTTAGAAATCCCACTTCAAATCAACTAAATGGAAAATTGGTAATTAAAGATTACCCATTAACATTTGATGATACCCTTTACTTCAGCTATCCGATACAATCCCAAATAAAAGTTCTTTCTTTATTTGAGGAGCAACCCAACCCAAACATTTCTGCATTATTTCTTAACGATAGTTTGATCCAATTTAAAAATGAAATTACCTCTAATATCAATTATCAGCAATTAGCAAGCAATCAACTTATTATTTTAGATCAAGTTATAGGCTTAAGCTCTGCCTTGAGACAAGAGCTGAAGAAATTTGTAAGTAATGGTGGATCTTTAGGAATTTTTCCAAATTCTGAAATGAATTTGAAGGAAGTCAATGATTTACTTTCTTCGTTGTCTATTGGCACTTATAATTCTTTAATTAAAAGTGAAGCAGTAGTAGCATCTATCAATCAACAGGCTGATCTATTCAAAGAAGTATTTGATGAGCTGCCAAAAAATATTCAATTGCCAAGAGCGAGTAGCTATTGGAATATTCGCAGTCAATCAAGAACTTTAGTTGAACGATTAATGGAGTATAGAAATGGAAAGTCTTTTATTTCGTTGTTTAGGGCAGGGAAGGGTAAAGTATACTTGAGTTCTGTTGGTTTGCTCGAAGAACAAAGCAATTTAGTAAACCATGCCATCTTTGTACCACTACTGTATAATATGGCTTTACAAGCAGGAATTCAACAACCCAATTACTATAGCATCAATCAAAGCAGCTTCAGATTACCTAAATCTACTTCAACAGAGTCGCCAATTCATATTACAGGCCATGGACTAGACTTTATTCCCGCACAACAATATTTACAAAATGAGCTGAAAATTGAATTGGGTGACGAGATAAAGAAAGCTGGACATTACCAATTAGTTCAAAATGAGAAAATAATAGGACAGCTCTCCTTTAACTATGATAGAAAGGAGTCGCAAGTGGACACCTATACTCCTCAAGAATTTATGGAATTAGCTGCAATTGAAAAACTCAACTTTCAACTACTCAACGAAAAGAATGATGTATTGCGTTCTAAGATTGAAAAAATAGATCAAGGAACCCCACTGTGGAAATATTTTATCATCTTAGCACTAATTTTTATTGCAATTGAAATTATTCTTTTAAGATATTTGAAATAAGCAACTTATGGATATTCTCATCAAATTAGCTACCATTATAGACTCTAAAAGTAAATATCACCTTAAAAAAAGAGATGTATTAATTAAGAATGGGAAGATTGAAAAAATTGCAGACAAGATAGAACAAGGCAGTGCAAAGGTCATAAAAGCTAAGGATTTGTATGTTTCAAAAGGATGGATCGATTTGCAGGTGAATTACCAAGATCCTGGCTTTGAATACAAAGAAGACATACAAACTGGTTTAAATGCCTCAGCTGCTGGTGGGTTTACAGCTGTAGGGGTATCACCAGCTACAAGCCCAACAAGAGATGTAAAAGCGCAAGTAGAATATTTAGTGAACCAAAGTAAAGCCCATGTTATTGATGTACTTCCGTATGGCGCTGTATCAAAAAATATGGAAGGTAAAGAGTTAGCAGAATTAAGTGACATGCAATTTTCAGGTGCTCTTGCATTTTCCGATGGGAAACAGTCAATCAAAAATCCAAATCTTTTAAATAGAGCGCTGCTTTACTCAAAAGCATTTGATGGAACTGTTATGAATTATCCAAATACCAAAGACATTGCTGAATTGGGAGTAATGAATGAAGGAGAAGTTAGTACAGGTCTTGGGTTAAAAGGTATACCTGAATTGGCAGAAGAATTAATGGTATCTAGAGATATTTTTCTAGTTGAATATACGGATGGACGATTGCACTTTAATACTATTTCAACTGCAAAATCAATTGAGTTGATTGCGAATGCAAAAGCGAAGAACTTGAAGGTGAGTTGTGATATTGCTAGCTATAGCCTTTTATTAACGGATAGTGAATTAAAAGAATTTGATACCCGATTTAAGACGCTTCCTCCACTAAGAACTTCAAAAACGATAAAAAAATTAATAGCAGGCATTAAAAATGGAACAATTGATGCCATA